CCTTAATATAAAAATCCCTTTATAACTCTAGACTTTTAGGAGCCTCCTCTATACTAAAGATAGAATATATAATATTATTTAGGTATTAAACTCAAAAGGCAAAGAATTATAAAGGCCCTAATAATTATAAGATTTTATAAACTTAAATAGATTTAAGTATTATAAAAACATTAAATTTAGTAGCCTGATTTTTAAATTATATAAGAACTAATTAAAGAATATTACTTTAAAGTATTAATTATAAATTCCAAATACATATATATTTATAAAGAAATAAGACCTAAAATAGTACTAAGCTAATTATAAGATATAAGAAAAAGTATATTAGATATTAGGCCCATTTTTTCTTAATTATCTTAATTTCGGTAGATATTTATATATAATTTATTAGACCTTATATAATAAGTTTACTCAGGAGAAATAAGATTAATTAGCCTAAAAAGTTTAATAATAATAGTTAGACTTCTATCCGGGATAATAAATAAAATACTAGTAATAGCCCAAATACTTTAGGTTTTACTTATAAAGCTAAAGATATTATATCTATTAATTCTCTATATCTAATAAGAAAAAGGAGTAATATATTTATATCTCTAATATACCCGTTACTATAAAGTAATACTTATACGGTCTATAAGATTAATTATAGTCCTTTTTACTAAAGGAAAGAATAATAAAATTAAAGAAGGATCTAATAGCCTATTACTATTATTATTATTATTACTATTAGGATTAGCTTTAGTAATACTTTTAGTAGTACTTTCCGTATTATCTTATAGCTCCTAAAGATTAGTAAATAGAGAAAAATCCTAGTATATATAAGTTAATTAAACCTAAAAACAAAAAAGGGTCTATAAAAGAAATAAAAAATAGGAGCCAGAATTAAAGAAAAGAATTATATATATACCTTTATTTACCTACTAGTTTATTAGATCCCTCCTTACTTTTAAAGTCTTATACCTATACTAGCGGGTAATACTTTTCTGGGCTCTCTGGGCCTCCTTAATCTATTATTTAATCTCCTCAAGTTACTATATCTTCTAAATATTTTCCAGCTTTTTATAAATAACTTTAAAACGGAGATTTTTATATAAAATCTTCTTTTAAGTATTTTCTAGCTCTTTATAAGTAATTTTAAGACAGATATCTTTATATAGAGTCTTATCCTAATATAAAACAAAAAAAATTATTTAGATATCCTTAGGGCCCAGATATATACTATAATAGGAAAGGTTAAAAATAGTTTAAATAGAACCTGGCAAGACTATAAGTTCCTGGACTCTTTTACTATTAGGACTAGTATAGAATACTAGTTTATTTATATTATTAATAAATTAATAATAATAGATAGGTTTACTAATATAGAAAAAGAAATAAGGGAATAGCTACTAAGAAACTATATTAAAAAAAATAGAAAAAACTCGATTATTTATTTCAAATTAAAAGCCACCTATTAAAAAATATCTATTAGAATTTATATAGAGAATCTAGTAAAAGAAATAGGAGAAAACTTACTACCGACTTCTTTAGAAAGTTAGATAGTTCTTTACTTAGCTCTCTAATTCTTTATATTATTAAATATTTATTTATAGAGAACTAGCTATAAAACTATAGTCTATAATTCTATAAGACTAGATCCGGCTATATTTTAATTCATAAGACCTTAAAGGGCTCCAGGTAGCCTATTACCGGTATAAAGAGCTATAGCCTGGGTAATAGCCTAAGTAACTCTTGTATTTATAGCCCGTTAAGCTTATATAGTAGTATAAGTACTACTAGAAAAGTAGTTAGGTCAAGTAATATAGCTTATAATAAAAGGAAATACGGAAGGAAGTAGTTATAGGACTATTAGAATAGGAGGAGCCTGGGATAGAATAGAACTAGTACCTAGCGGCTATATAATAATAGTAACTAGAGGAATAGATATAGTAAATATTCCTGGAAGAAAAAATACGGGATAAAGATACTAAGAAAAGCTAGGAATCTAAAATATCCCAGATATAAAAAGAGAGGCAGATATAAACAGAATTCCAGAGCTATAAGGTTCAAGTTTACTAGTATTACTACTCTAGATAAGTAAAGTAGTAGCCTCTATATTATATTTATTATTAGTAGATTAATAGAACTTATAATATTAGATATTACTATATTAGTATTTGGCTATAAAACATATAGTATTAGAGCAGGTTTTAAGAAATAGTAATACTATTTTGAGAAATAAAAATTTGAGAATATAGAATATTTATATAATAGATAAACTTAATAATTCTATTAATACTACTCTTAAAAGTAAAAAGGGGATTTCGAAAATAATATATTTAATAATAAATAATACCTATTTTAATATATCTAATTACTCTATAACTAGCTCGTTTAACTACCCTATATTATTAGAAATATTACTAATAAAAGGCCATTTCTGGATAAAGTCCTAGATTATTAGGAATTATATAGGTATTCTTCCGGCCTATATATTATTTATATACTTTATATTTATTAGGATAACTTACTTAAAGATTCTATTTTATATAATAATAGTATTATATTTACTAGTCGGCTTCTCGGACTCTCCTAATATTAATAGCTGCCCTGAGGCTATATATACCCGGATTATATATCGGAGCTAGTAGTAAGCTTAAATATATAATCGGTTACCGTTTCTATTAGTATCTCCTATATAAATATTGGCTATATTTATATTATAAGATATAAGCTTCTAATAATACTACTCTAGTATTTCTCTTAGCAGAAACTCGTTAATATCTATATTAGTATATAAGTAAACTATCTATATAGAGCTATATAAGGTTATATTACTTACTTTAAACTAAATAATTATTAAGGATTATATTATAAAGCTCTATATCTATAGGGTAATCCCAGTACTATATCCTGCCTAGAGGCCTCATATATAGTCTAAATAGCTTACCGGCTACTATATTAGGCCTAGATCTGTCTTTTCTAATCCTATAAATATTCTATAAGTTTATAAACCTATATATCTCGTTTTGAATCCACTATATATAAAGTACTAGTAAAGTAATCCGGTCCTATAGGTATTAGTAATTATAATCCCCGGTATAGGCTAGTTCCTAAAAGTAGTTCTATATATACTAATCGGAATTAGTTATATAATCCGGTACTATAATACTAGACCTAATAGCCTTAATAAAAAGCGGTATAATTATTAGTACCTAATACTTCCTCCTAATAATAGAAAGAACGAGAGGCAGATATAGGGAAACGGAATTACTTATATATTACCGGTATAACTAGCTCTTCTAAAGCTCCTACTACCAGGATTTAACCTACTAATTCTCGGTACTTTTCCCAGAAATAAAGTAGTCCTCTATATATATAACTAATAGATTGGCTATTTATAAGAATATAAAGTATACTTTAATAATAAGAGAGAGTTTAGAGCCTTAATTAGCCCTAAAGAAATAAGGGTAATAGCCCATTTAAGTACAAATCTAAAAATATTACTATATAACCAAATAGGTAATTTAATTAGAGATTCCAATATATACCCAGATAATATTATATAAATAAGTATTAATATAAGTATATATCTTAATCCCAAATAGTAATAGCTTATTATATCTATTAATTAACTAAATCTAGTCCGGCCCAGGTATAATATATTCTCCTTTCTTGAACTATATTTATTATATTTATAGTATAATTGCCTCAGGATCCAGGAGTTATAATATTATATATAAGCTCTTCCTATAAATAATAAAATACATTAGTAAATAAGGCTCTAATCTTCCAAGCTAGGGCGAAATAGTAAAGTATAGAAAGACTAACCGGGTTACTAGTAAACCTTATTAACGGAAATATATATATAAATACCGCCGTTTATAACCTATAACCCGCCTATTATTTAGCTTACTCTATAGTATTATAAATAGTTATTCGTCTACCGCTTACTTATCTATTATAGTTATATAGCAAATAAGACTAAGCTTCTTATATATATAGATAACTCTAGTAATTAAAGCTATATAACTATAATTCTCAAGATCTTTAAGCATTTCCTTATCTATATCTCCTAGATAATATAGGATTATAATCTATATATAAAGGAAAGGTATATCTACTATTTGAGTATATATTTGGATATTCTATTCTTGTAATTACTATTAGACCATATATAAATTAACTAAGATTTTATATAAATCTTTTAATCTATTTGTAATTTCTTCTTAATTAATATTTATATAAGCCTATTTAGTAATAGCTTTATAATATGGTAATAGATTTATTAAAAGTTATAGTATTATTTTAATAAAATCCACCAAGTTATTTTAATAGGGATTAAGTTTAGGGTATGCTTTACTATTATAATATACTTTCTAGTAATATAAGTACTAAAAAACTCGAGTAATATTACCCCTATATAATTTTATTAATTAATTACCAAAAAAAAGTAATTAGCCGGCTTCTTAGTTATTTTAATAGTTTAATTTTCTTATTTCTAACCTCGGGAATATTAAGGAAATTATTAGACCCTATTAATAGTATTATTCTAGAAGGGCTTATAGCCTGTAGTTATCTAACTATAGTAATTTGTAATAAATACTCAATTTTATATTATACTATCCGGCCTAATTTTAGTATGATTTTATACGGTAGTATAGGCTCTTACTTCGTTAATTAGACAAGCAAGCAGCCTTACTATTATTGCGTTATCCAAGCCGAAAGTCACGTGTGGGTGCTATATCCCTAATTAGGAATTCTGCCTTGGGGAGGAGGGGGGGGTGTGCGGGGCGCCAGTGCGAAAATCAGAAAATCAGAAAATCACTTTTCGCTTCTCGGATTTGTCCGCTAGCTAGCTGTGGGCCTCAGTATTGTCGAGCAACTCGCTTGGCGTTAATTCAGGTACCAAGCCACCACCATTGGCTCCCGCCTTTTAGCCTTGGATGGCGCCTGGGGAAAGGAGGTTGCCTGATTGCAGGTAAAATTTGTATAAGTATGGCTTCATGTTCCTCTGCTTCTTCTCACCCTTCTCATGCTAGAACCCATCTGATTTCAATATCCAATTTGACTTCCCAAAGCTGTGATCTCATTGTACTCGACCCCTTCGTTCATCCTCATACCCCCAATCCATACACGACTCGCTGCTTCAAAGCAGAACAACAAAACCACCATGGCGTCTGATGCGCCGCACAAACAAGAGTTTCGAATTCGAGATCTCGCCACTCGAAGCGTCATCCTCTTTCCTACCAGAGCCCAGATCATCCGAGACATCAAGGAAATTAACCTTCACCCAGGCCCCAACCAAATCATCATCGACGGTCTTGCACCCACAGTCGACGAGCATTCCATCAAGGTTGAAGGAACTGGATCAGCCACAATCACCGAGGTCACTGTCGATCTTCTCCCGAATCGCGATGTCTGGGAAGATATCTATCCTTCTGATTCGGAGGACGAGGATTCAGACGAAGAGGAGAAATCAGAGGATGAAACGGAAGGCATGAAAGCCCTCAACGACAAACTCAGGAAATTCAATGTCCAACTTCTCAACGAACAAGAGAAAATTAATTCCGGAGCTCATCGTCTGAAGATTTGTGATGCCTTTGGCAAGAGTGTTGAAAAAGAGCGCCCTGCTCCTGCCGATTTGGACAAGCTCATCAATGCCTACCAGGCAGAGCGTGAGAGAATCTACAAGGATCATGAACACGCAGTTGCTGCTGTTGAGACTATTCAGGAGGATATTGAGAAGGTCAATAAAGAAAAGCTGAAGCTCGCCAAAGCAATGGTGAAGGCCAATGAGAAAGCCGAGAAGGAGAAGCAGAAATTGAAAGAGAAGAAAGCACGCAAGAAGGCTGAAATACGCAAAGAAAAGTTGAGGATCAAGGCCGAACGAGAGCTGTTCTGGCCGAAGAAAGTCTACCGTATCACCATCAACCTCGAGCCCACCAGCCTGACACCTGCATCGTCCCGTCGCAGCTCAATCGATGGAGACACAGTTGTCAACCTCGCGACTTCAACATTCCACGAACCATCGACCGGCCCACTGAAGACTGGCGAGATCAGTCTTTCTCTGTCATACATCACTTACTCCGCTTCTTGGTCCCCACGGTACGACTTGAGCTTGAACACTGTCAAGTGCACTGGTGTGCTGGAATATGGAGCAGAACTCAAGAATACCACTTCCGAGACTTGGCGGGATGCGAAGATTGTACTCTCAACCTCTCAGACAACCTTCTCTGGTCTCAGCGAGACGATTCCTACCCTCGAACCCTGGCACGTGCGCCTCTTGAAAGGAGGCCGCAACCCTGACAGTGCGTTGTTCAGCGCATCCGAACGCCTGGCAAAGCAGCAGGAATGGAGTAAAAACACCGGAGGACAAGTCCAGAAGCCCCGAGCAGAGATCTTTGGCCTTGATGGCAGTTCAAACAACAACGCATCCTTATGGTCATCCCAGAAAAAGAACCGCGAGGCTCAGGTACAACAGGTCATTAGCAGCCACTCACATCCCCCACAAGCTCAAGTTCAACCAGCAGGGTTATTAGGTAACCTCGCTGGACCAGGAGGTGGTTTTGGTAGCAGTGCTTCAGCACAGGTACAGAACCAACCATATCGTTCGAGCCATGGCATGACTTCAGTTCGTGCCAAACGTGCAAGTAGTACGAGCCGCTTTCTGCGTGGAGGGGCAGAGGTTGAAGAAGATGAAGAAGAGGCATACATACAAGAAGACAGAGCGGGCGGTTTCGAAGGAGGGGATCTCAGTCTCTTTGACGACCAGCCCCAGTCTCTTACCTTTGAAGAAGGAGCTTGGGAAGAGACTGGTCTCACAACTACGTATGACGTTCCATCACTGAAGACACTCGCTCCCAACAATTCAACCAGCAAGCACAAGATCGCCAAGATCGATTTTAAGAACGTCATCTTCTCCCACATCGTCATCGGCAAGCTTCGCCAAATTGCGTTCCTCAAGGCCAGACTGCGCAATACCTCAAAGATCACTCTTCTCAAGGGTCCTTTGGGGTTGACGCTTGATGGCAGTTTCTTGGGCCAGGCATCATTCCCGCGATGCTCGGCTGGTGAATCCTTCTCTCTACCACTGGGCGTCGATCCGGCAATTACAATCAGCTATCCCAAGCCAACTGTTCGACGAAGCCAATCTGGTATCTTCAACAAGGAGGACAGCAATGTGTTCAGTCGCACTGTGGTCATCATGAACACCAAGCCCAAGGCTGCGATCGAGATGACTGTTCTCGACCAAGTCCCAGTTTCTGAAGACGAGCGTCTCAAGATCGAAATCTTGAGCCCGAGAGGCTTGAAGGCTGGTGGCGACGGGGTACCGACTGGTATCAGTGCATTCGCTGGTTTGGCTCTTGCGAACACTGGATTGAATGGCAAAGGAACCGCGAAGGATGTTAGAGCTAGTGTGTACGGTGTCGACGGCAGAGAGTTCAAGGACGGCAAATGGGGAAGTGCCGTTGCAACAACAAAGAAGGGTGGGGAGGTATCATGGAACGTCAAGTTGAATCCTGGACAAGGTGTCAAATTGGTGCTGGAATATGAGGCTTCTTTCCCGGCTGGAGAGACCGTTGTTGGAGTACAAGTTGCGAAGAATGGGTTTGGAAATTATTAATCTGGCATTGTTCTTGGAGGGCTTGGGACTTTCTCCTGATGTTTGGTTTGAGGAACGTCGGGGGCAGGTTTTTAGGCAGTTAAGGATCAAAAGTTCCAAACGCGAAAACTGTGAAATGCGAAATTTCAAAAGTGCCTGAATTTGGCATGCAACCACGCCTAGAATCAAGTACGGAATCATGTGCAGGCTAGGTACGAACCTTTATAAAAATTGATTTCTTTTCTCTGATTAGATGATCGATCGAGAGCAAGGACTTTTTTTTTCTATCCGGTCACTTAGCTAGCCTACGCAGATAAAGTGGGTCTACCTTAAGGTCTACCTATGAGAAACCATACCACAGTACAAATTTAAGTTAGTTAAGCGAGAGCACAGATAAAGAAATATTCTTCGCCTCTCTCTCTTCTTCTTCTTTATCATTTTTCCATTGGAAGGAAGCCTTTCACAGACTGTTTTTGAGCGAATTAGGGATTTTTTTGTATATAGAGAAATTTCGAAAATACTTCTTTGCGAAACCACTTGATTTTGGTATGGTTACGCACCAAAATTCAAGTGCTTTCTCGTTTGGAATTTTTGATCCTTAACCGCCTAAAAATCCGCCCTACCGAGACCTTGTTCCCAGATTCATTGCATATCTACACAAAGGCACCGAAGATACATCACAATACCAGAACGCCTCAAGCTACCATTCCATCCTCTACAGTTGTGGTTTCTTATGCTCATGGCCTCGCTCTTGTATGCTCGTCTGTCGCCATTTCCGCGATCGTCGGGCCCATATAATTGGGAGGGCGGTTGAAGACCGAGGCATGAGGCGAGCCCATTGTGTCGCTCATTGGGGGCGAGGCGGGAATGAAGCCCTCTTTATTCTGGTCATAGTACGCACTTCCAGGTGAGTACGGTTGGCTTGCATAACTTCCCCTGTCTTGCAGCGGGAAAGGATGCTGCTGCTGTCGGAGCGCTTGAATTTCTTGGCGGTGTTTGCGACGAATTTGGAGGAGCAAGAAGGCGACCAAAGCAATCCCAGCGATGCTACCGATCACGATCCCGGCAATTGGACCGCCCCCCAATCCGCTCTTATTCGAACCCCTTGAGGCCGCTGTCGTTGATGTGGAAGACGCGGCGGAGGTCGAGGAGGCAGCTGCTGAGGTTGGTGAAGAGGTTGGTGAAGAGGTTGTGAGTCGGCCGCCATCGCTGGTCGTCGTGCTCAGGAGGACGGAGACCGTGTAGCCTCTCGCAACAGCGCAGCCATAACCCACCGATCCACCTTCGTAATTATACGTCGCGCAGTATGGAAGTGTGGAAGAACTGTGGGAGAGTAAGTTTCAGTTTTCAAAACTCGAAAAGGCACTCACCAAACCAGATTGCCAATATCGTGTTGACAAGCAGCATCACATACCGCACCCAAGAGGTCGTAACATGTTGTCACAACCCCGGCACAGCTGGTGCTTGCGCAGCAGCCGACATACGTACTCGCCGTCGCACAGTAGAAGTCAGCACCACAACTTACTGCCGAAGCTATATTTCAAAATGAAAAGTCAGTGCAACGCTCATGTACAATCGAGTAAGAGAGTTTCGAGCGATGGGATTTGTCATTAGTAAACGAGTTCTCGTACCTCCATTTCCCCCAATCCAACCGCAAATGGGATTCTGCTCATTTGAGGCCCTCGCCTTCAATTCTGCATGGGAAGCTCCTGCAGTAATGGTAGGCAGATTGGCCCAGCCAAGAGCTGAACTCTGCAGTGTGGCCCAAGTGGCAGTTGGTGCGAATTCCACGCCAATGGAAGTTTCAAAGGCGTATACAAGGAGGGCAATAGACCACAAAGAACGCAGGAAAGGCATTGTCTGAAAGTATTTACAAGTCATCAAACCTCGGAAGTATTCTCGCTTGGAGGAGCATCTCTGTTGTGCTGGAGAAATGCTAAGTCTTGTACTCCACCAATTCGAGACTCGTAATGGTGGCTTAGAGCATCACGCCCTTTGCGCCTGAACATGACCCATGATTATCAACTCGCCGACCTCTTGGATGTGGAGGAATTATTATTGGAGCTCCCCCGCTTGTGGTTGTGAGAACTTCCCCTCTCGGCACGCAAAAGGAAGCCGAATCACGGCAGAGTGTCAGACGGGCAACAGAGGGGCTGCATGGTGGAGTGGGCCGGAAAATGAAATCTTTGGGGGCTGTGGCAGAGTCTGGCCAAACTAAGAAGCATATGGCTGATTTGCCAAGAGTTTCCGCATCCCCTCTCCGATATCATGCGTACAGACGATGCCGTCCCAGTGGACTTCCTCAAAAAGGAGGATGGCAGATCTCAGCTGCGCCTTGGGTTTCTTTTTTGGGTGTTGCCACTTCTACGTCAGCAGCCAATATCAAATCCTTTTCTATTTCTCGGCCCTGCGGCCTCGAAAATTGTGACATGCAGCCTCTTCAGCCTCACCATGCGAGTGCGGGATGCTTGATGACTGAATAAGAGCCTGTGCCTACTTCTGGCAGCTGTATTTTCAGTCTCGACTACGGCGAAATCAGCACTCAAAATGAAGCTCTCTCTAGATATTTGCATCCTTTCCTGTATTTGTCACTTTGCGCTTGGTGCCCAGGCAAAGTCATTTGTCGAGGCTATCTCAGCTTACCCAGAACTTTCCAACTTTACAAGCCTGCTAAATTCGAATTCCGGCCTTGCATTAATCTTTTATTCAATCTCACCCACAGCACCGCAAACTGTCCTGGTTCCAGACAATAATGCTTTTGAAAGCTTCCAAAAATCTACTGGCCAGACTTTCGCAAGCCAACCATATGATTATATACAGAATGTCATCAACTACCAGCTACTGAATGGCAACCTCAAGTCGGAAGACTTTGGCCATACAGCAGGAATTACAGTGCCAACAGGGCTTATAGGCCCAACCTACAACAACAGGACGGCAGGAAGTTCATTGATATCCTCTGGTGCCTCAACGGGGAATCATAATGGCCAGGTGGTGTTCATCGCTCCGAACACTACTTCTACCAGCTTTAGTTCTCGGCAATTGGGCTCTAAAGGAGCATACGTACAATCGGGCCTCGGTCACCAAGTCAATCTGACTGCAATCGATGGCGTTTGGGATGGCGGAGTGTTCCAGATCGTGGACGGGTATGCGATTCCACTGTGCATTCCATTACACCCAAGCTAACGATTCGACAGCTTTCTTACCCTCCCGCTGATCTGCACTCAGACGATTCGAGCGTGGGGTCTAAAAGCTCTCGATTCCTCCCTCAACCGTACAGGCCTTTCATCAGTGCTCGACCATGTCAACAACGTCACCTGTCTGGGCCCCAACGACAAAGCCTTTCTCCAAGCAGGTAGCCCAGACACGAAGGCCAATGTCTCTGATCTCACTTCGGCCTTAGCGTTCCACACGATTCCCCAGCCGCTGTACTCGAACTTCCTGCAAGATGGGCAGACTTTCGCGAGCTTGACGAATGATACAATCAGGGTTACGATCAGAGATGGAGCCTATTATTTCAATGATGCAAAAGCGATAAAACTCAATGTGCTGTAAGTGATGAACTCAGCTTAATCCCGAGATATCAACTAACAAGAACCTAGCACGAACAATGGGCTCATGCATGTGCTTGACCGTGTGAGTTTTCCACTCGAATAGCCGCTGACTCGTAACAATCACTGATTGATGCCCAGGTCATGTCCCCCTTAGATAGCACAGGTGCCAGTTCATCCACAAAGCCATCTTCGCCCACTGCAACGGTGACAAGTGCGGGGACGCCGAGCTCAAGCAGTACCAGTCCGACCACCACCCAGTCATCGAGCGCTGCTCGAGCTTTGGTACTTGAGTCGTCAGGCTGGAGAATCTTCGAAATCTTGGGCTTCGTTTATAGTTATATTTTCTTGCTCTTCTGAAGCCATTATGATCGAGATTGACAGGGGAGGGATCATCAAGACGGCGCTATAATTGATGGCTTAATTGAAGATATAATTCGTCCAAAGAATTCAAATCGCACAAAGTCTCGGCGAGCGTCTCCGTTTGACTGGACTGCATTGACCTTTGGAGGAAAAATAAATAATGATAAGCATGAACTTGACAACAAACCATCTCATCTCACTTTCCTCCGTACTCGTTGACAATTTCAAAAGACTTGCTTCTCGCGATGACCAGAATCAGTACCCAGCATATCACACCTCGGCGGTCCTCTATCATGCAGAGTGTCTATCTCTCAGGGTGCTACTGAGGTTGCACAACATGTTGGATAAAGCTTCGAGCTTATTTGCCTCACCTTTCTAAAACCAACAATTAGCGCGTCAATCAAACCGCGCTAGGACGAAAGGCTTCTTTGGAAGCAACGTCGTCCGAGGACTCATGATCAACCATCGACAAACAAGTGTCGAAAAGACGGCGATGGCGAGTGCTTATTGAAGCTTTTGAGCCAGTGTCTGGAGAGACTTTGCATTATTCTGAGAAGTCAAGTGAATCTGGGTTTGGGATGGATGTCGAAAGTGGGAGAGTTGGTGGTGATGTCCACCTTTGTACTCTCATTCTATTGATTTTTCGCGTTTTCTTGATTTTGGAGTTCAATTTCATCTCAGGTGCGCTTGCGAAGTTGTTTGAATGTTGCTCCCAGCTACAGCCCGACCCGGAGTCAAGGACGAGGCTATCACGTGAGTCACGTGCGAATGAGAATGGAGGTAAATCATCATTCACTCATCACCCCTGCTATTCTATTACTCATCATCATTCTAAATTGACCCCGTAACATGGAACTTCGTCGCTTTCATCGGATGGTAACCAGAGAAGTAATCATCATACACCAGATCCTCCTTCGTCAAAACGTTCGACTTCATGGTGGGGAATCTTCTGAAAAGCGTCCCGAGACTGACGTATAGTTCGCAATATGCAAGTCTGTGAAATCAGTTTAGATCGCTTGGCGATTTTCAGAGCACTTACGGCATCCCAACACATCCTCTTGTTCCTTTCCCAAACGGGACGAAAGCTTTGTCAATTCGTCGAGCTTCTTTCCGGTCGAGCCATCTGTCTGGGTCAAATTTCAACGGGTCTGGGAAGTATTCCGGATCTTGGTGTAAGACCCAGGAGCTCATTGATACAACGGACTGAGGTCTACATCAGTACAATTTTTGGTTGATTGGAGTTTAGCTTACTCCTGCAGGGATGAAAACTCCGTTGAATGTTGCTCCTCCGTCTGGGACATCGCGGGGAAGTCTTCCAGGGACACCAAACGATAGGCTACTCAAATTAGCAGAGTCAAGTGATGATCGGTGACACAAACCGAAGACCCTCTTTTATGACAGCTGAAAGATAAGGCAATGTCTCAAGGCGGACAAAACTGAGCCTCTCATTTGGATCAGGAAATTCTGCTTCCAACTCTTTCGTGACTTTGGCAAAGATTTCAGGATTAGAGACCACTTTGTAAGCAGCGACCGTCATGGCATTTCCAGTTGTGTCAGCGCTCGCTGCAAGGACACTGTAGGCCTCATCTTTGAGATCATCAATTGTTGGAATGACATAGTCTGCATCCTTTTCCTGAGGACTTAACAATGCTTGAAAGATCGAAGGTCGTGTCTCTGCACGCCCAGAGTCCATGGTTTCTTTTACAGCTGCACATTGTTTTCGGCAATGCTGGCACAATCAGTTTTTTGGGGCTAGAAGGAAGGAAGGCGGGCTTACCGCTGTCAATTGTATTACTTGGCCAACTGGCGGGCTCATGAAGCTTGCTATCGCTGGAGGCAACCCCAAAGCAATCTTTTGGAGGCCAGGCCATTGCATGAATATCCACATGGTAGGGCCAATTCCCTGCACCATGTCGAAGAACTTTTCCCCCAGGTCAGGACGGTCCAGGAGATCGTAACATTGCCCAAAAGCGTACTCAGTGATTACGTCTACCGATATTGAGCGGAATCCGTAGTGGAGGTTTAATGCTCGTCCTGCTGAGAAGGTGTTCTTTGCAAGGGCTGTGAGTTTGTCTGCTTTGGTTTGAACGATCTCTTCTAGTTCCAGAACCATTTTCCGTGAGAAGAATGGATTCAGAGCACTGCGGCGAATTCGATGCACCTCTGGGCTTCTGGAACTGAAGGTGCTGTACCCAATTCCGAAAGCGTCGTACAAGGCTGACTTTCCATATTTGCTGCCGACATAATTGATTTTTTCATAGTTCTCGGGATCGCTCAGGTGTACCTCATCTGGTGTAATCCGAACGAGCGGGCCTGCTGAATAAGTGAGTGCTCCAACGCCTTCCAATCAAAGGAGTCATACCGTATATTTCATGCAGCTCCTTGATTTTCGCGTAGTAGCGGCTACCACCCATGAAGCTGTGGTATGTTTGATAGAGATAGGTTGCGCCTGCAAGTTTGGGGCCAGGAACGTGAGCCAGAGGGTGGAAGAACACGTTGTATATGGTTGTGTAGGCGAGATTTGCCAAGAAATACAGAGCAAGAGTTACGGGTAGAACCGCCGCCAGCGAGTACCCCTCGAGCCCGAGCATCTTGCAATTGAGTCCTGTGTAACGGTTGTACGACGGCGTTATAACGCTTGAACGCTCGATTGTGTTAACAGTTGACAGTTGACGGCTCAGAGGCCAGAAGGAAGAAGAGCGGGGATACCAGATAAGGATCGTCCCATGGCAACTGTGGAGTCTGAAATGCTGACACCGGCATTCCATACTCTATTACTCAACCGCTTAAAACCTGTGGTGCTCTCACCAATGGTGCACCTTTCCTTGGACATGGGGTGAGCTCGGCCCGGTCAACTGTCACTACAAGTGCAAAAGCAGTAATTCATCCGCTCCAAGCGGAGGAGGGGGAAGAATAGCTGAGAAGCTGAGCGAATTATCAAACGCCAGGCATTCCGAACTTTGATAACGGTCAATTGGGGCTCGGGCCGCGACCGAGTTCATAGCGTCGCGGGGTCGTCGTAATGCCCACAGTTCCAAAACCCGGCCCCAACGTTTCCTCAAATTTGCCGCGCACCTACTTTTGATACCCAAATGGTCTCCAGCCAGCTCTCGATTCATGATTAGATAATTTTTTTTTTTCAATTTTCTTCCGATCCATCAAGATGTCTGCAGAAGAGCAAGCCCAGGGAGCAGAGATCACCATCGTAAGCCTCTCGAGATGCCTGTGAGACTGAGACTGACGGTGTCGAGGACGCGAATGACGACACTGATCGTGATTCCTCATTCGAAGAGGATGTGTGGGTTCATAAAGATGCGATCTGATTTGAGGTTTCTCTAATTCTTTGTTCAGGACGGCTGAGTCGACAACCTCCCTGAACGACAGTATTTTGCAGTATCGGACCTTAGTGGGTGCTTATTTCTCCTCATTTTCCCCCGAGCAAGTTCTGGAGAATTCATTTGCCCCTTTGCACCGTCTCAACTCCAACTTCTACCCTCACCCGTCGGGAAAATACTGATCCGAGACTCCGGGGTTCAGCATGGACGGCGATATCATAACTTCAAAGATTCTGAGTATTGGTTAGTATGTCCGATGAGATACTTATTCACATGCTCACTAAGTTAGGGGGCCTAATGATGAGAGTCAAAATGAGCAGCTTGATATTGGGTTTGCATTCATTCCAGTTTACATGCCCTCGGCCAACCGGCCAACTGGCCAACCGTCTAACCTGATCCAGGCATCATATGTTGACATTGCTGTTGGGAGGGGAGCTGTTTTTGGCGCCAATTGGTGATCATCCACAAGTAGGCATAGCTGATTTCATCTCGAAGAGGATGTTGATTTTGGCAGAATGTCATCGACGTGGGAACAGGAACAGGCATCTGGGCAATGGACTTCGCCGATAAGTTTCCCTCGGCTCAAGTGGTTGGGACAGATCTCTCGGATATCCAGCCTCGCTGGGTTCCACCCAATTGCAAATTCGAATTGGACGACGCGCAATTGGAATGGACGTTCCCCCCAGCTCATTTCGACTTCGTACACTTGAGATGTCTCATGGGAAGCATAAAGGATTGGCCGTATATTTACAGTGAAATTTACCGGTGAATATTTCCAGATTTTTCGGCGAGCGAAGTTGATCAGAGTAGGTGCACGAAACCAGGGGGATGGATTGAGCACGTGGACATGGACATCGAGTTCAAGTCTGACGATGACTCGGTTGGGGAGGGCCATATTATGCAGCGGTGGTCCAAGACTTTCATCGATTGCGGAGAGCAAATGGGAAGGACGTTCCTGATTGGTAAGCGGTCTAAAGGTCTCCTTGAAGCTGCAGTGAGTCTACAGACATACTTGGAGCGATCCATCTAACGTAAAAAGGGATTTGTCAATGTTGTTGAGAAGAGATACAAAGTTCCTGTAGGGAGCTGGCCAAGTAATAAGGGGTTGAAGACGATCGGACAATACAATCTGCTGTATTGTGTTCAGGGGCTAGAGGGGTGGGCCTTGTGGATATTGACGACAATTTTGAGGGTATGCTACCAATTGTTTTCAGTGTCATAGGGCAATGCTAAACAGATTAGTGGAGTTACGAAGAAATCCAAGTCTTCATAGCTCAGATGAGAGCGGCGATATTGAAGCGGTCGAACCATTCGTATTATGAGGTGTGAGTAGCTGCACTGGATCTCTCCTCAGCATGGGTTATTTGGCTAACCTTCACGCAGCATTGCTGTCTATGGGCAAAAACCTGAAACTAAGACCAAGAAAGCCGCACCGACCGCCGAGGGAGGAGAAGAACCAACAGAGTCTGTTCTATCGGCTGGGGCAGCTCCATCGGCGAGCGCGGGACCTTCTTGATCTGCAGTTCAGCCTCAGTTCTCGGTTTGTCCCCGTCAGGCTGCCAGGTGTGCATCTGTATTCTTTGCTCAATTGCAATTTGCAACGGTGGGTGTCGGACCTAGGCTGTTAAATATCGACGAGCCAAAAGCATCTGTATTTTTCCACGTTCTTGTTTTGTACGAAATTGTCCCTTGTGAAGTGATGGTACGGCTGCCAAGACCCAGCAGAAAGCTAAGTAGGTTAGAGACACTCTGCTCGAGACTTCCCTCTACGGCATTCGCGCGATCCCCGAGTGGATGGTTGATCTGTTCCCCCCGATCCAAAGAAACATCCAAGGCTGGCAGCCCCTTGCGGAAGGCGTGAGTAGGGGTTAAAATGCGAGTAATGCGACGAAAAAAACTAATGATGCTCCAGTCGTTGGCGCTTGGGGTTCTTGGGTGTGGAGTTGGTGGGGCGTGGTTGCATATGTGTAAGAGGCTAATGGAAGCTGGAAGACCCACTTGGCTCGATGATCCTAACCTCAGATCTTTGCCTCAAACAACTCAATCTTTACCTCAGCCAGCTCATAAGACACGCTTTACAATACTTCTAAAGCCTTCTCGAATTTGGCGAACAGCTCATCGAACCAAACCCGATGTTCTTCTTGGGTAGTGCCCTGGCTCTTGACAAGGCTTAGTTTTGAGGGAGGTGTGGTGAGTGAGAGAAAGCTTATTGTAGATATACACCAGCAATAGGTATTATTGCCATTGAAATTGGGTAGCCATTGAGACCTTGCTTGTGATTCATTTTTGTAGTTTGCTCAGAACTATCGAGGTACCCTGATCACTTGAGGGCTTTAAGATCAGTTGAAGTTCTCGGACTTGATGTAACTTTGAAGTTGAAAACTTGCAATATCTTGGAAAGTGGACTTGAAGGGGACCTTGACTTGAAGGCAATGTTAACTTGAGGGCGATTGCATTTATTTAAAACGCCAACGGAAGGTGGACGAGTCCACGTGACACCTAATATGTGCAAGAAGGTAAGGTCTGCCGGGGTTGCGTTCTCGAGCATGGATGGGGAGTTGAATATTGATTCAGACACTATATGACTTCAGTACTCAATTTTGAAGAAGCTTATCGCAAGACAGACTTCATTCACGTAAGGTGAAGGCCACCCCTCCCCCCTGCTGCACCTCGCTTAATTATCGAAAAAGGAGGCAGTGCAACCACAATTCAAGCCACGAAACTCGCAGGCTTGCTCCTGCGCATTCAAGTGGGCAAAAGCCTCTCGGATAAGTGAATCAGATCCCCAGATTTGTTCACCGGGCACTCTTGCACATCCGATATAGGCGCCCGCCCGGACAGGTTGTTGGACAAGAAGATGGGAGCCAATGATTTTGCCATGCATTTGAGCTCTTGGCTGCAGTTTATCAGGAGACAGAGAATGACCTGATAAAAGTGCAACTGGTTTTGTTGGCTATCTATTTATAGCCAGGGACCATAAAAAGGGGCTCTTTCACCATTGCTTTTCTTCCTTGCTGTCCGCAACTCCGCTCTACAACACAGTACGTGGACAACGTCTCAGACATGGGAAATAGTCTCAGCACTTTGAAGCCGCTATTTTCGAGTTCTTCTGCCCTTCTTCTCCTTCTTGCTGTCATAACTCATGTACCCGTTGTCACGGCTAGTGGTCCTTTTGAAAGAGAAGAGTGCGCTGCGTACATCACAGCAGAATATAATAAGACGAATGGCACTAGATGGAATTCATCAATACTCTTCTCGATCGCTAACATTTCCGAACCGATTCTCACTCTTAATGGATGCGAGACGATATGTGGGGCGGGGACAGGATGGTACCCAGACATAGGGCCTCGTCTCGTGGAATGGTTTCTTCCGATATTCCTGCTTATCTCCAACATGCAATTTCCTCTCATCGGAATGGAAAGTTTTTTTCTCGTGCTGCACTTACTCGGAGACCCGATTGATTCGACTTGGTCACTCCTGGACAAAATCGATAGCTGGAATCGATGCTGTGCCTTAGCTCGAAAAAGACTCACCAATGAAGCGGATATCTGGTGCCTCGCCATCATTTATGCAGCTCGGAGAGAGATTGAAGACGTTTCTGATTACCAGCTAGAACAAACCGATATCAATATAACTTCGGTCAGAACGACTGCGAGCGATCTCTTGAGGCAAAGAAAGAACGAGATCTTTCGGACAGTTTTTGCTGTTGCGATGTATATCTTCCAGGTTATTTCGGCTTTCGTCCCTTCCGTCGGAGCGTCATCGAGCCCTTCAGGGGGAAAGATTGGCACTGCGATGCTCCTGTCTTGGCTTGTGCCTGTTGTCATGTTGAGTAATACAGTTGGTGATTTGGGTTCTCCTGCGAGTACCGAGAAAACTATATCAACGTTCATGGCCAGCAATAAACAACCGAGAAACATAATCAACGTCTCGGTTTGGTCTGGTGCTCTATACTCTTATCGTCCGAACAAAGGTCTCGGCAACTCGGGATGGAGATTAGCTACCATCTCCGCTCTCCCCGTCGCGATTGCTTTCGGAACATCTTTCACAGTTCTTGAAGCAGGACCTACATACTTCAGTTGTCGTTCGCTTTTTGTCATTGGGGCATCTGCATACTGGGGCTTGAGCGCACTCTTGACGTACACCTTCTCGCGAAAAGCCGTGCAATCCTGTTTCTCATCAGGAAAACATCTCTGGTACGTCATCTTGGTGAAAGATTTCCTGGTCGCTGCTCCCATCCTGAGCTTGATTGTCGCCTCTAGCTGTGGATATTGGAATACCTGCTATTGCTGGGGCGGAGGTCCAGCGCATGGGGACAATACTAAGGTTCCATTGAACCCGACGAACATCTTCAATTTCAACAACGGGAAGTTCTACCCTGCCATAGTAGGAACTGGTCTCGGATTCCAGCTTATAGTCTTCTTGGTTATGCTGGGATTCGGATGGCATGGTCTCAGGGCCCTGGGGCTCCGGCTGCCTTTGCTGAACTGGATGACCTCGTGGTGGTGGGAAAGGAGGGTGGTTCGGGGTTCCAATCGACTTGCACCAGTGGCTGAAGCTGAACCTCAGTGGGAAAACAGAGAATTGAGTTGTATGGGTATAATGGATGAAAATCAGGGTGGGACGGAAATAAAGTGCGAGGAAGTGTAAGAAAGGCTTCCAGAAAGTAAGACCAAGACCTTCAGGAGCTTTCGCGAGGGTGTCCATCTTTGTAATCAGCTTCTAATGCAGTCTTCTCAATGTGATTGCGGGGAGGTCTTTCTTCCCTGTCCTCAGATCAAAAGATCAGCCAGTTAGTAGAAATAGTGCAAGTCCGTCAAAACCATACCGACAAACGCTATCAGAGCTCCATTCTATACGAGATCAGCATGTAAACCAAATAAAATATGGTTTCACTCCTAGAATCTCACATACCCTCCAGAACGCTGATATCTTTCAAGACATCCGAATCTGGGACAATGCTTAGACCTCGATGCTCAGGGTACCATATGTCCATATGCACCTGCCCAATAAACGTGAAATTTGAGACGTCTCTCTTTGCTATAACAATTGCATTTCCAACAAATTTTATGCCCCTTCGGCCGATCGTGTCTGCCAACGACATGAAGGGAGTTTCACGAAAGTTGCCAATATTCATGAGAGCATTGATTGTACCGAATGTGACTCCGCTACTGGCAACTCCAAAGTAAGTATTCCAAGCAGGGTAGGCATTGATTCCAGAAATGACAGCCCAATCAATGTCGTAGCTTGCCATGCCACAGCCTTGAACGAACATCGTGAGGAAGAGTTAAAAGCTGGTCCATGACTTGAAACAAAGAGATTCCCTTAGAATGCCCCAGATATATGTCCCATTTACCATCCACTATTGGACCTGGGATTGCGGCCCGTCCATGACAGTGGATCAAACTTGCCCCGTGTCCATCCCCAGAAACTTCCCCGCGCTAGCAGCTTTCCGGTGGGGGATGGCGTTGGAAGACTCAGGGGTCCGGCGGACTTTGATGTTGATTGGTGGATTTGGAGCACTTCTCTCCCGCCCCTAGCCAGAAAACCTCAAGATCTTGTCGGCATCGCAGAACTAAGGCAAGGAATCACGAATTACAGTATGCAACTGGGAAGCTATCATGCTGCTGTGGTTCGAAGTGTCTAGCCGTATCTTCCATGAAGGCTTGATGATAACTAGCCGCCAGCCGATGAGACGATGAGACCATCTCCGTCGCCCAAATCGACCGTTACACAGAAGCACTGGCTCAGAATCGATACTATATCTGCCTCTGGATTGGTGCATTTGTGTCGCTCCCCATTGTACCGAGCTTCACCTGCAGACTTGGACGATGGACCCCTCGCCCAGCACTTCGCTTCACTTCAAAGCACCGGCATCTGACTGGTCGCAAAGTCTCCCAATTGGCAACGGACGGCTTGGGGCCATGGTATATGGCCGCACGACGACAGAACTATTGCAATTGAACGAGAATTCGGTGTGGTATGGAGGTTGTCAAGATCGAACGCCACGCGACTCGTTGAAGAATCTTCCTCGGCTCAGAGGCCTGATTCGGGCCAGCGATCATTCCGGCGCGGAAGACCTCATCCGGAAGGCTTTCTTCGCGACACCTCACAGTCAACGACATTACGAGCCTCTCGGCACGCTCACTTTGGAGTTTGGCCATGAAGAGGTGGATGTGCAGAGCTATCGCAGAGGCTTGGACCTCCGGACGGCCGTGACGAGTGTCAGGTATGAGCATTGCGGCATCAAATACAAGCGGGAGGTCTTCGCCAGCCACCCCGATAATGTCTTGGTCATACAGCTCGAGTCTTCGGAGGAGACTACGCTTACTCTTCGAATGACCCGGGTCAGCGAGGTAGAATGGGAGACCAATGAGTTTGTTGACTCCGTTGCAACGACTGAAGATAGCATTATCATGCATGCCACACCAGGAGGTCTGGGCAGCAACCGATTGTGTTGCGTGGCAAAAGTCCAGTGTCAAGATGGTGGTGTAGTCGAAGCCATTGGGGGTTGTCTTGTGGTGACTTCAAGGAAGACCACGATCGTTATCTCAGCTCAAACTACATTCAGACATGAAGACGCTGAGTCTGCTGCGTTGGCTGATGTACGGCTGGCTTTGGAACAAGATGATCTTCGAGATAGGCATGTGAAGGACTATCAAACATTATTCCAACGCATGCAGTTATGTTTATATCCCGATAATTGTGGGTTATCGACAGATGAAACCCTTCTCGGGATACCAGATCCAGGCCTGGCTGCTCTCTACCACAATTATGGCCGGTATCTCCTGATTTCCTGTAGTCGACCCGGATTCAAAGCTCTACCAGCTACTCTCCAGGGACTTTGGAATTCATCCTTTCAGCCAGCCTGGGGGAGCAAGTACACCATAAACATCAACACTCAGATGAATTACTGGCCCGCGAATGCCTGCAATTTGGCTGAGTGCGAGCAGCCTCTCTTCAATTTGCTTGAAAGAATGGCAGAACGAGGCAAGAAGACTGCTGAAGCCATGTATGGATGTCGGGGATGGGCAGCTCATCACAATACTGACATCTGGGCGGATACAGACCCTCAGGATAGATGGTTGCCTGCAACTGGTGAGCTTACTGCATGGATTTGACGAGGCCGTCCATACTGACTTATTCTTACTTAGTCTGGCCACTTGGTGGTGCCTGGCTATGCTACCACATCTGGGAAAGCTACCATTTCAACGGGGATAAGGAGTTTCTTAGAAGAATGTTTTCTGTCTTGAAAGGCTGTGTCGAATTCCTTCTCGATTTCTTGATTGAAGATTCCACTGGACAATACCTGGTAACCAACCCATCTTTATCACCTGAGAATACTTTCCTAGACGAGAATAAAGCCAAAGGCGTCCTTTGCGAAGGTTCGACCATCGACATCCAGATCATTGACGCTGTCTTCAGTGTTTTCATCAGAAATTGCACCGAACTCGATGTAAACGATGAGTTGCTTCCAGCAGTTGAGAAATCCAGGAAACGTCTTCCGCCAATGGCCACTGGCTCCTTTGGTCAACTTCAAGAGTGGGGAAAAGATTATACCGAATTTGAGCCTGGCCATCGCCACACTTCTCATCTTTGGGGTCTGCATCCAGGAAACAGCATCACAAAGAGCAAGACTCCTGATCTGGCAGCCGCAAGTGCAGTAGTGCTCCGTAGGAGAGCAGAGCATGGGGGCGGGCATACTGGGTGGAGTCGTGCATGGCTCATCAATCTGCATGCGCGACTTGGAGACTCGGAAGGTTGCCTCGAGCACATAAATCGGCTTCTCAAAGACTCCACCCTTCCCAATATGCTGGACACTCATCCCCCTTTCCAGATTGATGGGAATTTTGGTGGCTGTGCGGGTATTATCGAGATGTTGATTCAGTCACATGATGGTTTCATTGAACTCTTGCCTGCTTGCCCGAAGTCTTGGAGTAAAGGGTTGTTGAAAGGAGTTCGTGCAAGGGGTGGATTCGAAGTTGATTTTGAGTGGGAAGATGGTGTAATCAAGGAGCCGGTCATCGTTCACTCACATTTTGGACATGCGGGTAAGGTCTTGTTTCGTTGGGCCACAGAGCCAGTGGAGTTCGAAGGGAAAGGAGTGCATCGCATTGTTAGTAAATAGATGCTCTACATTTTCAACCCCATGCCCCCCATTTCCCTTATTCCTTCTTAACCATATGCTGGAACAACTCTCTGATCACTGTCGCCGACTTTTTCGGATATCTCTTCTTATCCTTCGACTCAAAATCCACAAACGTAACCCCAAATCTATCTGTATACCCCGCAGCCCATTCCCAATTATCCGTAAACGTCCAAGCAAAGTAGCTCCTGATATCTACACCATCCTCTTTCACAGCACGTGCAACCGCACCTATATACCCCTCAAAGAACTCAATCCGAAAGGTATCATTCAAGACCTCCTCACTCGGCTCTGTCTCCGCTTTTGCCGTCGTCCCATTCTCGGTGATATAAATCGGGATACCATATCGTTTCCAAATCCAGTTTAACAGTTTCCGAAAACCGGCTGGGTTGGTGCGAAGCCAGTATGTATCACTTTCCGGTCCTCTAGAAACTCCTTGCTTATTCGTATCCAGTTTCTCGATATTTCCAGAATGGTCGTTGATATCTGGTGGCGTATCTAGATGTCTGACGAAGAATGTAGTGTAGCTATTCATCCCGTAGAAGTCGGAGCTACCTAGGGTGAGTTTCGATTCTTCTGCTGTGAAGTGGGGCAATCGGTCGCCGAGCTGGGCACGCATGCTCGCTGGATAGTCTCCGGTCTTGTATACGGGATCGGCGTACCATGCTATCTCGAATTCTCGTGCTCGTTCTGCGGCTTCTTGATCCAAAGGATCGTCTGAATCCCAGGGTTCCGAGTAATTTCCATGAAGCGTGATCCCAATCATTCCCTTCTGCTGATGCTGGAACATCTCTCGATACAACTGAACAGCATACGCATGCGAAACAAGCTCCGTATGTCCAACAATAAACGGTTCCGTAGAAGAATCACCCTCAGCATTCAACTTCCGATTCGACGACCTGGCCGGTGCATGAACCCCCGCCGCATACCCAGCTAACGTATACACACCCGGCTCATTGTAGGTGATCCAATGCTTCACTCTATCCCCCAACCTCTCAAAGCACACCCTCGCATAATTCACAAAATCAGGCGTATACATCTCCTTGTTTAACATTCCGCCATACCGGTCTTCGAGTGCCTGCGGCGTATCCCAATGAAAAAGCGTCACGAACGGCGTGATCCCATTCTCCAGCAACTCGTCGATCAGATTCTCATAATATTGCAACCCTGCCTCATTCACAGGATCATCTTTTCCACCGAGAGGGATGATCCGTGACCAAGATAGCGAGAATCGGTACGCAGTGACTCCGTATGACTTCATGAGCGCCACGTCCTCTTTGTATTTGTAGTATGAGAGCACTGCATCGTCGGGTGTGCTCCCGTCTTTCACTTTTCGAGGAGTGTGGGCGAAGGTGTCCCAGATTGAGAGGCCCTTGTCATCGGCGTTCCAGCCTCCCTCGACTTGGGTTGCTGCTGTTGCGTAACCCCAGTGGAAATCGCTGCGTAGAACGCCCTTGAGGTCTTTAACTTTATCTTGATCCATCGGGTGCAACGGACGAATTCAAAAACAATGCGTGATTGTGAACGTTTTCAAAGTATACAGGAGAAATTTATACTTGATTTACACTACAAATCAAAATCGATGCTCGATCTCAGGAATGACGAGAAATCGTCACTCGTGGTAATGTCTCCCGAGCCATCTAGGGTCAGGTTTTCGGATCGTGAAGCAAGGATATATGCACGCGTGCGGGGTCCTGCCACGACAAGTTTCCATTGGAGGAGTTTTTGAAGTTGTTTTTTGCTGTAGGAAGCTTACCCAAACAGTGAAAATGCAAAGGAACAGCCTGAATTGATCATCACGTGTCGGCTGCTATCTACCCCACTCAGATTGCCGATCAAAGGTAACTCCTGTGCTTTGGGACAAATACATTTTAGGGTCGGAGGGATCGAAGCTTGATTTTATTAGGCTCTTGCGTAGGACGGAACCATGGGACAGCAGATGGTGCGTGTCTTCAAGGCTTGAAATTCTAGTGCAACGGCTAAACCTTATCAGGCTTGTCTGGACCAATTCGTTATTTTCGGTCTGTCACTTTCAACGTCTCGAGCTTATTTTGTCTGACGATCGTATAGGAGATAGCATCACCCAGGGAGCATGGGACCAGTCACGTGGCTTTGCCATGGGGGCAGAGCTGGCATCGGCATACTCGAGGCGGTTTGATGTGATGAATCGAGGGTTCTCGTACGCATGTCCTTCTACAGGCCTAGAATCCTCTCTGATCAAAGCTCTCCAGCGGCTATAACACCGACCACGCACTAAAGGTGGTGCATAACATACTACCGCAGGCACACCCTCAGCAAGTTGCTGTTCGTTTCCTGGTATGTCGATTTTCTCTTTTTGTCAGAAGATAATCATCAAGATAAGCTAATATTGGACGAAGGTGATATGGTTCGGAGCAAATGATGCAAACAAGAACCCAATCCAGGCACAATACGTCCCACCAGATCGCTTCAAGAAGAACCTTCTCGAAATCATCAATCACCCAGTGGTAACAGTCCACTCACCTAACATAATCTTGATCACGCCACCTCCCTTTGAAGAGACTATGTTGGTGAAGCTTCAGGAAGAGTGGGGAGTTACACCACCGACCAGAAAAGCAGCGGATGCGCAGGAGTATGCGGAGCTTGTGAAAGAAGTTGGGAAAGAGGCCGGGGTACCGGTCTTGGATGTTTGGTCTGCTTTCATGGAGAAGGCTGGGTGGAAGGCTGGAGATCCATTGCCTATCCCTGGAACTTTAGAGCTTGGGAAGTCTAAGGAGCTGGAGGAGCTGTCCTATGATGGTGAGTTGGAAGGAATTCGAGGAGAATATGTAAAGGAGAGTCTTTTACTGACAAGGCTTAAGGTTTACATGTCAGCCCCCAGGGATACAGAATCGTATTTAGTGAGTTGGTAAAACTTATCAACGAGAAATGGCCGGAGTACCCGCCGTATAAGATGCCGTATGCGGTCAAGGTGCAGTGGGAGAAGGATATGGGCGCGGAATTCTGGGATGTGAAGAATACGATATGAATGGTAACTGAATGATGCAATTTCGTAGACTGTGGGAGTAGACTTCCCTTGATTTCAACGAGAATAGAGAGGATTTAGAGTTATTTGAAGAAGTCGAGATCGAGGAAAGGAGGTGTGCTGAGTCACGTGAACGTCTGCAGACCCTGCTATCAGAAATCAAACCACCTGTTCAAAAGAAGCTGCTCGCAATTAGAAGTGTTCTCAGCTTTCATATAAGTTGAATTATCTGGGCTTACTATTGAAAGTTGATTGTCGGCCTCGCCACAAAGTGTGGTCGAAAGTGGGGTCAAAAAGCGGGCCAGCGCCGCCGATTTCGAAAGCTTGTCAATCACCAAACTCCAACCACAATGCTTTCTTACTGATTGAATCGCGTCCATCATGGCATTCAAGTCGCATAACTATACTCTATTACCGCAAGGCGAGTCGGAGCCCTTGACCGCCTCTCGTCAGCGCACAAAATGGAACTGGAAACGGATCCTGCACTTTACGATTCCAGGCATCTTGGTCCTCGTCCTGGTTCTGTTCCTATCAATTTCTCAAGCAATTAAGGGCAGCAAAGATCCTCAGGTCTTCCCACATCCTGACACGACAGCATGCCCTCAGTTTCCTGCAATCGAAAGCTTGTCGGATGACCGAAAGAAACTGGAGACGGAAGTCCGGGACAAAATTGGCAGTGATGATTTTTTCAACGAGAGCTTGAAGAGAATGCAAGGTGCTGTGCAGATACCGACAGAGAGCTTTGATGATATGGGTAAGGTTGGAGAGGACCCGAGATGGGATGTTTTCATTGAATTCCATGATTACTTGAAGAAGACGTTTCCTCTGGTGTAAGTCTCACCAATACTTGCGGCAACGGTATACTGATAATTCTCTAGCTATTCAAAGCTCGAATTCACTCCCATAAATACATACGGAATACTCCTCGAATGGAAAGGGAAGGACGAATCGCTGAAACCATACCTCTTCATGGCACACCAAGACGTTGTTCCCGTCCTCAAGGTTACCGAGTCCAGATGGAAATACCCACCCTATTCGGCACATTACGATGGCAGATATATATGGGGTCGAGGAGCAACGGATTGCAAAAATAACCTGATTGGCGTTTTGGAAGCTTTTGAAATCCTCCTAGAGAAGGACTTCACACCCGGGAGAAGTATTCTCGCTGGATTTGGTTTCGATGAGGAGATCAGTGGGCCTCAGGGAGCACAATTTATTGCTAAACATCTCGAAGACACAAGAGGGAAGGATTCAATTGAATTGATTGTGGATGAGGGAGGTTTGGGAATCCAGGTGGTGGATGGAGCGACTTTTGCTTTGCCAGGGTTGGGCGAAAAAGGTGAGTACCATGCTCGGAATTGGCCCTTTTGGCTGATCATATCAAAGGATATTTTGATGTTAGAATAACCGTCGAGACTTCCGGCGGCCATTCATCAGTTCCACCTGACCACACCGGGATTGGGATACTCTCTCAAGTCATCTCAGCTGTGGAGGCGGAACCGTATGAACCGGAGCTCACACCTGCCAATCGTCAGTTCCCCTATTCCAAGTTGGAGGAGTTTGCTAATTTAACCAGCTTACTTCACCACCTTACAATGCTCAGCAGAATACGCTCCTGACATGGATTCCTGGCTGCGGAAAACCATCAAGAAATCGTTGAAAAGCAAGAAGGCTGCTAAATCTGTGGCTGATTATATCGCAAAGAAGAACGTTTTCCAGAGATATCTCATGCAGACTTCACAAGCTACAGATCTCATATCGGGCGGCGTGAAGATCAACGCTCTACCAGAAAAGGTCTACGCAGTAATTAATCACCGCATCGCGGTCGAGAGTCATGTCGATGATATCCGTTCCAAGCTCCGAACGCTGGTAGAGTCCAAGATCTTGAAGAAGTTTTCAATGTCCCTGGATGCATGGGGCGACGTTTCAGGAAACACTTCAAGTTCAGCCGTTGGCCAGATCATACTGGAGGACTTCGATATGCCACTTGAGCCGTCTCCGGTGTCACCCTTTGACACCGATGCTTACAAGACGTTCACTGGAACGATCAAGCAAGTGATGGGAGAGGATATTATCGTCGCACCTAGCTTAATGACGGGGAACACCGATACGAAATTCTACTGGGGTCTGACGCCAAATATATATCGGTTCAGTCCGATGAGGGAAGAGGGAAGAGCAAATGCACACACGGTTGATGAGCGTGTTGGGATGAAAGAGCATATTGAGGCCGTGAAGTTTTACGCCCAATTAATATTGAATGGTGACGGGTCGTGATCGGTCAAAGGGTAGTTTTTAGGTACAACTGGTTTGCACAGTATATATTTCCGAGAAGGAGGTCAAGTGGCCGATCTTTCCCGGCTCACTAGCATTGCAGATTCCAAAAGATTTTTGAGTCTCTCAAACCTGGCCCTTTGCCAACGTTTTGACTCTGCTTGGAGCATCAAGTGATGGGGACATCGTGGAGAAAGAAATTAATATGTTTCTATGGCTCCATCAAATCAACACCTTTCCACTATTTTTAAATCTGTAGGACAAATGTGTGCCAGCACTATTTATTCCATTATATCACCCAAATACCCTACAATGGATACCTGAAAGACCTCAACTTGAAGTCCGTCAAGTCGGCGAACTCCTCATTCTCAATGTGCTCATGAACAATGCCATCTGTCAAAATCGTTAGCAAAAAATGTTACCTTTTTTGTATGAAGACTTACTTTGAGCATCAAGAACATCCTGCTTGTCTCTCTTATTATTCCACATCTTATGAATAAGGCCATATGAAGTCAAAAGAAAGATCGTGAAAAGTAAGAAGGCAAGCATAGTGTACTTGGCAGGCTGTCAAATAATCAGCATTGAAGTTTGACACTGGGATCTGAAGATCTTTGCACTTACGTAGTAATTTGGAGCATCCTTAGCAACATATGTCTGAGGACCAATGATATTTCCAACTGCATAGCCAAGTTGGTATGCACATCCGAAAGCGAATTTCTTGGTGGAGCCTCCAACGCCTGCTGTCAAAAACGTGATAATGAACAGCACGCAAACGCCGAATTGTTGGGTCAGGATATATCCTCCATATCGAGCTCCGTAGTGCTCAGCCGGGATAACAAACATCATTATAACACCGATACAGGACAGGCAGAGCGTGTAGCATCCTGCGATCGTTCGACCAGTGAATTTTGCCAGGTACAGAGCCATGATCGTACCGACTACTGTGCATGCACCGGATCCCATGTTTAGAAGTGTGGACTGGTCTGTATTGAAACCAAAACTGGCAATAATTGAAGGACCTAAATATGTCAGTTTCCCAAAAGTCAACAAGGGGGAATCGCTCAACTCACCAAAAGCAGTCAAACCACCATTTGGAAGACCAGTGGAGACCAACAGCAGAAACATCATGTAAAACCGAATGTCCGTGAAACATTCAAATAACTGCGACTTGTTGAATCGCCAGACCTCGGAGCCAGTCTTGTTCTCTCGGACTCTCTCAAGAGCAATAGTCTTCTCCTCATCCGTGAGCCAGCTGGCCTGGGTTGGTGAAGCGGCGAGGAAGAAGAACAGGATGACGCCCATGCAAAAGGTGAGGCATCCATAGAAGACGAACAAGCCTTGCCACTTGAAGCTTTTGGCGTGGTTAATGGCGAAGGCGAAGAGGCCGCCGAAGACGTTGGCCCAGCCGGATGTCGTGTACCAGATTGCAACTCTTGTGATTTGCTCACTCTTGATGTACCAGGACCCCGTGATGTAAATCACAGCGGGAGCTGTGCAGACTTCAATTGCTCCAAGGAGGAATCGGACAGTTGCGAGACTGGCGAAGTCCTGGCATACGGCATGCATGGCTACAACGATCCCCCAGAGCATACACATGATCGAGAAATACTTCGATAGAGAAAATCGCTGCATCAGGAACGTGGCAGGAATTTCGCCCCCAAGATACCCAAAATAAACGATCGATCCCAGCCACGAATACTGCTTGGCCGTGAGATGGCAATCAGTTTTGATGCCCATGATGGCGGCAAATGATAAGCTGTTCTTGTCCATCAGTTGCAACATGTAGACCACGAACACCATGGGCATTATCCGCATGTCGATTTTCCGTAGCACGCGCTTGGCCTCTGTGGAATTTGGGTCGAAATTGACATGGTGGGTTGCGAGCAAGCCGAGAGCTTTGTCTTTACTGGCTGCTTGCTGGTCGATTCCTGCTTTCTCGAGGGGGATGACATGAACCTCTCCCTGGTCACAAAATCTCAGTCGGGAATCCACCAGTAAAATCAGAATCGTCAAATGCTTACCGCCTCAGTGTCGGCATTGGTGATGTCGGCCCTGCCCAAAGCCTTTTTTTCTGTCGACATGATTGCAATATTATCAGGATAGGAAGAAGAGAAGTCCTGGCGCATCGTCGCATCTCCCTTATATGCCTCGACTCACTTGCACATTATCAACTTATCGGGGGCCGATCAGGAAGATTCCCACTTCGTGCACGGCCCGGCCCCTCTGCCACAAGTTAACTTGCAGAGAGGCACAGTTCCGGAACGTCGCCGAGGGAAGATACCAAAGGGGATAGGGAAGAGGATTCTGATAGTGTTATTGCAGGGGTTCATTGGCCGGTCCCGCAGAAGTGTCCCACTTATCCACCAAAGTGGTACAGTGCAGATAGCATGCCCACTCTTGAGCGATACCAGGAGATATCGTTCTTGACGAGTCACGGAGATGGAAAATGTGGCCTGAAGGATGAGTATGAAACTTGAGGCTGTTGGGAATGTGCATCTGGGAATGGGTCACCGCTAGCATTTGTATAACTTCACTATCATTACCTATCCTTTAACGCCAATCAGATAAATCACGATCAAAATAATGGCAGAAAGACTTGTTCCAGTCATCTCCCTGAAAGGTAATGAGAAACTTCCTGGACACTAAAGTTCGAAAAGCTCATACTTATATAGACTTTGAAAGTCGGAAGGAGGAGATCACCGAGCAACTGGTAGAAGCAGCAGAAAATGCTGGGTTCTTGACCCTGGTCGATCACGGCATCAGTGTCCACGAGATTGAAGCACAATTTGCCATCTCCAAAGCTTTCTTTGGGCTGTCCCTTGAAACTAAGGGGAAAACTCCTCACAGTAAGAAGACCAATAATGGATGGGAGTACATGGTCCGCCTCCTTGAATCCTTGAATGTTGAGTTAGAGATCTGACACGATTCATCAGGCTCAACTTCGACCCAGTACCGGGATGTATGACCAAAAAGAGTCACTTTGGCTTCAAAGAAACTCAGAATGGCCAAGCGATGACGATATTCCCAAGTTCCGGGAGACAACCGAGAACTTTATGACGAAATGCGCAAGCATTTCCGACCAAGTTCGTAAGTTGCAACACTGAGTGCCATGATAGCCAAAGCTGACGACCAGGAGTATCCTGTTTTGCAAAGGCTCTCGGCTTCCCTGAGGATTACTTCAAGATAGCAAACGATCCCCTTCAGCCAGATTGCCTTACCCAACTTCGCCTAATCCATTACCCAGCTTCAGAAAACGCTGCTGGGTCCTGGAGAGCTGGATCTCATACCGATATTGGATGCCTGACTCTCCTTTTCCAACGGGATGGAGAAGATGGACTTGAGATCTGCCCGGGGCGGGAAAGCCACTCGACTTTTGCAATAGGGGAGACTTTCACTCCTCTTCCTGCTAAGACTGGCCCAATTGTTGTGAACATTGGTGATATGCTGAGTAAGTGTGCAAGTCCACGTTTGAAGATATCACTGACGTGAAGGCAGTGGCATGGTCTGATGACAGGCTCAAATCCAACTTCCACAGAGTCAGAGCCAAGGACATCGGTAAATCTCCAGATCGCTACTCCATAGCCTATTTCAACCAGAGCAGGAAAGGCTTCGTGCTCCAGGGACCGAAAAAGAAGTAGTGAGTGACTTCACTCTCATTCGTGAGTGCTTTGACATTTGACTGATTTCATTACAGCCCTCCCATGACGGTTGACGACTACTTTAAGCAAGCAGTCGCAAGGAACTTTGGGTGAGTGAAATCACGTTCTCACCCAACTCACTGACCAAATGAATTTTGCAGCGCTCTTCAAGGTGCGGAGAATGAGAAATTAGTAGTAGTCTCTGCTGAGGCTTGATTCCATCTGAAGAAGATAAGAAATGTATTTCCAAAAAGGGTATGAATCAAAAGTCTGGTCTTTAGTGTTGGACTTTCATTCGCCGAGAGGAGTGTAAATGTGCAAATTCTCTATTCAGATTGAATCGGTAGCTGACACAATGGCATCTGATATATTACAGGCTTCATGCCACTGCCGAAAGTTCGAAGGTGCCTGGAGTGCTGCCTGTGGCCAAGTCTTTCCGCTGTGACATGCCGAATCGAGCCGCTATAGCTGTCTCATCGCACCAAGAGCGTCTGCTCATTTGTTCGCCAAATCGCATCTAGTGCAGAATCGATTTTGATACACCAGGGGGAACAGGCCCAGTGGTTTTTGTTGAGCTTTCCCACCCTCGACCGTCATTCGAATCCTCTTTGCTAGTAACGAACATCGACCGCCCAGTCCCACCAGACAGCTGGCCATGGCTGCGTCGTTCACATATAAGAAGCTGGGCCCTTCCGAGTCAGAGATCAGGTTGCCGAAATTCCGTCAATCCTGCAATGGCGTGGTTGAGTGCGACCTCGTCAAACACTCACTGACCACGAACCTTTAGTAAGATCTTACTAGGCACTCTTGTATCCCTGGGAGACCCCAGAGTCACCAAGGATATCCTCGTGAATGGGGTACCATTTGCGGCCACAACGAATCTTGTCGCTGCTCTGGAGATTTTGGCAAAGGAACTTCGAAGCTCATCATTCATATGGGTCGACGCTGTTATTACTGGCGTTACCCAGGGAAGAGGGTTTTATCCATCTGTTCTCAAATCGAATATTGTGGAAACGTGTTTTTCCCCAAATGTCGACTTCCATTGATTCTCCACAAAGTCGGCGACTAATATCACGTCGTCAGCTCGGGTTTTGTGCTTGGACTGGTGGATGAAGAAGCAGCGGCAATGTTGGAGCGGGATGGTTTGCAAGAGCGTCATATTCATTGATTTGTGTTTCGTGGAGTTCTTCCTTACTGAGTGCGGTGACTCCATCGTAATCATTACCCCTTCATGCATCTCACCTGCGTTGGGATTGATAGAAAGATGCGGTTTGTGCATAAGACTCACGTCAGAACTTACTTGTAAGAGTGGAAAGGGGTTTCAAGAAGCGCTGTGACCTAAATGGTCAATTTTCACGTCGTTCTCAAGTTTCTGCACCGAGGACCTCGCTTGAGAATCTCGGCAACCCTTCTGGCACTAAGAAATTTACGTTCTTCTCAAGCAAGCAAAAAAAATTCACAGATTGACCAATCATGCCCGTTGATATAAGAAGGTAATTAGAGGCCGTTGGAGTCGAACCAACTCAGTACCACAGTCCGAAGCCCCACAACGAGACATGTACTCGTGGTCGAAGCGAGCCGGAAGCTGAGCCCTACTACCGCTTAAGCTGTCACCCACTATTAATTAGCGCAAATACTCTTGTATTTTCCCATAGTAGCAATTAGCTTCTTGCATATGCTCGACCTTTAGATATAATAAATACTTATTTTACTAAAGGAACACTGCCCCTCTCTTCTATTGCCCTCGTCCATCCCCGACCCCCTCCTAACTGCCCGCCAGGCATGCTCCTAGCATACTCTCGACCTTTAGCCTCTGGCATATGCTCAGCATATATACTAACCCTAACTCGCAGCGCCTTCACGCTCTAATATATCCCAATGCGGGGGGCTCTTACCGCCGCCCCACCCCCCGGGACTAACCTGAATCCTAACCCCTAACCCTAAGCCCCTCGCAAGCTCGGGACCAACCCTAACCTTCTTAGCTCGTGCATATGCGGAGCATAAGAAGAGCGTATGCTGAACTATAGTAGGGGACAACTTAAGCGAGAGTAGGGATCAGCTAAAACCCCGGTCTACGCCCGCAAACCCCTTAGCACAGGCCCCATCGTTAGAATTGTCCTGTGAGCTCTTCTACCGTTGAGCTACCCCCCTTGAATTCAATTTGCCAAAAAAACTTCTCCTTTTGATATATTCAATTCCAATAAAAATTTGCCTGAGCCTCGCTTTCGTCTCCAAATCAGTAAGGAAGCACTTCAGGGGATATCAGGCTCTTGGCAACTACCATAGTACAGAGTGTATAAAATGGGCCAGATTAGAATTGCGATCTCTCTCTCTCTCTCACTCAAATTTTTATTTATTTCGACCTGCGTATTTTCACTGTTCAAACATATTTGGAGACGGCTGGAGTCGAACCAGCTCAATACCACATTTCGAAACCAGCCACTGGGTAAGCAGGTTCCACCTTTCGGCAGTCCACCCTGCTACTACTCAGGGCTTGGTAGTTTCTGTGAGCTCTACCGTTGAGCTACGTCCCCTATTGGATTTGCCGAAAAAGTTCTTGTTTCGATCTATAAGACCGAAAGCGAATTACGTTGAAGTGAATCGTGTTTGTTGTGATTCTCGCTAAATAAAGGGGCGTAGGGGTTGCAGTTTCACAGCGTCATTTCTAATATTCTAGTGAAGGTGACTTCTGTATACGGTCTCGCCGCAAATTAGTCGGTTATATGATGGGATCCATTTCATTTTTGGTGCTTATCTGTCTGTCACCTAAAACGTGACTTCCACAGGTCGAGCCTCCCGTCTTCAGCAAGATGAAATATCACGTGATGAGACACTATCAAACCTCCTATGACGTTCGGGATTTGTACAGCCAGCTGCACAATGCCCCACCGTCCCCACTCACTACCGAAGTCCGTAGCGTCTCAAAAGTGGTGCAACTCAAGCTCGCGACTCACGAGTCAGGTCTGCTATCGAAAGTGGGATCTGCATGGGGGTGCGACTAGCGAGAAATATTGCCACCGATAAGATGGGACATCGGTCTTGGCCGCTTCTCTGATGAACGGAGTTGTTGAGGATGGTTCCTGGCACCACACTGTGACAAGAATCGCATGATATCGTAAGATGGTGGATGGGCGGTTGAACAATTGTATATAATTGAAATGTTCCCCATGCGAAATATAAATCATTTCCCTTCACATCTTGCTTTAAAACGGGCTCACTTAAAAATGAAATTGAATTTGCGCTCCCGGCTGCTGAGCTGAAGGAACCCGCTCCTGGAGTGTCACTATTGCCTCCGTTGACTCGAAGAGGTTATGGTCCAGGGTTCATCATAATGCTTCCAAACTGGACACCGTCATACAAAGAAAGCGGAACACTATGCGAAGATGGAGTCCCTCCACCACTTTTGAAATGGTCGGAAGAAGGCTTTGCGGTTGTATAGATACTTGAGAATGCTTTTGAACAGGCCGGTACAACAGAGGCGCTGTTAAATTTGGCGATCTCGGGGTTGAAGAATTGCCCTGAGTGCCATGAAGAAGACGGAATCGGCTTGGTCGTACGTAAAGTCAATTCTACAATTGGTTTATACGCTGACACAAACCAGACTACGCCTCTTAGCTTTGGAATCGACTCATTGCAAAGGTAATTTTGCCGCTGTCAATACTGACAGCTGTGTGCTACGGGTGTGCTTCAGATCCCCCTCTCCAGAATGCATCTATTCCAAACTTACAGCACCTCACTGGAGAAGCCGATTCAAGGATTGCCAAGAAAGGTGGTCTTACGAAATGCAATTACCCCTCAATGAAGCCGCGATTTGCAGTGCCTAGTCTCGACAACTTCGACTATGCTACCGAAGCAATATCACATCCTCGAAACTTGACGTTTCTTAAGAGATATATCAGAGGGGCAGACTTTGATCTGGGAGCCATCTGGGAAGAGCATTGCTATTTTGAATTCGAGGATCGTTCTGTTGCAAAAAAGATGGGGACATCGGTGCAAGAGCTGTATGTGAATCATATTCTGACTGTAAACATTTCGGTAGCTCTTCCTGCCTGATTGACAACAGCCTACTTTTCAGATGACCAGCGGCGTTGGAAGAAAGCTGCTTACCTCCTTCTACCGGGACCATTTTATCTTCACCAACCCGCCAGATGTAAAACACGAGCTCGCTAGTAGCACAATAGGAGTCGACCGAGTCTGTGACGCATTTATCATGAATTCCACACACACTTGCGAGGTGGACTGGCTATGACCGTTCTCCTCCTCGCTAATCAATGTCTGATTGAATGTATAGTGCTCCTGGAATCCCTCCCACACGTTGCAAACTGCGGATTCCCTTCCCCTTTGTCGTCAATATTCGCGGAGATCGTTTGTATCATGAACACATTGCATAGGATCAAGCGACTGTCTTGATCCAACTTGGGCCGTTGCCAGAGTATCTGCCCTCTCCTCATCATCTGCTGCCGGACGGTAGGCAACCGGGCCCAGGAAACAGGTCCGAATTCAGAGTCCCAGCGACAGGCGTTGAAACCGTTGCGAAGATGCTCGGCAAGAATGTGGTGAAATCCAATGGGATGCTGGAATACAAGGTTGGGAAGTCAGCAGCATCGTACGATAAATCTCGTTTGAGGTCTGGTGCGGCCTCCCGGCCGTAGCGGCCGCATCAGACAATGGAGAGAAAGAAATTACACCCGTTGCTGTGCCATATTCCCGCCGGCAAGGAGCTGGGATCTTCCAGAGCATATCCTCTCACAGGCTGCATACCGAGCATTTGAATGTTGCATCTATTTTCGCTCCTTTTATGTGGTCATCGAGTCCGTCGAGACTCGAGCTGCGAGCAAGGAAAATGCTAGGAGATCTTTGCCCTTGCAACTGTTAGGCCATCCATTGACGGTGCATTGCTGGAAAGGCGTCTCTCGTTTTTGCACCATATTCAGATGATATCGGGGTGGCCTTCACGTTACAATTCCAGAGGTGGGACCGAGCGCAGTGATGTAGTTGCTACAGTACAGCCCTCGTCGACTTCAATCCTTCTCCAGATGTCAGGGGAAATGGAAACTGTTCGGGACGCTGATGAGATCCGGACTGCTCAATAAACCCACCCCTCAGTGGATTCATCCCATCTTTCGTCGCTCCTCCGTTGCTCTCCGAGGACTGACCCGAATCCCGACACAACAACCTTGACTTTGAAAGCTCCAGCCATCCTGGCATCCCGACTCAGATTGTGCCACAGCGACTGATGTGTTTGCGGGGTTAGGGCCCAAGTTAGGGGAACCGGCGAGCATGTTTCCTGTTACAAAAGGAGACGCACCACCCAACGCTCCCCACCCCAGAGTCCTTCCTCAGAAATAGTTCACACAACGACCCGTCGGCTTCCCACTCAAAGCCTTTGCTCGCTTGGATCTGGATTCTCAAGCTAGATGCCGACCATATATATAATTGCCCCAAATGAAGAGACATTCTTGCAAAGTACCGGGGTGTGGAAAAGCATTCTCACGTCCCTCTCACCTCCAACGCCATGCCCTGAACCACTCGGATACACAGTTGATTTGCGAGAGGTGCAAGGCGTGTTTTAAGCGACTAGACTTGCTAGGTGTGTCACCCAATAGATTCGAGTTCCGGTGTTGCTCTTTGTTTATCTTTCCATTCTTCCAACAGGTCTGAGGCCAATCAAATACTGATACGAGGATGAAAGAACGCCACAAGGCACGACATGCCATCAGAGACAAGCGTGCTGGAGGCATAGGCTTGGGTATCTTAGAGACAAAGAGCAAACACTTCAAAGCAGCGTCTATATCTGCAAATGTCTCTGCACCATCTCCCCGTCAAACATCACCGCCCTCGTCAACTCGATGCCCACTATCGCCCCCTGCCACCAAGCCTCAAGGCACCGACCCGAGTCATAGGACAGGCAATGTGTCCGACTCGGTTGCTTTCTTGCCTCACCAGCCCGGTGAACATTGGAGTTCTCCTCAAGAGCTGACGGATTCCGAGTTAACTACGGACTACCTCAACTCTCAACTGAACTATCCGAACACTTCACAGGTGACAAACATGTACGTGGATCAATCACCAGGGTTTTATGAAATTGGCGACATGTATCACGACATGACGTTCGATTTGGTACACTTCAACGTGACAGGTTTTGCTCCTCAACTACCTGACTACCGCCCATCAGCAACCCAAACACTCGACGAGGGAACCGTTCAATCCTCCAGTAACGAAGGTCAGCTTCTGTCGTTGGTTCCATCACCAATGAGCGGTGACTCTCTCATTCAACATGAAGCAGAAACACAATTCTCAGCGATCCCTGCTATGTCTCCAGGTGCGATAAAGGTAGCGATTGAGAATGTGCGTCAAGGCGAGAGAGCGTCAAAGGATGCCGCTGAGGATGTTACTAGAACCCCGATTGTCGAATCAATATTTTCAGCGGATACCAGACCACATTCTTCAGAGGGTGAAAGCCCAGCTGCCACCTCTCCATTACAGGCTTATTCGGACTCAAGGCACCATGAACCACAAGCTGCGGTACAAGAGATACGGAGATCTCACAGTTTCAGTTCCGAAAAACTTCAATTCCTTTTACTCACATCAGAAAAGAGAGACGAGGTTCTTGAGTTCATCGCTGACATCGGGCCTGTCCGACCGGACGGCACACTCATCGATGGCGACAGTCCCGACTTCTCGTTAGAGAACATGCAAATATATTTGGATCTCTTTTTTGAATTCTTTAATGCATCTTATCCTCTCATACACGTTGCGACTTTGGACATCAGCGACACAGATCCCATTGCTCTGCTGTCTCTGATGCTCCTAGGTGCAACATACAAAGACAAGGATGCTCATCAACTCTCTGTCTGCTTGTATGATGCGATCGTACCGTACATACTAAGTGGCTTGCTGAGCGGGCCAGTCCCTGACCTCGCAATTTTGCAGGCTTTCTTGGTATTGGAATGTTACGGAATGTACAGGGCTGGTCCCTACCAACGAGAAAATGCGATTCTCATTCATGGCCTACTTTTGAATGTGAGCCCTCTTTACTTGTCAGCGCTGAAATTGATCTAACTTTGAGAAGTCCATTCGAAGGATATCTCGATACCACGTCAGAGCACGCATCACACTTCCAGACCGATTGACTCACAAAGAACGAGACTGGATGGAATTTGCATACGCGGAGCAGTACAAAAGGTAAGCCAAGATTCTCTGCCTTCATTCTTGACTAACATTGCTCCAGACTTATATTGTTCTTCTTCATTTGGGACACCCAAAATGCCACCTGCTATTCATTTATGCCAAATATGTCCATCCAATCCCTACAAATCGGACTTCCCTGCTCGAGAAAACTCTGGGAGGCAACCAATGGCGCCGATTGGAAAATGCTCCTCTCCGAGCACGACGATTCCTCTACCCTCCTGGACCAAGTCAAAAGATTTATCAACAGCGATCACGAGATGTTACAAAAGCCGTATGACAGTCTAAGTTTCAACCTCGCCTTACATGGCCTCATGTCAATGGCCAATGATATGCTGCACTTTGACAATCGCTCCATCTACGCTGGCGAACCTCAAAAGGTAGAGATGTCCTGGTCTCCCGGGCAGCAGCAAATCGCACAGTCCCTAGAATCATGGAAAGCAAAATACGACGCCTTTGCTATGGAAAATATCTTCGATATGAACAGCGAACCTTTGCACTGCGCCTTCCAGAGGGACAGCATGGCAATATTGTAAGCAACATATTTCTTTGTTCCAGAACCCGAGCCGCCTATTTACATTTGGGAGGCATGCTCCCGGCTTGCTCTCGGCTCCCTTCCCTCCAATGAAGCATGTTACTGATTCATTGCAGTGCCCTCTATCATACAGCACATATTGTCATCAACTGCGAAATATGCCACTTGCAGACAGCAGCTGGTGCAAAAGCAATCTTCGGGCATATCGTTACGCCCAGCGATTACGAGGAGAGTTGCAAATGGGTTCGGAACTGGATTCGCAATTCGCCTGAATCAGCAGGTAGAGCAGCCTGGCATGCAGCACAGATGTTCCGCGAAGGGATGCTCAATCTAGTCAACTGGGACGTACACGGAGTCTTCCATTATCCTTGGTGCTTGTACATTGGAACTTTGACTGCTTGGGCTTTCCATCATTTCGGTGCTGAGAGCTCGGGGCTGAAGCCCTTGTGTGATCACACAAGACCTGAGAATGTGAGAGGGCTGAGGGAGGGTTCAAGGCATAAGATGAACCATCTTGTTGCGACGATGGCATCAGTTACTCCGGCAAATATGGATAGAATTATGGGGAAATGTTGTACGCATGGTTTGACGATTGAAATGGCGAAGTATTTGAGGGGCGTTAGATGGACGGCAGCTTATGAAGCTATGAAGATATTGGAAGGATTATCTGGCATTCCCTCGGAATAGGGGTCTGACGACTAATGACAAAAGAAAATTTACATGAAGAAAATTTATATTAAGAAAGGGTGCATTCAACGAATGTCGGAAGATATGTTTTATGTCATGTGATCATCCTTTTATTGCTAGTTGGGTTTCATACTTCAATGGTCAGGCCGCTCGCTCTCTACGAGAACTGTTTATACATGCTGGATACTATGTAAATTATAGGCAATCCTTGGAATTCCGATCAACATAATAAGGGAAGAGATTGTGAGAAGTGTTTGCTGGGACCTTTCCCTGCTCATCTCCAAGAATTGCCGAACTCAGTCTCACGTCAGAAACTGATGCAATTGAGACATGGGGTAATAAAGGGCATTTGATATCTCCCTCACATATCTTTTGTGGCTTTTCAGCGGAAATCCTCTCGCTTTCTCAATTTCGCCAAGTTACAAATCTCCCAGCTGCAGCCACTCGGCTTCACAATGTCATCCCTGAGACTGCTGAGTGGAATGTGGTGGGACAAGCGACACCCTCCCGTTGACCCCAAGCAGCTTTTTTTCAAAGGGAAGACGGTCCTGGTAACAAGAACGAATTCCGGGGCTCGGTCACGAAACTGTAGTGACGTTCGCTGCATTGAGCACGTCTACGAGGATCACGGCATAAAGTGACGGGATTACAGGCCATTTTGGTTCTTGGAATCCCCCAGGGCGCACATTTTAGGGGGTTGAGCCCGCAGTAAGGTCCTATGACCTCAAGCCATATGCCCTAAGCAGATCTCAAGAGGTACTGTGAGACATTCGCAAGGTATGACAAGATCTTCAGGGGTAAATAGCGCTGCTAGCAGAGCAACGATAGCGCTTGGACACTAAATAAGTAGTTACTGTAGGGCTCTTTAGCGAGGTACCCCTTGTTAGCACAGGGGAGCAGCCCTAAAAAGGTGTAGCTGGTGTAGTACCCCTTGCCCCCCCCCCCAACCTCATCGTGTTTGTAACGAGCCTAGTATCAAAAGTCTGTGTTTTCAGGGCATTCCGCTAAGAAACGAACCATAACTATTTTAAGCGTTTTTATTATATTTTAGAATTAGGTTTAAAAGCCTCCTAAACCCATTCTAACTTCTTTTATCCTGTGCGCTTGAATTAAATAAAGTTTGAATTTATAGTTATAGTGAAACTGTAAAGTGAAGTTGGCGACTTTGGTTTTGCAAGGCCTGAAGATATCGCTAAAAACGCGGACTTTTGATACCAGGCTCGTAAGGCAATGGCCCAGAGTTATAGGGCAATTTAGTGTCCGAGTGCGTTAGAAACAGACACTGAAGCGCTGTCAAAGTATAAATGCCTTGTAATCCCGTCACTTTATGCCGTGATCTTCGTACCTACCTTTATCCTCAGCATCCGTACCCAAGAGAAGGGCGAGTAAGCCAAGGCGGATATCATCAGGAAGACACAATGCTCTTCAGACTTCTTTATCATCGAGAAGGTCGACCTATCGACGTTTAAGTCTGTCCGGGAGTTTGTGGTCCGTGTGAAGGCCAGCGTGCCGAAGTTGCATGTTGCTTCACTCAACGCTGGTGTAGCCGGGTGGACCTATATCAAGAGTCCTGACCAGTACGAGATGACTCTACAGGTCAACGTCCTCTCAACTGCCCTGGCGTGTGCAAGACCGCCATGAGCCGCAATTTCCCAGTCAATTTCAAGCTCATCATGGCTACTCAGTATTTCCTCGTGGATCGGACCGCAGAAGAAGGAGCACGTACAATGGTGGGCGCCACGCGTTTGGGACAAGAGAGCATGGGAAGACTATGGAAGAATAGTCAATACATCCCACCGAGCAAACTGATGGTGGTCGTGGCACCGAGCTACATCATGAGACGTGGGAGGAGATTTTGGCTATTTTGTGCCAGCACGTGGCTTTGGAGGAGTTGATCTGAGAGCTGGGGTGACTCCCTCTGGACTTTTCGTGGGGAAAGCAAGGATAAAACTTAAATTACAAAATTCATGAAATGGAACCCATGGGCTTGAGACTTGGTTCACTATGCAATTCTTTTGCAGGGAATGGCTGGCCATATTGTACGGAACATGTGGAACTAGTCTATGTCCTCTATCTATGTGATAAATGCACATGGCACCGTATACTTTTCCACAGCAGGCTGCTTTGCTGCCAATACCCGAAGGCTTCTTGAACAAACGGCCTGGTTCTGGCACCTCTTTGGAATTACAAGTGTGCTCGTGGAAATGCCGATGCAAAGGCGAGTCCTCTCGTGTCAACCTGTAGGAACATTTCATCAGCTTCTGCTCCCAATCTCAAATGAGCGCAACGTACATATGAAGGATTCAACTGATCGATTGAAGTGACCCCCAACAACGCCATCCCAACTTCAACTTCATGCTTTAGAATTCGAATTGCTTTGTTGACCCCCGGTTCTCCAAATACAAGCGAGTACAAGAAGCCTCTTCCAAGACCCACTCCCTTTGCTCCGAGACAGAGAGCTTTGAGGATATCTGTACCTCTCAGAACCCCACCATCGGCGATAACTTCACACTTGTCGAATACTTCTGGACAATGCTTTCGAATAGAAACTAAGGTCTCAGCTGCAGAAGGTGCTCCTTCTAGCTGTCGACCACCATGGTTGGAAAGCCAAGGGTGGACTCCATGCTCCATGCACAGTTTTGCGTCCTCCCATGTTTGGATTCCTTTGACACAGACCGGTAAATCAGTCATTGTTCGGATCCATTTGACGAACGAGACCCAGTCGAATGATGACCATATGGCACTGAAATGGGTCAGTACGGTCTTCAATACAAGTCTTAGACTGAATTTATACCCCCGCTTGACAGTCGGTTCCTTTTCAAAGCTCTCGTCTTCCTCTTCGGAGTAGATCGCTGCCTGTCAAGAATCAACAACGTCCACAAGTCACCTGATGACAGCACTCACCTCATCCTCATCTAATTCCATTCTCATATCTCGTTCCCGCTTTCCTGCACGAATGGCATCAACTGTCAAGCAGAAACCCTTAAACCCGTCTTTGACAGCCTGCTTGATCTCCTTCTCCGTCACAGCTAAATCACTCATGGCATAAATCTGCCAACATTGATTCTGACCAAGAGCTTTCGCAGCCGTCATTTCCTTTTGCGAGCAGCCTGCAACATTAGATATCCAGTGGAGAACACCATGCTTTGCCGCAGCTTTCGTCAACAGCACCTCGCCTTTGGGGTGAGCGAGCTTCCCGCCGCCAGCAGGACAGATGAAAAATGGCACAGAGCACTCATTGCCAAGAATTGTGGTTGACGTGTAAATTTCCTCAATAGGACGTAGAACACGAGGTCGAAACCTAATGGCCTGCCAGCTGTCTCGGTTCCATTGTGAGGTGTACTCGCTTTCCGCACCGGCTTTGAAGTCTGGAGCAGGTGAGCAAGAAGTTGTGGTGTAAAGTTTCGAGAGCACTGACATGCAAACGACTTTGGAGGTAATAGTTTCGGGGCAGCCAACTCGAAATCACGTATGTTGATGATAGCTCCTAGGGTAGGCTTCTTCTCCCCAGGAGTGACTTCAGGGGCTTTGCTCTTGGCATCCTCCTCGACTTCAGGCACGGGTCCAGAAACAGGTCCTAGATGATACCTATTGGTAATAATACATTAACAGCTTGTACATGAACGTGTATTTGCAGAGAAGACTTACTCTGACTTGAGATGATTTTCCAAGGTATCGCTTGGGTGTATTGGCTCGAAAGCAGCTGTCGCATCTCGTCCCCCATACTTCAAAATGATGCCCGGCCCACCTGGATGAGAATCCAAGAAATGTGTCATATCATATGCAGCGTTATTGATAACGACCCAGCAGCTCTCTCTCGAGGAGTGTGTTAAAACCTCCTCTCTGTGATTGGATCATGTCAAGAGTGGGCTTGAAAGTGGATCAGTGTTGCTTACCTTGTCAACATTTTCTCCGGATTCGATACAGGCATTCGATTTTAGGGAAGAAATTCGTGTAGCCAAAGGTCTTTATGGAGTTTGAAATCCTCATCAAAAACATATGAAAGTGCTTCTGGGGCATTGCTAGGGTTGCTGGATCCCCTGAATTCTCCAAATGACCAATGAAATTGACGTTCCACTTACCTTCCACATTGCCCCACTTACGATAGGAAGCTCTCCGAATGACCCAACCACCCAAAGGCTAGGGGCAATGTTGGCCTGAAAGATTGTCTCTCTAAGCTCCACTGTCTAAGGTTGGGTTGTTGGTTGAAGTCTCTCATACCCCATCGGTGAATACCCGTCGGTGAGAGAACTATCACTTGCAGCAATCATGGAGAACGTCTTGGCAAAAATTGCTGAAAACACAATCAAGTTCAACCTCGGCGACGAGGAGGTGAGTGAAAATATATCTCCTTTCGTACTGGAAGCTGATCACGGGTGATTAGGAATGGAGAATACTCTTCGAGCCATTCTATGAAGAGCCTTCGAAGGATGTCAGTGTCATCAGAGATGAGCGGTACGGACCCGCGGAGAGGAATCGTCTCGATGTGTTCTTTCCACTCAGCAAAGAAGCTGAAAAACCAGTCCTGCTCTTCGTGCACGGAGGAGGATTCTTCTCCGGAGATAAGAGATGGAGTGAGAAGGTGTGACTTCTGGCTAAAACCGGTGTTTTGAGGGACTGACATCCATCTCAAAAGTGCTGGGCCAATATTGGCAACTTCTTCGCTCGCCATGGAATTGTGACGGTAGTGGCGAACCACCAGCTGGTGCCTCATGTGCGGTACCCTGGAGGTGCTGATGACATGCAACTGGCACGGGAGTGGATCTTCAACAACATTGCCTCTGAAAAGTATGGCAGAGGATCTGTGGACAAAGTCATATTATTTGGCCACTCTTCTGGTGGTGCTCACATTGCCGCAAACCTGTACGCAGCGGGTAAGGAGAACTCCCGATCGAGAATGATGATGATGGCTGAACGCGGGGCATTAGGCGATCCCAAGCGAGTGCCAAAACAGGCTATTTTCCCACCCGTGGCTGGCGTGATGTTCTTCAGCACGCCTTTCTGGTTTGATAGAACGAGGCCTATTCGTCAAAGGACGTTACGGCAATACTATGGCTCAGACACCGAGGAAGTATGGGGTGTAAGTGTCCAGAGATCGCTTGCGGGGTCGAAACTGACAAATCGCGCAGCCGTTATCTCCGCTGAAGTTGTTTGAAGGTCTGCCAGATGACTCGCCTTTGCTGTGAGAATGTCCTGAGAACGGAAAGAGACTTGAGCCTAATAATCAACAGAGACTCTGACAAGATCCCCGTTTACATCGGAACTGTGAAGTGGGAGGTGTAAGATCCGCGTTCCAGCGCACCTTCATTTACTTACGCTGTTTAGAAATGAAGCTGTGAACGCCCAAATCGCCTTTTTCAACGCATATCGGACTCGAAGTAAACCGTCTGGCGCTTTGCCATTCTTCAATGTACTCGACAAGCATAACCATCTTAGGTATGCAGACCCCCCTCTCCAATTTCTCTCGGTCTTCCTGACCTGGGCCGTATTAGCAACATACTATCGATAGGAACAGAGGACGACTCACAGAGCAAGTTGATACTCGAATTCATCAGTGCTTGCGTAGCCAAGGTGGGGAGTGGGGGTAAGCCTTCAGTTAGTCCCTCACGCTTGTGAGCGAAAGTGAATACTGATTCGGAGATGCAGCCAGGGAAAATATAAACAGGGGAAAGAGGCGGCCTGTGATATTACGATTGTAGAGGATTGGGGGGAAAATAGTGCGGAGGGGACACAACTTTTGAAAGCACATATATCTCAGTGGATGGCTGGCCAATGGAAATGAAAACTTCTTGTGAACAGAAAGGAACTTCTCAGCCTCGTTTGTCGTTCCATCACCCACACCCCAGTTCTCTCTCTTACTACTCCACCTTCTGTTGAGAGGGCACTCTCTCCTTTCTCCTTCTCCCCAAGGCGAACTTCAGGGGCTCGTGAGAGGCTCTTGCAGGAATGCAGGCGCAGGGGTAGCGAGTATGTGATAGTATGCCAACACAGAACACTTGCGGACTGAGAGCCAGCATCTAGTGAAAAGTGATCGAGGTTCTGATAACTCAATTCCTATCTGAATTATCCTTTCGGACTAGAAACTCCTCCGTTTCACGCTGGATAATAATACTTAGTCCTTCTCTCTTAGGTCTGATTATTACCTCCGCTTCCGTCATCATCAGGTCAATCTTGTCATAGACACTGTACACCGATATAAATAAGTATAGCTTACTCAGATCTCGAACTTCGATCGGGAAATGCAACGGCCATAATTGAAGCTCCTCATTAAATTTTCCAATGTCTTCGTCCCCAGAAACCAGCCAGTTGATGGCACGCCTTCCCACCTGAAGCAATGCAGTCCATGCTCGTTGGTATGTACTCAAAGGAGAGCGTCCTGCGCTTACGCTCTCGAAGAGATCCAAGTCAAGAGCTTGTCGATGTTCTCGCGATGTTGGCAGCACTAGCCCGTTGTCTTCAGGCCAACCGAGATCCGCAAACTCATTCAAAGCATAATGGAGGACATAACGAATGATAGCCCGAAGCACCATAACTGGTTGATTTTCTTGGTTTGCCCAGGGAATCGAGGATGAGGTGAGCCAGTTCCACTTCGAGGCTGATTTGCCGAGACATCGTTGAAGAGCATCGCAATAGATTGAGAACAAGGTCTTGGAATAGTCCACTTTAATCTCGTCGTGTTGGCAGTCCACCGCCATAGAAAGAAGAGCATAAATCTTGTCCTTTGGGTCTGAACAGAGACGGTCTCCAAAGAGAAGCACAAGAGAGATGAGATTGTACATCTCTGTGAACCGGCGTTGTGGCATCCCAACCCGATCCTTTCGATATTGCAAAAGAGTAGTTGCAGGGCTGTGAGGTCCATATGGCCTACCGTCCTCGGTGCTCTCAAAGTCGTTTTCCAACAATAAAAATGCGTTCCATGGAACCATTTTCTTTCCACAACAAACGACTACATCTTTTGCAAGCCCGAATTCTTGTAAGACCCATATTCGCTGCCAGTAGCTTCGTCCGTAGATTTTTCGTAAAGATTTCCTCAAAATGTCGTTGTTTGGTATTAGGTGACTTCTAGACTGCCCGATCACAATTGAGGCACGTGTAGGTCTAGAACTACCACTAATACCAAGGGCCAAATCTAACGAATCCAAGAGCGGATCATCAGCATCCAACTCGATGGAGGCACCAGCCAGATAATCCATGATAAAGTCGCTATCGTCGGCCTCACAACCTAGCCAGGCTACAACTATCTCGGCATTGGTAAATATCTGGCTCATTAGCCTGACTTGGTGATTCCTCTCGCCGATATTGCTCTGATCAATACATAGAGCATCTACCCAGACAACCCAGTCTTGGGTGGGAAGACGGAGATGGACCAACGCCCACCACAGGTTCGCGCGGATTTCCACAGGAGCATCGAGAAGCTGTAGTACCTTTACCTGCTCTGGAGGGCCCCAAGCATATGATAAGGCGTCATAGCGGGGATGCTCTGATAGTGGAACTGTCTTGAGGCTGCAACAAATAGGTTCATCGCCAGAACCAGGGTGGACAACGAGCAACCGAATATCTGATTTGTCTTCCAAAGGCACTGTCGAGTACACTGCTTTTGAAATGTGAGACATTTCCACAAGACAAAGTGTGAATTCGGCAGGAGCTTCTTGCAAGACCAAACTTTTGATGGAAATCGGTGAGGCTGAAGGACGCCAACTAGGTGTACGCGGCCACTGGGCTGGACCAGCCAGCCCCATTCGAGAAGCACGTGATTGCAGGCTGCCTATTCAAAAGGATGCAACTCACTCGCGATACATATATGAAGGTGTGAAGAGATGAAGATGTCCTAGATTATTACAGGTATATTACCAGGATGAAATCATGTTCTGAATAAGCTTATACATTTAACTTCAATGTCCATCCTACTCAGGACAAACAGCAGAGGCAGATACAACTGAGGACTCCCACATGGCCACTACTATGAGCTTGGAACCATAATTCTTTCAGTCTTCGATTTTAAGATGCCATCAACATCAAGCACACGTTGATCTCTCAGCAAGATAATAGCTTGCGGCGCCATCCGCTTCAGATAAAGTGCCGGAAAGTGTCCAACTTGCATATCCATCGCATCCTGCTCCGACAAATGCAAGCAAATCAACAAGAAGTTGTATAATGCAGTCTGTGATAAGTTCGCCAAGTTCGCCAAGCTCACTAAGGTGGTATCCTCAAGATGCTGCAGTTTTTACCACTAAGCTTATTTGCATCGAAGGCGGCATACAGACGAAAGGATTGCTCTACGCCAATGTCGCTACCTTGACTCTCTTCAAGACTGATAAGAAGCGGCAAAACAAATAAGGTCTTTCATTGTCAACTCCATGAGACTTATATGACAAAGCAGAGGCCTTTAGCCAATAAACGAGCATTGGCAATGCCAGAGGTGGGACTGACAGAACTAAGCAGGCGGCCAGCGCTGCCATGAAGTAGACATGAGTATTCTCCTAAATATGCAAGAAGAGCTGCGACTGTAGTAGAGAGAACTTTGGCTAACCAAGCAAGCTATGCTACGACGAAAGCAGTCAAAGAATTCTCTTAAATATATAAGCAAGGCTGCGACAAAACGAATAATGTCTATTATTCTCAATACTGTGAGACCTATACGACGAAAGCAGATGCTGAAAATCTCTTAAATGCGCAAGCAGAGCTGCGACAGAATCGTGTAGTTCACTTGATGCTCTGGGCGGGGCTGTCATTCAATATTCTTCATTGGTATCTTGGTATCGTCGGGCCTCCCACAAATATCTCTACATTACTCCATATTCGTCCTCCTCTCCCCACCGCCCTCATAAGACTTCCGACGCATCATGCCACTCCTCACTCCCATCATCACTCGACAAAATCGCCCCAATGCTCCCCATCCTTTTTATCCGTTCTGTGCATGGTGTCATTGGATCATTTGACTCCGGAGGAGTCGGAAGGTTCAAAGGAAGACTGGCATCTCCCTTCTCCCCTTCTTCCTCCTCCGTTGTCGCAACCACAATCGTGTCAGAGGTTTGTGACGAAAGTGAGACCCGCACACTCCCGCTGCCCTTGTCCATCACAACCGTCTCAGCGGTGGAGAACCGCCGAGATGCTCTCGTCCCGTAGCTGTGGCTCACAGCTCTCGTCCGAGCATCAGCCGAATGGACTGGAATTGGCGGGCCCGAGGGAGGATGGGTAACAAGATTCATATGCTTGAGTGGCCAGCCTGCGCTGGTACCACCTCCAACATTTGGTAGGTGGTTCGAATCTGAGTCAAAGGCGAAGGGTGTGAGGTAGTCGGGTCGGTTGTTGAGGTCGAGGAAAGGATATTGTATCTCTTTAGGTGGCTGACCGAGTCCAGGGGCAATTTTGCGAAGATTCTCCCACATCTTCGTGACTTGATAAGCAACATTGTTTGTGTCATCCTTCAAGCATTCCGGATTGGACTTGCGCTTGCTCGATTTTAACTTTGAAGATGTATTTTGCTTCGGTGGCGCTGACTTGGGTGCTTGTAGTGACTTCGAGGTTCTCTTGGAGGGCTTTGTTTTCGCCTTCTTGGGCTGCTCGATCTGAATAGCCGAAGCGTTTGAGATTCGGGCTGTGGTTTGCCAGTATGGAAATCGAGTTGCTGGTTTGCCTTTGGAGTCTGTGGCTTTGGCTAGTAGATCGAGGATCTTGAACGTGACAAATACTGCATTCATCTTGTCGTCTCTCGTGGCCTGTGGCCGTGCTGACTGCTTTTTGGGTGGTGCCTTGGATTCACCTAAGGACTCCCTCCGTTTTTCGTCTTCCTTGATTGTCCCTTGTGGCAACCAAATATCTGCTCTTCTCTCTCTTAAATCTAGTACCCATTCATCACAATCCCATTCCACCCAATAATCAAGCACATCTCCCCATGTACTCTCTGGCGGCTTCGTTCTGTTCACGAATATCACCTTCCCTCCTTTCGTATGTACCGCCTTCGCGAACTCTTTCACCATAATCTTCAATCCATGCACCTTAAGACTCGTACCCATAATAAGCAACACATCAGGACCCAGCCCGAGATCATGTGTAATGAGAGGAGAGATCATATTGGCGCTGGGATGTTCCTCTCCATAGAGAACAATATCAGGCCTTAAACGGCCAACGGCGAGTCCTCGTCGTCCCTTTCCGGTACGGTGGGCATTGTATTCGGTACAGGCAGGACAATCAGGGGCGGTTCCGGCAAGCGTCGCAGCGACTCTTTCCTCGTCATCCCAGCTGGATAATTTACTGCAGATTCCGCATCGTAGCCAAATGAGCGTTCCATGGAGAGGAACGACTTCGACTCCTCCAAAGAGATTGTGGTCTCCAGTGATATTCTCGGGTCGGGGTTCGCGCTGGGATCTATAGTTGAAGCGCGACCTATTGCCAGGCCCTTTCGTAAGGTCCGTGCAAAGCCCCTCACGCTCTTCCAGGCAGTCAATGTTCTGCGTGTAATTCCTGACAAGGCGTCCACCATCGCGGAGCGTCCGGATAAATTGGTGTGTTGCGGTTGTAGACTCGACATCCTGAATCTTTTGACGTAGACTCGAGATGAACATGTAAAAGATCGAGGTCGTGAACGGGTCAGACCATATCATAGAGTCGAAGAGATCTCGACCCTTCAGGTTGGGGAGACTCGTTCGTGATGATGACTGGGAAGCAGGAAAGATCGAAGGGTCGTCGTCGTCGTCGGATTTTGACAAGAAACTTGACTCTTCTCTCTGGAGGATTCGAGTGCGAGTAAGTGGAGGGCCGTCGTTGATAAAGCTCAAGCGCTCAGCTGTTGGGTCAATTGGGGTCCTACAAGCAAGGGTGTTTGTTGATTGGCGGGTGAGGGAATTCGAGCGCGACTGACGCCTGCTGCTAGAAGTTGAAGTTGAAGTTGAGGTAGATGTGGAAGCGGTTGAAGACGTTGATTCAGTTGACTGGAGCGATTTTCGTGAGCCCTTCCGGTTTGGTACCGTAGAATCTGGCGTTACCGAGCGGCTCTTGGTATCTTTTGCTTTGCGGATCTGTGAAAGTCTTTTGAGAGAGGTCTCTTCATCCGCCGTTATTTTGTGATTGCCAGCAAGAGCGAAGCCACTCGGAAGCTCCGGTGTTGTGGAAGAGCAGCTAGAGAGAGAGCTATCATCAGAAGACTTGACTATTGGTGTGCTAGCACGTGAGTTTGATGTAGTTGTGTTTGTAGATCGAGATCTTGAGGAGCGGCGTGGTTCTTGCGCAGGTTCGGTTTGTTGTGGCATTGACAGTTGGATATCCTCGTCAATGACATCGACAACTTTCCCATCAGGAGCCACAACTTCGTAGTACCACTGCTTCCTCTTTTTCTTTGGTCTATCGTCAATGTCGAAAGTGTTCTCCTGTTCCCAAGGCGGATTCTGCACAGCTGCATCGTACTGAGCTTGAATCAAGGAGTATAGGCCATGTTCTGACCGAAAGTCCTGCAAAGTGTAAACAAAGATCCAGATAAGGCTCAGGGGCGGTCTGTGCTCCACTTACAGGTATCCCACAGTTTGTACTGATTCCAGCTCCCGTTACAACAACAACTTTCCTGGATTTCCCCAAGATATTTGCAATCTCTTGCAGTTCCCGGCTAGAGCCTTCTCCCACCTGGATTGTAGGCATGGCTCTGGTATGTGTGTAGGTGGCCTCCGTTCCACTCCAAAATGGCCTTTGAAGTCAAAAGAGCCTCCGAGCAATCCTTTGTTCCACTCCTTATAAACTCCCCTCTAAAGGACCAACCAGCCCCCTTTCCGGATGGATTGGGTGACTTGACGCGTCCTTTCAGACTGGCTTCTCTGTACCTCAGCACCACATCAGACCCAATTTTACACACAAGTTGTACAAATAATCCAGAGACCAGAATTCTTCGTGACAGGACGTGTTTTTTTTTCGTGTTCTTTCGTGTTTCTCTAGCCTTTCAGCGGTGTGGGTACAAGTTTTCAGCGCATTGCTGCAGGCAACATCTAGAAGTGGCTTTCATGTATTCGTGTTGAGGAGCATTCGTGGAGAATAGCTCTTCTTCTTATGGCAGATCGATTGCCCTCTTGGCTGTCTTGTTTCTCGACGAGGTCGACAAGTGTCTCTGAGAAGGATTGCAGTACAAAGAAGCAGGCTCTTGCTATGTGCGCACAGAGATATCGTGGCCCTCTGCCAATCACGGTCTAGTCGAAGGAGTCCGCAGTGTATTCGTGTCGCGGGGAGGAGGATTGACGTGTGCGAGCCTTGCAGAAGACGCGCTGATGCCGTCCTGTTATGTGCTATTGCTTGGGTCTCCAATGTCTTTAGCTTCGCCTCTGGATGCAGCTGACAACACTCCACCACAAACGCGGAAAGGACGTGATCGATTGGAGCGAGGAGGACGGTTGAACAATAGAGCCTGGGATGAAGCTCTAAAGTCGCGTCTGCATTTGGAGTTGGATGTTTACAGACTTTGGTCCGAGTGCCCACACTAACGCTATTCGGATGGTCGATCAGGGGTCTTCCCCACATCTCACATCTCAAAGCCGAGCCAACGCCGTTCCAATCTCATTCTACAATACGAAGGCCCTAGGTAGCGTTTTCGTGGCAGTGTCTCCGTGCTGACTCAACATCATCACGGGTCCTTGTGTTGCCCCGGACTCGGGACAATGCAGCAAGTAGCTAGACATCCTATCCACTTGGGACTTCATTCTCATCCAGAAGTTTGGAGATCATGTTTCTGGCCTGAGGACCAGCGAACTCCTGCCGGGTTCGGAGGTGAAGCTGAAATCCATGGAGTTGCGTTGATACCTCTGTATGCTCGCAGTTTGGTTTGCTATTAGATCTCCTGTGTGCGATGAAATCATCGACACCTCAGCTTGACAAGCTGACGGCAACTCGCAATTGAAGTCATTGCCAAACTCCAAACGAGGTCAGTATGCTGTATAAGAGTCATCGTCAATTCGTTGGGGGACAATGGTCCCATTCCAAATTGTTCTGTGATTGAAATAGCCAAGTTTCGTTTTTCTCGTTCAATCTGATTCTGGCTTGTCTCTGCTAAAACCTTGAATTATTTCAAACTCGGAACACGCTTTGGAAAAGATGACGAGACTTCAAGTAGTCTGGCCAAAGGATGGCCCCAAGGGGAGCAGGCCTCGTGGATTTTTTCGCGGTTTTAATGATATATTGACAGGCAAAGGTCCAGATATGTTCCTCCAGAGGGCAAAAAGTACATCCCGCATAAGACCTGAGCGCTGGGGAAATTGGTAAACCGTTTCTGCTTCTCATATCCTGGCACCATTCTAATCACTATTAGGGACTCATACCATCATCGGCCGAGCCACTTCGAGGAAGAGTTCATGGGTGCCGCCAACCCGCTCTGGAATTCATCAAGGGGCTTCAAGCGATACGATCCTCACACCAGAAAATATCGGAAATGGTTCGTGGCGGAAGATTGGTTCGGAGATGGAGTCGATGGAAGAGGGATTGGTATACGTGGGGCTGGCTACCCTAGATTTACGAGGGGTGAGGGCAGGAAGATGCTTCGAAGATACGCCCAGGGCCACAAAGTCGACCCTTCGAAAATGGGAAATGAATGGAACTCTGATGGACCTCGGGTAAGTATTTGCGTTGAAGAGTTAACTTACCGCTAATAATCCGCGCAGAGGTTCCAGCAAGAGTACGACGGGTTCTGGCAAGAGGCACATAGAATTGGCGACAACCGTCGTCAGGGCCTCCCTTTGGGTGATCCTATTAATCCGAACTTCTTTAATCATCAAGAACATCCACTTGATCTTCCCCAGTGGATTCGATGGGAACTTTTCGGGATTTGAAATGGAAATATGTTATGGGAAAGCAGAGCTCCTTGCGTCAAATGACCCATGACTGAAAGCTTCTCTGATGTTTGTTGTTTGTTATGGGAGGCAATTATGGGAGGAATTCTTGTTATTGATTGTGCATAGTACTTGTAGCACAATTAAACAGCGCGAAATCCAAACAACCAGTCGATTTCACGTCATCATCCCTTCCTTGTCGGAAAGTTCGGACGAATGTTCTATTTGGCAGAAATGATTCAGAATATGCATCTAGAAACACCATGGTTTGACGAACAGACTGCAAAATGGCGGAGACAAAACAATCACGTGAGTCTCAATCATGTGACCAGGCGTTAAGTGACCGCTACCTAGGTGCCGCTGGCACATTTGTTGTTCGGGAACCATCCATTCAATTGGTTTTATATCAAACTAATGATCCCAGGTTTGTGGCGGCAGTAACATATAGCATTACTGTCGAAACAGCTTGCAAGGGGAGTTGAGAAGGTAGGTGTGCCGAGGATGGACTGATCTAGTCACTGAGACAGTTCATCCCACTTTACAGGGTTGCGTCCTCACCCCGCAATTTTCGCCCCTTCTTCCCTGTGAAAATCCACGGCTGCAGGCGCCACGCACGATCGCGAGGTTTCCGTAGAACTTCAAGCTGCAGGTGAGCCCACGGGTTTCCAGGAAGCCCGGTAAACCTTCCTTTCAATTCATGCAGTCCTCTTCGTGAATCACATCACACCAAATCATTTAAGTACTTATCATCCGTCTGTTCCTCGACCCATATTCATAACCAGTTCATCTTTCAACTTGAATTCTACAGCAGATCGTTCACCATGGGAAGTGTCGCCACCCAGTTACCTGTTGAGGTCCCTTCAGCGGACCGCGTCGAACCAGGTTCATTCCGACTTCAAACTGCCAATCTCCCCACAGTACCAACATCCAAACCAACAGATGTCGACAGCATAGCATCAACCTGGGTCAATTCCTTCAATAAGGTGTTGACAGTTCCCGAGCTAGCCACAATTCCACAACTCTTTCTCGAAGAATCCTACTGGCGAGATCAACTCTGCCTTTCCTGGGACTTCCACACCCTAAAAGGACCCGAGAAGATTATTTCGCTATTGCAGCAATCCAAGAATGGCTGCCGTATCAAGTCCCTCACTCTTGACCAGAGTTCCAAAGATCGGTATCCCAAGGCTTCTGTGATGGATAGTGATGGCAAGGTGCACACTGTTCAAGCATTCTTAACTGTTGAGACCGACATCGGACGTGGCTCGGGTGTTGTACGACTTGTTCAAGATCATGGAGCTTGGAAAGTGTTTACGCTTTATACGTTCCTGAGGGAGTTGAAGGAGCATGAGGAGCAGGTAGGTGGGAGGAGGCCCAACGGGGTTGCACACGGAGAACATCTATCCCGGAAGAATTGGCTTGATCGCAGGAAAGCAGAGGAAAACTTCGAGAACTGCGAGGAGCCTATAGTACTTATACTTGGTATGTCTCATATTTTAAGCCTTGTCTTGAATTTACTGACATGAGGTAGGCGCTGGACAAGCCGGGCTTTCCATTGCAGCCAGGCTCAAAATGCTGGGCACCAAATCGTTGATCGTCGACCGAGAGGAGCGAATTGGAGATAATTGGCGGTCTCGGTACCATCAGCTGGTCCTGCATGATCCCGTCTGGTTTGACCACCTTCCATATCTCCCATTTCCGGAGAGTTGGCCTGTATTTACGCCGAAGGTACTTATTGCCCGTACCTCTCCCCCTCTTGAGTTCTGGTATATTGAACAGTGCTCACACTGAGATCTTCTAGGATAAACTCGGGGATTGGTTTGAATCTTACGTGAAGCTTCTGGAACTTAATGTTTGGACTCAGACGACCATCACGGGTTCATCTTGGGACGCCATAGCTGGGAAGTGGACAGTCACTCTGGACCGCCTGCATGACGGCAAGAAGGAGACCCGCGTATTTCACCCAAAGGTAAGATTACGTTCTGCCATGCTTGATCAAATTCAAGGCTAACAGATGTAGCACATAATTCAAGCCACAGGCCACAGCGGCGAACCCAACTTCCCCTCCAACCTCAAAGGCCTCTCCTCCTTCGCCGGAACCCGCCTAGTCCACTCCTCGCAATTCACAGGCGCCGTCCCCTCCAAAGACCAAAATAAACGCGCCATAGTCGTCGGCTGCTGCAACTCCGGGCACGACATCGCCCAAGATTTCTACGAGAACGGCTACTCCGTAACTCTCATCCAGCGCTCCTCGACTTTCGTCGTATCCGCGGAGACAAACCTCCATCACATGTCTGCACTGTACGGAGAAGGCGGTCCTCCTACTGAAGATGCAGATATGGTGTTCTTTAGTATTCCGAATGCGGTTGCGAAGAGGTTGAATATTGCTATGACGAGGGTTCAGAATAAGACTGATGAGAAGATTCTGCGGGGTCTGGAGAAGGCGGGGTTCAAGATCGATAAGGGCCCGGACGGAAGTGGGCTGTGGATTAAGTATCTTACTCGCGGTGGAGGATATTATCTTGATGTTGGATGCAGCCAGCTCATCGCTGATAACAAGATCAAAGTCAAGCAAGGATGCGAGATCGCTGAGGTTCTTCCTAATGGACTTCTCTTCTCTGATGGAGAGACGCTGGAAGCTGATGAGATTGTGTTTGCTACCGGGTATCTCAATATGCGAACTCAGTGTAGAAAAATCTTTGGTGATGAGGTTGCGGATAGGGTTAAGGATGTGTGGGGATTTGATGAGGAGGGTGAGATTAGGACGATGTGGCGCAAGACTGGGCACCCGGGCTTTTGGTTCATGGGTGGGAATTTGGCCTTGTGTAGGTGGTATTCTAGGTTGCTTGCTTTGCAGATCAAAGGGTTGGAGGAGGGGCTTTGTTCTTACGAAGACTTGTAGAGGCGAGGTTATATGCATGTGATTTGGGACGATATCTATACACTGAAATAAGGGAAATGCAATGACGGGTAGTCTCCAAAGCAAGACTTGCGTATTTGCTTAGATTTATATTCCAAAGTTTGTCATGAAATATAAGCACATTGGAAAATCAATGTTCCAATCAGTCTTGGATATTCAATACTTCTCATGTGACTATGTTCCCAATTATCTTGGAACACTGAGTAAATCAAAGTGAAAGAATGCTCTGCTTAGGCTTGGGATAATGCGTGACATGACCGAACAAACAATGTACCGGCCAGTCTTGAACATCATGTAATATAACACGAGCATCATTAAACTTTGTATTCGTTTGGTAGCAACAGCAACGCAAGTGGGTATCTTAATCATACATATATATAAACCAGCCCCACCCCGTCTACTCCCAACTCTGAACCAATCCTTCCAACCACTCTCGGACAAGAGCAGTAGACCACCGTCGGTTTTTGTCCTCGCAGACCATCTTCACAATCCCCTCTCTCATCTCATGCTCCCGGAAATCGTCTGGCACCTCGCCCTTCTTCCCCAAATTAGACAACACCGCACGCCGCTCTGTTTCCGTCCCGAATTTGTATAGAAGCTCGAATGCGATTATACCTAAGCTGAATACGTCCAGCTTGGCACAGGGTTCCGGATTTTTTCCAGACGGGAGTGGAGGGCAGTAGAGGGTGGTTCCGACATTGGATGAGACAAAAGGGGGCGGGACAGGACCGGGTGAGGAGGAATAAGCAGCATTGAATTCTTTCAACTCGTAAATCAGACCAAAGTCCCCAAGTTTAGGGCAGACGAAAATTGGTTTAGTCGTCTTCTTGTTATCACACTCCGCACAGTTGTCGATTCTGATATAGCCTTGAGTCGGCTTTTCCTCTGGGTCGAGGATTGCGAGGAAAATATTCTTTGGCTTGAGGTCGCGATGGATGATCTTCTTGTTGTGTAGATACTCGACTCCTTCGAGGATGGCTAGGAGGAGGCGGGCGGCTGGGAGAGCGTGGAAGCAGTGCTTGATTACCGAGTCCTTGTCGGTACTTTCTAGGTCGGGACACTATAACAGTCAATTTATACTGTTCAAAATTCCGATTGGAAGCTTGCTTACGATGAAGTCATCCAACGTTACCGGGTAGGGGGTCATCTTAATGAACAGAACGAAATCCTCGTTGATAACTAGATCATCGACGTCTACCGTCTCTGCAATCTCAACACGGGGGATTTCTTCTACTTCATCTGTTGCATCTTCTGTGCTGTCACTTTCCTCACCGGGTTTTCTGAACATAGACTGAATTGCCTTCGGTGAATCATCTTCATGCTTAACATTGTGGGGGTTGGTGGAATCCTTGTTGGATACAGAGTCGCTGAAAACAATTGATGAATCGAAGTGTTCTTCCCCGGTCGAGGTTGCTCTGCGCTCTAGTGTGAACTGCTTGTTGAGGTCCCGCTCTAGATCAAACTGTATACTCTGGATTCCAGACGAAAGAGCTGCAATAGATTGGCTTGGAACACGGGAAGCTGAGAACTCAGAATTGTTACTACAACTCCACAGATTAGCACCCTTAACCAACACTCGATCTGATTCAAAAGACTTACTTGGAGTTATCTTCGCCTTCTCTTGGCAAAGGACAAGGTGTCGACTCAATCCAACAATGGTGATAACGGGTAATGTGGTGATGATCCAAGCGCGCCAAGGTCCTGATCTCTCGGGGGACTCTGTCCAACCTCTTCTCTTTCAAGAGGTAACGCAGATGGGAGGCCGTGAGCACAATCTTCTTGATTGCGTACTCCGCGCCATCTAAACGATGTCGGGCTTTGTAGACCTTCCCAAATCCGCCTGAGCCAAGTACGGCAAGTCTATGGCATTTTGTGGTTAGTATATTTCTTAACATAGTCTCGTGAATACGCTGCAGGTGACAATAAAATTACAGGTCTACAATCTGCGCCAATCATGCTAGTATACCATAGGCAGCACTATTGCACCCAGCGTAGACAGATCCGTTGTCCAGAGGACCAGACAATCGCCTTTGAAATCCAGTTGTGCCAGATATCGGATCGCAAACAGTCATGGATAGAGTTGAATGACAGGAGTTACTTACTGTTCATAGTCACTAACATAGAGAGACCTGCCGAGCGTTGTATTCTGCATTTTTGGGAAGAAGTGAGAGAGCTTTGATAAAGGACTTCTTTGAAGTTGCTGCTCACGTGGAGCCGTAATTGCCAATGGACCAGGGTTGTATGGTACAAAATCTGAATTGAACAATGAAGAATCAAAGAGTGGGCCTGTTTGGCGGTTCTGTTGATGTGAGGAGGGTGGAAGGACGAATCGACCGGGGTTGTATGGTACAATATCCGAATAAATCGATGAAGACTCAAAGTGAGGGAGCGCTCGGTGGCGGTGTTGTTGTGCAGAAAGATTGAAGTTTCGCTTTGTGGCAATGTTTTGGAGCAGATTGTCGAATGAATCTAGGTAATTTCGAAGATCTGGGAGAGTTGGCGCAGCAAAGTCTTCAGATACCAATCCAGCCCTCACGAGCTCACTTCGCATCTCATCAAAGAGATGTCGAGCAAGGCCTAACACTTCAGGATGATCTTCCGGTACTGCATTTTCTGGACTACAGCCTGCATTGATGGTATTTGCAGCCTGTGTCCTACATCTCCCTTCAATTAAAGAGAGATAAAACAGAGTTGCATGCTGTTGTGGTTGCAAATTTGGCAACCTAGGCAGCGTAACATCCGTTCCCAATGGCCCTGCTACTGTTCGGTCATTGAAGTTCCGAGGGATGCTTCCCTCCGCAGTGGAAACACCCCCATCCTCGTGTTTTCCCTCCTCATCGTCTGAACGGTCACGTGATCTACTGTGAGAGCCCTCAAGACTTGAGTCCGCACTTAGATCTTCTGATGAAACCCAGTACTTCGGGGACATTTTGCTGAACACAACATAAAGAGAACGTTGGGGTGCTACAAAGAAGAAAGGAATGCGTGAAAGTTCAGGGATGAGGACTGAAGACAGAATGCAGAATCCGAGTTGAGTCGGGTGTGGAGAGCGGGTCCCTCTCTTATGCTCCCGACAGCTCTCGATTTAACGAAGCATATCTGCTGTTTGAAATGCTGTGACATCTGGCGTCCGTGTCAAGGGAAGGGCTGAATGAACTTGACCAGGTTGTCTTTTGGTCTTGGTGTGAGTCTTCGGCCTGGTCGAATGCAAGTCCGTCTCCGACCTTCTCGCGGCCCGCCCCAGGCAGCAATTCTGGATGCCTGCCGAGCGTTGATTTTAACTTCCTTCTGATGTCTAATCAGCAAACATTTATTCGTGATTATTTAGAACAATGGGGTTTTCATACGATTAAATCGGCTTTGCGACAATCGTCTTGTCGCTGTATCAGGTGACGTGGCGAAATCACCCTTCCAGGATCCACCAATCGATTCTACAAACCCACGTGCAACACGACTATGTGGACAACGTGACTCGCGAATGCCTGAGAACGGGTGAGGAACCTTCGAGAAGACGTCCGGTTCTGTTATGCACCAGGCTCACCTTTATGATGCAGGAGCAGTGCTTTCCATGATTCGGGCCAGGGGTCAAGATGCGAAGGAAGCTTCCGTGGGAGGATGGTACCTCCACAGCGAGTCGCCCAAGCAAAGCTGGGAGTGCGCCGGCGCCCAAAAGGCAGAAGCTGAATGATAAGAAAGATGACAGGACACCGTCTCCGAAGAGGAATATAGATAGACGAGGTGAGCTCGTTGGGTCGTCTTTCTCGTGCATAGCTGACCTAATCTAGCTCCGTCCTCATCCCCAGCTCCTCAAGCGGCAAAGGAGGAGTAAGAAATCATGCTGTGGATCCTAGAGCTAGCTGACCCGCCTTAGATTCATGGACGAAGGGACGGAGTGCGACGACAAATGGCGGATGGTGGAGGATGAGTTCCTGGCCGTCGCTAAGAAGTTCACCGTTCATCTCCACGCTGCCGAGTATAAAAGACAACAAAAGATGGTGAAAAGCCGAAACGCGGAGACTATCAACTCTATATCACGCCCCGTCACAGGAAAGATGCCAGACCACACAAAACGGAAGATGGAAGCTGCCGTTAGAGTGAAAGCTCAGAGAACTGCTCTAGAGAACGTGGTTGTCAAGAAGGTTGAAGATGATGATGATAGCGACGATGGCGATGGCCTCCCTTATTTTGGGACTACACTTCATGGATTGATGGATAGTCCACGTAAGAAAGCTGCGTCTCTAGCAAAACCTGGGACGATTGCAGCAACCACAAGAGCAGCTGCTGGGTTTAAGCAATCAGCGGCACAGTCGAAACCTGATAGAACGCACGAATCACCTCAATCCAAGGTCGCTCTCCGTACTGCTAAATCATATCAGTCAAACAAGAGTGTAGCGGAGTCATCTGAAGACGATGATGATCTTGATGCGCCAATACTGGCTCCGAAACTGGCAGCCCTTTTCCAGAAACCTGCCCCCAGCTCTGCGCCCAATGTCAAATTAACTAGCATCACCAAAACTACGAAGTCAATTCCAGCGCCAAAGCCAAGCTCATTAACTGCCATTAAGAGCAACTCATTCAGCGCAGTTGGGTCAAAACCCTCACGCACTCAACTATCGCCGGAAGTTAGATCCCGGCCGTCGAGACTAGAGCAAGCTCGACGTCACAAGGCAAAGATGGAGAAGGAGCAAAAGGACAAACATATACTAGATGTGATCCCGACCTTTCTATGAAGCGGCCTTTGCATCATCAGCTGGCATTGAACTCCAACCTCCAAATGACACCGAGGCAAGAATTATCAGACACCCACACCCCGAGCAAAAACCTCAGCACTGGTGCAATTTGCTTGTATCACCTATATACAACCATTTCAAGCCTTGTACGGGGTCTCGACGGGCGCTTCCGCCTGTGGCGCAATTCTAGCCAAGTGCCTCCTCTGGCCGCTCTTCCAGTCGACAAGGGCTGAGTGCAAGGTCACTCGGTTATCCCACACGACCACCGTCTTCGCAGCCCATTTCACGCGAGCATGGAAATCTGCTCCAAAAGCAATGTGATCATAGAGAAATTTCAGCAAAGCATCACTCTCCTCTTGCTTATACCCGACGATTTTTCGAGTAACTCCAAGTATGTTAGCTCGTCTGGTCAGCCAAGATGTATGGCACTCACACTGTGGGTTGACATATAAAGCCTTTTCACCTGTCACTGGATGAGTTCGAACGATTGGATGTTCGCTCACCACTGGCTCTCTGCGAACCGCACCGCCCTTTCCTCTAGAAGCGTCGACTTGTTCAATCCCGGAATGAGTAGCCTTGAGACCGTGAAGTCTCTCTTTGAATCCTTCGCTTAGACGATTGTATGCCTCAACTTGATTTGCAAAGAGGGTATCTCCTCCAGTTTCTGGAACATCGAGTATGTAGAGAAACGTCGTTCCCGGGGGTTGCAGTTCGTAACTTACGTCACTGTGCCAGGCAACGGAGCTTGTTCTTGTCTGGAAAAACGCTTCCGCTGTCTTGTCGCCTGCCCCTCTGTGCACGAGATGAACTTCAGGGTACCCTTCTGGAGCACCGCTTGTTGGATGAATATGAAGACGGCCAAAATAACGACCATAGTCAAGAGCTTCATTGATGGGCAAATCAGCGAAGTCCTGGCTCCGGAAAGCCACTACCTTGCGTTCCGCCACAAAGCGGGCAAGTTGGTCTTTGCCTGCTGGACTCAGCGTGCTTAGTTGTACACCAGTGACTTCGGTTCCGATAGTTGGGGTGAGGTCGTTCGTGGTAACGCCCTTTGCGAGGAGCTCAGGAAAGTTTTTATCTGCGTCAAGGCCTGGGTCATGGTGCTCAAAAAGCTGAAGTGGAGGATATTTCTCATTTCCCCACGTTGGGAGATAATTCCGATACTGATGTCTTGCTTAGCACTCGCCGCCAATATCAACAGACCCGCATACCTTGGCAGCTTGGAAGCCATCTTTTCCTTGCTCCTCAGCCTCTTTCTCATACCCAATGGGTGCGAGTTCTTTGTATGGGCCAGTGTTGCTAGTCAACTTGACCTGAGAGTGTTCGACAGGGCGACTTGGGACCGTAACGGTTTCGGTAGCGGAGGGGGCCATCTTGTTTAACTCCAACGAGTTGTCTTGGGCTTCTGTTAAACTTCCGGTGGCTTACATGGAGTCTTTATAGGAATCTCCGTGCCAGGGTCGTATTGCGTTTGCTGCATGTCGGGCACTCATCATCCAAATGACCCCTCACCTTCATCCCTGACCAAATCGGAAAACGGCTCTCTTGCATGGGATCTTCAGATCATCATTGGCGGGCAGCGCTTTACTTTGTAAATAGTCGCTCCTGTCAGCCGTAAATCTTACTTCTTCTTCAATCAGTTTACTTATTGATTTGACCAAATTGAGGGGTTTCCATATTATTGGTCGATTGTTCCACTAAAGAATGGTGCAATCGACGTTGAAGATCGCGAATACAGAGAAGTGGGATAAATGCCAAGCTGGCGGTAGAATCACCTTTGAGGCTCGATTGCACGTTGCTCGCTTGTAAGAAACTCAGCTATTAATAAATGTAATAAACAGAAATCCTCTCGTGGTTTAACAGTCACGTGAGGGATCGAGAAAAATTATCTCGTGACTTGTCGTTTTACAAGGTTCACTTCGATTACCACTAGAGCAAGATCCGCGAGCGTCCTATACTTCCTTCAATACTCAAGATGGTAAGACCATACAATGTGAATTCTTGAAATCTTGGTCTCGTGACGTTGGCGGGTGGCGTTGCTGAGAAATGAGATAACCGAAGCGTAATCGCGGGGTTGTTGAAATATTATTTTGAACAATTTCTTATCAATCAACACCTCCAAAAACCAACCCGTCGACACCTTCACTATGTCTGCTATGGATCTTGATGCGCCTGTCTCTATTGCGCCTCAGCATAGAGAACAGACAAGTGCCACGTAAGTAGAATTTACGGCCTTCGATGACAAGTGCTAATGATCATCCAGAATTCTTTGCTGCAACTGCGGTGCTGCTATCGATGGCACAACCTCAGCGGGGGCACTCTGCTACGACTGTGTGAAGCTTACGATCGATGTATCACAGGGGATCCAGCGTGAGGCAACTCTACATTTCTGCCGAGATTGCGAGAGATGGCTATTACCGCCTTCAAGTTGGATTGTCGCCGCACCTGAATCGAGAGAATTACTCGCCCTTTGCCTGAAGAAATTGCGAGGTCTACACAAAGTTCGGATTATCGATGCAAGTTTTATTTGGACGGAACCTCATTCTCGACGAGTAAAGGTGAAGCTCACCATCCAAGACTCCGTGTCTGAGGGCGTTGTGCTGCAACAAGCATTCGAAATCGAATACGTGGTGGCGTACCAACAATGTCCCGACTGCGCGAAATCATATACTGCGAATACATGGCGGGCATGCGTACAGGTTCGACAAAAAGTTCCCCATAAAAGGACTTTCCTTTACCTCGAACAACTTATCCTCAAGCATGGAGCGCACAAGGACACAATCAACATCAAGGAGGTCAAGGATGGGCTGGACTTTTACTACTCTGCACGAAATCAAGCTGAGAAATTCGTCGACTTCCTCAATTCCGTCGCACCTGTCCGAACCAAGAAATCGCAAGAACTTATCTCGATGGATATCCACACATCTACGAAATCCTACAAATTCTCATACTCCGTTGAGTTGGTACCGATATGCAAGGATGATTTGGTGGCGATACCCATAAAGCTGGCGAAGCAGATTGGTAATATTTCTCCTCTGGGATTATGTTACCGCGTTGGCACATCTCTCAATATTCTCGACCCACATACTCTCCAAACGGCTGATATCAGCACGCCAATATACTGGCGAGCGCCATTTACAGCCCTCGCGGACGTGCAAGAACTGGTTGAGTTTATTGTTATGGATATTGAGCCTATAGGCGCACAAAAAGGCAAGTGGCTGCTTGCAGAAGCAACCGTTGCGCGAGCTTCAGATCTTGGATCGAACGACAAGACGTACTATACCAGAACACATCTCGGAAATGTTCTTCACCCGGGAGACTCAGTGATGGGTTACATGTTGACCGGTACAAACTTCAACAGCCCCCAATTCGACGCCTTAGAGCAATCTAACTCATACGCCTCACAAATACCTGACGTGATGCTGGTCAAGAAATTCTACGCGAGAAAGAAGAAGTCCAAGAACCGGAATTGGCGCCTCAGGCGCATGGCGAAAGATGAGGGCGACTTGTTACCAAAGAAATCAGATCAAGAGAAGATGGATAGGGATTATGAGATGTTTTTGCGGGACGTGGAGGAAGATACTGAGCTGCGGCAGACTATGGCGTTGTATAAGGCGCAGCAGCAGGCGAAGAAAGATGCTGAGGCTATGAGTGTGGTTGAGACGGAAGATGGAGACGATGAGACGCCGCAGATCAATATGGATGAGTTGCTAGATGAGTTCGATGAACTTAATGTTAAGGATGAGCATTAGTTTTGCGACATCTTGACACTCTCATTCGTTTGCTGGCGTGTGGCACTAAAGGTGTCGGGTTTTTTCTGGCGGCGGACATCATAGATTGCTGGTAAAGCATAGAGGCAAAATTCATGATGGCAAGCGCTCGAATTCCTTTCCTTGACTCGAGTTTTGACAAATCATTGCCGGAGTTCGTCTGTGCAGCGGGAAATGAACAAAGAATCGAATTCGTCGTAACCAGATCAAAGTAAGATCTTACACATTCGCTATACCTTGATCTATTATCACTCACGACTTTACAATCAAAGTTCGAAGTTTCTTCTGAAAGTTCACGCCATGCTCCGCAGCCCCAAGCGTGTCTGTACCCGCCACACCGTCGCCCCAAACCCCATCAACCACCCACCACCAAGCCTCCATGCACTCCCCTCCACCTCGGCCTTCTTGATCGACACCCCAAACCCAGCTCATCTCCATCCTCCACAGACCGACAAATACAGCTACACGGAGGCAACACTTCGCGTCGCAAATTCCGGCGCTGGCTCATGATGAATATCAAGAGTTGTGGATTTTGTTGCATTTGACGACAGTTGGGGCGCCGTTTGAAAGGTGTGAGGGGATGAAGGTGCAAGTAAAGGTGGTGAGGGAGGGGTTGGTGTGTGCGTTAGAGAGGTGGAGGATATTGGTGGAGGGTGAAGTGGAGGAGAGTCAGGGGAGTCAAGGAGGGTGGGAAGAAGTGTTGGGGGTTGGACAGTAGGAGATGTGAGAGATCCTTGTGGGTTGTTGTGATTGGAATGAAGGATGAGTCGAGATGTATTCGATATGCAGATTGTTCTGCTATCGGTGCGAACAAATGGTTAGATCTATTGAGTCTGGCTCGTCGTGCTGCGACGGGGCACACATTGCCTGGCTATATTCTCAACTTTCTGACGCTTGAAAATGTCAACTCAAACTTTCCATCCCTCAAAGTTACTCAAATCACTCGAACTTTTATCAAAAGTTAGAACTCAGATCAATCCAAATCGAATCAACCTCAAACTCCAACATGAACTCTCTTCGCGAGAGCCGACGCCGCCGAAACATGTTTGCAATGTGTTTAACAACCTCCCTCGCCGACCAAGTTACAAATGCGGTGGGCACCATGACGTCAGCCAGCAGAAGCTCTCACAATGAGTTCGCAGAGGGTATCGTATCATCGGTATCAGCTGCCAAACATTCACGTCTACGGAATAAGGTTCAAGAACGAATCGAAGCTGATCCTCCAACTGAGAATGTCATCCGAAGTGTTATTCAAAGTCTTCCACCGCAAACCATTGAGGGGATGTTAGTGGGCGCAGCCGGCGGAGTCATGGCTCTCCCGAATGAATTCAAAGAATTATACGCGGATCTTGCCAACAAATATCCATCTCCTTCACCTCTCGTGGGTACCCCCAGACCCATGAGACTTCAACCACCAAGACAAGATGTTGTCTGCACGATTCTCCCGGTCGGCATGTCTAAGAAGAGAAACGTTTGTCTAGAGTCAATAGAAATCCCATCTCTGCATCTCTTGCTCGCCAACCTCAAACATGCCACTTCCTCTGAGCACCAAGGCCCAACCAGTATCACAAAGACCATCACCATCCATGTGCCCACACCCGCCTTCTCCAATTCCAGAGAAACAAGTACACCAGAGAATGAATGCGAACATTGTCGTGACGCAGAGTGGAAATTCAGAAACGAGCAATGTATTGCTGGCCAGCACTCTCAAAAGTTCTATGGGGCCCAATACAACAGATTTGATTCAATGGAAAACTATTACTAACAATGAGACTCAGCAAATAGGTTATCCGGAAATCCAGCGCGTCCGGACTCAGTTCAGGCTCGGCAACGATTGGCGTTTTGCACTATCGATAACAATCGATGCCACAATCGTAAGGTATCGATTGTATCGATAGTGCAATCGATTGTTTAGCGAGCTAATCCCTACATACGTATGATTTTACCCCTTTTCTAATGCCAGAAGATCCAGGAGTTTAGTAGAGTACTATACTATATATAATAAAGGTAAGGCTCTCTCTTATTTACTTATTTAAAGAAAGTATCTAGAACTCTGCTCCTTTTCTAGTACTTAAGGTACTCCTGCATCTTGTCTGGCTTCAAGCTGCCCCCTATTCTAGGTAGCTTACCGTACGATAAGCCCCTGAAAAGACTCCCTCTGGCCTATCGCTCATTAGTACTATTGAGATGATATTAATAGCTATTCCTGTATCCGGTAAGACATAGTCTATACTAGTAAGGGGGTCTATTACGATTTACCCTACCAAAAATCGGCCGCACTCACATATTACTGCCCCTCCTTCCTTTTCTCTCAGTATTTACTCTCTCTTTAATTCTTCTCTCTCTCTATATATATAAAAGTATAAAAGTAAAAGGGGGAATTAGGGGATATTAAATTTAAGTAGTTAAAAGCCTTGGTTCTCATTATTAAAGGCAGGGAAAGGCCCCTTAATATAGTACAAATCCACTAGTCTCCCACTAGCCCTCCCATACGCTGGCTGCCTTGGGCCCATAAGCTTGGCAACTTTTAATGGGGGAGGGGTTAAGAGGGCGAGTATATAAAAGTAAAAAGCAATAAGTGGAGAGAGAAAGTGAGAAGTGAGCTTCGAGGCTTGTGGTCGCGAGGAAAAGGGAGCCCTATAATTATAGGCTGCTTATCGCTAAATTTTAGGGCTACGATCGCTAAATTATAGGCTATAGGTACTAAAAATTTAGTGCTTAGCTTTCGTGGGGTGCGGGGTAATAATCGTTTAGTAATCGATTACCAATCGATTACAATCGATAGCTAATCAATAGTGCACACAATCGATTACTAATCGATTGCTCAGCAATCGTTGCCGAGCCTGACTCAGTTTAATGCACTCATTCTCTATAGGAAATTGGAATGAGTGTTGTGTGCGTATCATCAAGCGACTTCGCGGATGATATCGGGGCGAATTCAGTTCCCAAGGAAAAGTGAGAATTCAATGGCACTAATACTGTCAGAGATTACAGGAGAAGCGAGAAGGATCGTCTCCCAAATGAAAGACTCGCTGGAAGATGTGGAGAGCCTTCAAGAGGTCGTCCAACACAGACGAGTTAAACTTGTGCCTATCATCTGCCATACTCTTCTTCCAATCAGCATGTGGAGAAATTTCCTTCGATGTAAGTGCTCAAGAAAACGGGGAGGAGAATTGAAATCCGCACTCTATCATCTGCTCGACAAAGCATCTAATTTACCCTGCATACATTTATTTCAATTTTGTCATTTCTGTCTTTTCACAATGGTGTCGATTCAAATTATCTCGGACTTCTGTTTTGGGGGGGGAGGTTGTAAGCCAGTCCACATGGGGCGTATATTCAACAAATCACCAGAGTGTTCTGTCTTTGGGCGCCAAAGGTCAGTGTGTTCACCTTTTTGAATCAACGGCCATGACTTCCACCGATCTCAACATCTTCTTAGTCTATTAAACAAATATTCTATAGGCTCGGGATGGAACAATGAACGAGGAACGCAAGGCTCGAATCATGGCGATTTATAATGAACTTTCCTTCCGGACGCTCCAGGCTAGCACGTCGTTCAGTTAACGAATCTCAGCCAATCGTTCTCAGACCAGAACAATCCCAGTAAAGCACTATACCAAATTAGGGCCAACGTGATTATGTATGTCCTTTCTTCGTTTTCATGCTAATATTTGACTTGAAGAGCCAAGCAATGGCCCATTCCAAGGAGCCTTCCTGCATAAATCAATCCCTGAGGCTTGATGCGGGCCTGACGTCCTCCGTTTCCTCGTCTTTGCGACTTCATATCATTCAAAACAAATAAATTTCCCAGTCTCCGTTCTCCTTGATCCTGCTTCTACCGCAAGGGTATCGACCGTTTCCTTGTTATTCTTCTCTGAAAGCAGAAGATTTTCAAAATTCAATCTCTCCAATTGCTAGACATGGCAACAGAAATGCCCCCAATGCCCCTCATTCTTGGAATCGGAGTCCTCTCAGAAGATCTTAGTAATCAAAAAGAGATGGTTGCAGTGGCTCGGCTGAACAATATCAAGTGTCTAGATACCGCACGCCACTATGTACGTATTCCACTTATTTCCATGTGACCACTTCTCATGAATAGGGATAGAACGGAGGAAGATCCGAGAAGTTCATTGGCGACAATGGTCTTTCATCTGAATTTCAGATCATTACTAAAGCACCTATGGGTGTTCTTATACCAGGTGGCTCGACCAAAGAAGGAATCTTGAAGCACTGGGAGGAAAGTGCGACGGCCTTGAAGACTGATCGAGTGTGTTCTTTCCATCAAACCTTTTCAATCGACTGACAGCTCTGCAGGTATCAATCTACTTACTTCATGTTCCCGACATCAACACTCCTATCTCCGAAACCATGGAGGGAATCCAATCCCTCTACCTCGCCGGGAAATTTGAACAAGTTCATCTACACTCACCCCTCGTCATTCAACCACTAACATCCTCAGTTCGGACTCTCCAATTTCACCGCCTCACAAGTCGAAGCCTATTACGCCTACGCCAAATCGCACAACTATATCCTCCCAACCATTTATCAAAGTGTGTACAGTGCTGTACACCGCGGTAGCGAAACCACCTTGTTCCCCACTCTCCGCCGCCTCGGAATATTGATCCAGGGCTACTCCGTACTCGCGAGCGGCTTCCTTGTCAGAACGCCTGAGGCTATCAAAGCAGGAACAGGGAATTTCAACCCGGATACTGTACTTGGCAAGATTCTACATGAGATGTATGGAAAACCTAGTTATCTTAAAGCTTTAGAAGAGTTTGGAAAGTTGGCTGAGGAAGCGGGAATTTCGAAGGCGGGATTGGCGTGTCGTTGGGTGGTGTGGAATAGCTTTTTGGAGACGGAGAAGGGGGATATGGTTGTTCTGGGAGCAAGTAGCGGGAGGCAGTTGAGTGAAACTGTGAGGGAGATTCAAAAGGGTCCGCTTGAGGGGTGGGTTATGGAGAGGTTGGATGCATTGTGGAGGAGCATTGAAGCTGATGCTCCGGGAAATAATTTCGAGACTTACACGAAGTTAACCAAGGCTGGATTGCTTTGATTATGCTGTTGTCTAGAGCCTTCCTGCACTTGCTACTTTTCAAATTAGAATGAGGCATTTACGATGTTGGCACCCATGTTCGTTATATTTCATGATTATGCTTTCCATTCCTTGGTACTCTCGCCCGAGCCATGTTCACGTGTTTCTGTCCTTCATGGTTGCAGATGAAAGTGAAGTCGTTCCACAATCTCGGGTGAGTGAATATGGCCATATGGCGAAGGGATTGTAGTTATTGCGGTTGCGTTTGTGGAGACTTGAGAGGCTATTGACTTGGGGATATAAAAATCCTCCGCTCTGCCTCCTCTTTAATATCAACCTCAACCAGCCTCAACTGAAAACTCCAACCGCCACCTACTCAGCAACACTGATCATTGCACCACCACCCACGCGTACAACCGATCAGCCCTAAACATAGAAAGAGCAAGCATGACGGACGAAGTTCAAGAACAAGCGTTCAAGGATCTCATGGCAGAGTTGGAAGCAAAGAGGTGGACTCCGCTTATGAACTCGGATGATGTAAGTTCACTCTCTTTCAATGAAAATGCCCTTGAGGGGGAAGGATTTCCTTCCTCCTACGAGAACAGTCTTTCACTTTTCACCCATCGTTTTACAATTTTTCTTACTGCCCATCGGTTCCATTTTTGCCCATCTTTCCACAATTTCACTTTCTGCTCATGTCTTCTCTTTCCGCGGATCTTCAAAGATTGCCTTATAGCTCACAAACGTCTAGATCCAAGAAGCCAACGATCTCGTCTCAAAGGCGGCCCAGAGTCAGACGACAACTATGACCATAGCAAGCACGCTCTTCACTGCCCCTAAAGGAAATGCAAAAAAACAACAGCATAAACTGCCTTTCCTTCGGACGAAGGTCGATTTGCACTCCGCCCGCTACAACAACCTCACAACCAGCGACATCCGCTGCCTCATCCCGAGCTACATCCCTTCTCACGACAAGGTCTACCTCAAGAGGAAACGCTTCATCGAGGCACGCTTCGGAGCTCACATGACGTACTCGTTGCTGTGGTTGTTCCGAGCTGTCAAGAAGATCATCAAAGGCACAGACGCTTGCATGGATAGCTGTGGCTGGGACACTGAGGGTTTCTTCGCGGACTTGGCTGTGGAGCAACGGAAGACGATACTCGGTGCTATCTTCGACCAGTATCCTTTGTGGCTCCTCACCCAGTTTCGCAAGCGCGAGGCAGCCTCGGTCGATTTTAAGCAACTCTGGAGCTCGGTCGATAGCGATGGCTCCGATCGGGTGGCGCTTCGCGGCTTCTACCGCCTGATGTTCGTCGAGATGGGAGAGGCTACGTACGAGATGAGGGTTGTCAGGGGGATGAACGAGAAGAGCGATGAAGTGAGGAGGGCAAAGGCATGGAAGGAGTTTGCTGGTTGCGAGGCTGTTCAAGCTTTGAATCTTGGTGGTGCTGAGAGCTTGCCGATAGTTTGAGCTGGAGCAAGGGCAGGAAGAAGGAAACGAGATATACAGCACAGACTGGAGAGCGGCATTGCATCGCATCAGAAGTGAGAATGCCTTGAAATGCGCGGAAGACGTAGTTGGAGAGAAGGAGGAGAAAGCGAGCTGCACCGCATTTGGAACAATATTGGAGGAGACCAGGGAGCTATTGGCAACAAAAGGCTGTGGTGGATGTAAGCTGGGCTATTGGAAGGTCTCAACACTTACGTGCAGTACTATAGCGTCGAAAAGAAATGCAAATGCAAATGCAATTGAGCTACCAGCGCGAACTGAATGTGCTGCTCATGCGAAGAACTCTCCCGAATGCTTTTCATGCAACCCCCTATGCAAAGTCCCAACCGGCAGCAAATGCATACACAAAATTCATCAAACCATCGACCGAACGCACAGGGTATCACCGAAATCCCCCTCTCTAATCCATTCCTCTATCCTTTCCTCTATTTAGGATTTCTCTCCCTCTCCCGTGGGTGTAGTTGTCCCTTTTGAATAAGACATGCTGTAAGGTGCCTGTTATGCTATCAGTGAGCCGTTTTCTCTAGCCAGCTTTCGTGAACACGAAGCAGTAAGTGTGAAATGTATATAAAGTAAATGAGATCATACCAGCGCCTGCTTGGCGACGCAAATTCTCCAAGCAAGGTTCTTGACATTTCCATCAGCGAGCACGACTCCAGACGCGAGCTCGATACCGAACATCTGGTGGACAGCAAAGACGACTCGTTTTGCGTACTTGCCGTCTCGCTCGACCAGGCTGCCGAAGCTCTCGTTGACGGTGTTGGGTGCGATCTCTGGGTCTCGGTCGAAGCAGTTTCTGACAACTGGGAGAAGGGCATTTTCCACGGCGGTGCGGACGAGGCCGTTCGCGTCAACCCCACCATCTTCTTCATCGAAGCGGGCGATGCGGATTTCGAAGGCGCGAGAAACTGCCATCACATTGTGCTTGCCGTCATGGTGGTAGCGGAATTCGAAAGATCCAAGAGTCCAGAACAGCTTGTCACCCTCGAAAACCATCTCTCCCTGCATGTAGTCATGTATTGAGCCATCTTCACGCTTTGCTCCTGAGACGAGTTGATCTGATACGAGGACGTTTTTGTCCCCCGATGTATGCTCATGTTCGTTTACAACGGTAGGAATCCATCGGCCTGCGGAAGAAACACGAGTGACATCTCGATCAGCATTCTCAGCTACTTTGTAGAGCCCAATCCAGTCGCTTTTGCTGTGATTGACAGGAGCTGTCCACTTGACCTTGATTGGAGCACCGTATTCAAATATCAACGGGTTGTAATTGTCTGTCCGTGGTTTGGGGAATCTTGCTGTGAGGCCTTCTTTTCCAGTGTCATGGATACTGTCAGATTGGGCTGATGAAGCCGTGCCTTCAATCTCGATAGAGTAGTCTCTGGGGTTGAAGCCTGCCAAATCAGGGGCCAGCCGAGTCACGGTTATGCGGGCCGGATATTGACTGAACAATGCTGAGGTATCTCTGACAATAGTAGAAACGCCAGCTGCAAGCTTTGGCCGAGCAGCATCCAGAAACTCATCGACAAAATGACGTGTCTCGCCAAGAACCTTGTCAACGCTGCCTTGGAATTTCTTGAAAGGAGGTGGCAACGATCTGCGAATACTTTTGGTAAGTCCAGCTTCAGGCCTGAGGTTCCTTCCGTAAAGCTTTTGCATGTGAGGTTTTTCCACGAACTGGATGAAAGCCAATGACGAGATGTGACTGATCAGGGCAAGGAAGAAGATTGCCGGGCTCCAAGTGATGAGCACAGCTCCCCAAATTCCTGCCAGGCCGATGATGCGTTCAGGATTGTTGAGGTACCGATAAATTCCGCTGTAGGTCAATTTCGGTGCATGATCAAAGAAGAAGTCGCCGAAGAACCATCCAAATTCGCCAAGAGAATCGTAAATACTGACTGCTGTCCATACCTGGAGCGCAACAAGCCCAGCACCCATTACGTGCTTTAGCAGAACGAGACCGTAGCCCCAGTCTGCGGGGAATGAATACATCTTCCATGTAGCAGCGATAAAACTTGCGTAGCACATCGCCATGCTCAGATGATACATTCCCTTCCACTGTCTCCAAGCTTCTTCAGTACTTTCACCATATTTGACGAAGTGGCGAGTCCACATTTTCTTGTTTGACTGCTGGTCAAGAATGATGCCCAGGCCAACACTGTACCAAAGACGCCAGATAAGAGCATTAATAACAAAGATAGCTTGGTAAGTTGGGGTGGAAGGGGTGACAGTAGTAATGATCACCATCAACGCCTGTAGAAGCAGAACCGAGATATCGGTGATGCGGAATAAGTCGATATTTCGAAATCCCATCAAGTCGTGTACTGCGCTGGGCTTGGTCGATATCGTGGGGTTCAAAATGGCAAGGTCAAGGTGCTCATGGTACTCGATTCCCTCTCTATGCGCCGCAGAGGCGTTGGCAAGGTCGATGTCGCTTTGGCTTGGATATTGTTCTCGTTTCCTGGGAGGAGGGGGGTTATACGTCTTCTCGATGTGGGGATTTTCCACATAGACGAGAAATGCGAATTGGGCAGCATGTGCGATGATGGAGATGAAGAGGACGTTGTAGCTCGCTGCCATCATTGAGATGCCGTAGTACCCAGCATATCCCACAGAATACATCGGATGCGGGGCCATCTCGAAGACACCATCGAATGTCAACTCTTGGTCGATCAGGTAGAAGAAGTCGCCCCAATACCAAGCATAGTCTTTGACGACGCGGTGGGCATCTAATTTGACCCACAAGTTGAACCCAACCAGAAGAATGCCGGTCGCCCAACGAGCAATAGACATGACGAGACCTTCCCCGGAGGGACGACCTCCGCACGCAATGGCAAAAAGACAATAAGACGTAAAGTCACACATCAGGATCAAGTCTACTACTCTTCTGAAAACTAGCCATGTGTTGTACTCGATCGGTGCTTCCTCGAACTTGTAGTCTTCTGGTATCTTGGTCTCCAACTCACGTTTTAGGAGCTTGTATAACCACGGACGAGGGTTCTTTCCTGTCTTTGGGTCTTCGAACAGACTCCATTTCTTGGCCCAAGTTACGAGGCGCCGATGATTGGATTGTATTTGCAGAAGATACCCAATGCCAATGTTGTAGCATCCTCTCCAGAACAGAAATATGATCGCGAATACAGGTCGTTTGAAGGAGGCAGGTAAAAGGCAGAGGGTGAGTATATGTAGGCAGAGAATAGCGATCACAATAACGTCGGAGAGGTTCTTTGGTTGTCGAGGGTCAAGCAGCTGTGAGACCATATCGTGAGTCTGCGGTACCGTGAAGACTGTTCCATGTCAGCATGGCTGGACTACATTCGGCGTCCAATATCACTATCGACCCCGCCGGCGTCCAAACTCACTAGTCCCACTGGGCGTTCGGCCAAAGGTCTTCATCTCCTTCTCTACGTCATCGCCATCCTGCGGGGTCTCCAGGCCGCTGCCACTTGAAGAGTCCTCCTCACGTATTGTCTGGGTAGCATTTCGTTCTCGAAGGCCCTCAGACCCTCCGACTGGGGTTTGCACGCTCATGTTGCCCGAAAGCGGCGGCGTTCAGTCCGCTGAGGAATGTCGTTGAACTTGGGCAGCCCGCACAAGAATCGCGTTGTGCTAGGCGAGTGTTGAGGAATTTGGAGGTATTGCGTATTGAGGGGATTCGATGGGTTAAGAGGAGGAGCTGGCCCATGTGTCGCTCCTTTGTTCCATGGTGTTGTATTCGCTGGCCGTCAACGAGAGCTAAAGAAATATCTCGTGGGGCAGACACCGGGACCGGGGTACAAGGGACCTCTCATTGGCCAATCAGAAGACTAACGTGCTGACCCAAACCCAAGATTCTGGCGCGTGCGTGGGATTTTGGTCAAAACAGCAAGTCGCACAATTCGTCATCATTGATATATCAATCTTGTATCCCTTCAAAGCGGCTTTGAGTAACGGTGAGGCACGATTGGCCAGTGAAGTGTGGAATAGTAATCTTTGTCGACTTCACCTTTGGGCCTGACAGGATCAGCAGGTACCACGCACACGATGCACTGCCTGATTGGAATGGAATTGCAAGGATCGGCTGAAGTGCATCACATCCACATACAATGGAAGGAAAATGGGGCTTTTGGGGCTGGCCTTGCAGATGTCGAGATGTTAAGCCGACCTTCGGCGAGACATGCACACCGCCTTCCACAAACGGCTCTTCTTCACGTGCGCTGCTGGTGTTGAGGGACAACATCTCTACTCTGAGGCTTCGATGGTCTATACAGTAGCTTTACAAGACGACAAAACTCATTCCTGAGATCGAAGCATTCGGCGAGACATGTTGAGATACCTTCTCCTACGCCGGTCCGCCTTTGGTCGCAGTTGAGATTCACGTCCCGTGCAGCGCCTCATAGGCAACGACTCACACAGCCTCATCATCTACACGGTCTGCTCAAATGGAATCACTTGGCGGGACGTGCCGCGTCTAACAAATCTTTCCCGTTGTATTGCAGACGATTGGGAAATATGGCGATGTTCAAAAGTTGTGAGCCGGAGCCAGGGACCTACTTGTGGAAAAGCTGTGAGCCTGTTCGAGAGATGTGGCTTCGAGAAATCGAAAACTGCAATGATCGCGAAGTATCCCGTTTGAAAATGATGCTTTCCTACTTGTTCCGGCGATATTTGATGTTTGGTTGAAAGATATAGTTCAGATTCAAGCTATGCGCGCTGCCGCGAGTGAGGCCCCATCTTTGATTTTCGATGTACAGCCTTGCCGGGACAAAATATCTCCAATTTTGAAATTCAGCATGAGCCTTTCCTTTTGCTTTCGTCATACTAGCCAAAGAGCATCCGTTGTCTTCGGCCTGAGTCATTGGCCGAGACAGCCTCGCTAAGGCTGAGCTCAAGCCTACTTAAAGGAGGCTCTGGCCTTCCTTCGTCGCCTTCTTTCCTCTCCAACCTTCTCCAGCCTTGGAGTCGTGTCTCACCTTTCGCCCTGCTTCCTTGTGTTTGCCTTTGATTCTACTGCCAAGGACCTCTTCCGACCACTCATTACGGTCGTTCAACGACACCTGCACACTCTTTTCGCACAAACACATTCTCTCCACGATTCACGCTGCGCGGAACTTCGATCAGAACATTCGAGTCGTCGAGTCTCCTCAACCGCCTGTGCAGGTATGGCAAACACTCTCAAGCAACGTCTCCTACGAGATATCGCTGAGCTTCAGTCGAAGCCATACCCTAACATCGAACTCCATGTTCAGGATGACGATCTCACAAAGGCTTGCTTGATTCTTACCGTCGAAGGTTATGGCCCGATGCATCTTACCGTCACCTTTCCGAGCAACTACCCCTTGGCTCCTCCCCGGATCCAGATGGATTCGGACGTGGCTCACCCAAATATTTTCGACACGTACATCTGTGCCTCGATATTGAACACCACCGAAGGATACACACCTGCATATACCTTGAAAGGTACCGCCATTCAGCTACTGAGCTTTTTCGGAAGTGACAAGATCGAGCAAGTGGGTGGCGGTTATTCTGTGGACCTAGATCGTTATCGCGCTATTCAGTCTCGGTCACGAGCCGTAATCCGAACCCATAACTGCACGAAGTGTTCTTTCGGTTTACGGACATTGAAAAACAGCACGGTGGGCTCTACAGCTGCTGCTACACAAACACTTACCCTCGTCTCTCGAACTAGCCCGCCCTCTCCGCCCTCTTCAATGACTGACGGAGATTCGGCTAACCAGTGGCCAACTCTACAACAAAGTTCACCCTCCAAGCAACCAACCATTCTTGGTCGAAATGCTCGACGCAGAAAAGCCAAGGAGAATGCGCTCGCACGCGCTCGAGCTGCAGAAATGGCTCCTATCGCGGCTCCCATTACACCCCCAGAAGCAGATACGGAAAAGAAACCTAGACGAATGCAAGACATGGGATTGGCCAACGAGGTTCTACTTCTCATCTGCGAAAAATTGGAAACCGAGGACCTGATGGCATTCGCTGAGGCATGGACTCGAGTTGGCGCCGTTATGACCAGATTCGACGTCATCCGTATTCGTGAGCTGCAATGCTTCTGCCTGAAGAAGGATTATCGGTCGGTCAAACTTGGTGTTGGCGTAGCGGTAGTCCATCGAGGGAGAATCGGCTCTTTAGAGTCTGAGTTCGACCTCTTGTCGCAAGAAGGTTACATCACCCACAAAATCTGTCGTTCCGTCCATGGTGTCCCATTCGAGTTCTGGCTTCCCTTACCCATATCGCGAGGTCATTGTAAGTGTTGGGGGAGAAACCCTTTCCTATTTCGGACTGTTTCATGACTTTCTCCTGAGGCAATGTCCTCTCCCGAAGCAATCTTAATCTAGCAATGCTAACTCCCCCCGTTATTTAGGGAACAAGGTCAGAGATGATATCCGTATGTCACTTTCGAGCATAAGCTCTGCGGCCAATCTCGGAGCTGTCCCTCCTGTTGAGGTTATCTACCATTTCATGAACGACATTGTGGTGAAGCTGAACACTCAAACTTCTGAGGCGACCACTCGATCTCCCTATTACCCATACGAAGAGATGTCGACAGGAACGATGAATCGGGCTTCTGAGAAAGCCATCGAGTCGTATTTTCACTGCTTCCACCTCCTTCTATGCATGGCAACAACTCAGCCCGCTATCGTACAATCGGCGAATGCGCTCTTGCGTGGGTTCGGACAGGGTAAATCCTCTAAGACTGAATGTCCCAACCTTGGTACCCTGCTCGTTGCAGCCCTGGTCAGTGATGTTGAGATGTCTGATGGCATGATCAAATCAATTATCAAGGAGACTATCACACGCAACGTGGTTTGGATGCTTGATTCAAAGGGTGCCAATATGCCCGAATTAGCCTATCTCGAGCCTTCCGCTGTCTCCCATTATCGCCTGCAGAAGACCTTCGAGGCCAGCAAAACTTCTTACCGCCTTCTCATGTTCCTTAATCTCTTCCGAAAGACCGCCGTCGGCAACCCTCGCAAGCCACTCACCCAACTTCGAGATGAAGCTTTTGAGCGACACGGTGCACCTCCAAGAGGTGCGGCAAAGGGACTAGCTCAATCGATCAAGCGTATTGGTACAATCAGCGACTTCCCCCAATTTCTGGTCGCCATGGACGTCGGTCAGGTATCTGCTACATGGTTCACCAATTTCTTGAGAGAGTGCGTTGAAGCAAGTGTCAAGAAGGGTTATTCCAGAATGCCGTTCAGCCAAGGCCATGCTCTAGCTCTTCGTCAACGAAAGGAGCCCGGTGTTGAGGTCACTGAGGGTGTCTATGCGCTGGACAATGTCGACATTTCACGGGCCAGCTTCTTCCTTGGCAAGACTGGAGCTCAAGTAAATAGGGGAAATGGTCGACGAAGATAATTCTCTGTCGAGTGGCTCGTTTCTATCACATCGAAGGCCACGGTGAAAGTGGTCTTCTGCGATTTCATTACCAACTTATTGCCATCGGCAATATGGATTCGTAAACTGGATGCTCTTGAATGAGCGTGCCATTTTACATAGGATTATGGTAATCTGGATCAGGGTTACGGATTTTGAAGGGAAACACATACCCGGCTTTTGTGAAGCCCATTGCATGCAGAGATCTCCCAATGGTGAGGTCAGGTAGCAAAATAAAACAAGAACTTCCCCAATTTCGTCTCGTTCACAAATATTTCTCATTCTTGTATTCTTATCCGATAGCGGGATATTGCTAGTTGCTCCTTCCTCTGGTCTTGAAAGGAAGTCCTCCAGATGGATGACAGGTAAGCCCTTGGCCAGTTGCCTGGCTTCATCAACGCACCTTCTTCTGATTCAATTCATTTACTTAACTGCTCAAACCCAGAACCTGGTCTTCCACCAACATCAACAAACACTCAACCCACCTCAACTTCCCAAACCACCCAGTACTGAGCAAGTACACCAGCCTCACATTCAACATGTCTGATGAGGATTACGGATATTACTCGGATGGCTATAACGAGGGCTACGACGATGGTTACGATGATGGTTACGATGATGGATGTGGCGATGGATATGATGATGGATATGGCGACGGATACGATAATGGCTATCAAGACCAAGATTCCCGTTCAGATGGTGGCTACGAGGATAAATGTTCGGATGGCTATCAATATGAGCGCTCTGATGGCTACCCAGACAACAGCCATTCCAGCGGTAGCTACTCGACTGGCGATACCTACGAACCAAGCAGCCAGGTCAATCTCCCAGACCATCCTGCACAAATCTGTGTTTGAATACTGACGTAGGACAAGGGCATCAACCATGATAACCACTCTCAAGACCGTGGAAACCAGAACCAAAATGAATCAGGTAAACATTGCCGTTGGCATCGAACCTGTCATGATTCTGACTTGGTACCAGATAACCACCCTTACTATCGCTACTCCGAAGGCTCTACAACCTACAGCGAAGCTGTCGAATACAACCAGAGTTCTTCGAACAGCTCTGCCCACTACTCTTCCGACAATTCTTCCCACTCTTATTCAAACAATAAACCCACGACCTCTTCTCACAGCTTCACTCCCTATACCATCACTTACCGTGGCACCAACAGCCAGGTACTTCTTAATCTAGGCTCACTAAATCCTTTGCTATTTGAAGCTGATAGATTTCTCAGGGAAACAGATATGACAATCGCATGCAGCCTGACGGCCCAGCATACCATTACAGCAACAGAGGTAAATTGATCTCCCCGAGCTGAGAGAAGCAATCCCTAATCTTCCCCAGACGGCTCGTATTACTACAAGAACTCGGATAATTCTGCTTACTACAACAATGGATATGGGGGTTCCAAGTACACTGCTCCGGATGGTAAGGTTTCCAGAACGTAAGAGCCAGAGGGAAACTGGGTTTGAGGACTGCCGATAAATAGTCATTGAACAAACTTTTGAGGGCCTTCTGATTTCAGGTCTAAGGCGCAATTGGGGTCTAAGAACTTTATTAGAGACAGTGATATGCAGGTGCTACATAATTGAGAACACAGGCTTCTACCTTTCTGGACCACTGTTCCTTTTGCCGAATTATCTGCAGTTCCTTGTTGACTTTCCACACATTTGCTAGTCTTTCCTATTCCTTCTATAATTTTTCTGATAAACTTCTCAAAAGAAGGTACCTTCTTGCAATCTGCTTCGACTGAGCCGACTGGCTATTCCGTCCGTCTTTCTTTGTGTTTCAATTAGCTAATTCACAGCAACAAAATAGCGCAACTAAATTTATAAATTTACAAGCGAACTACTGTTGTTTATTTAAAGGGCGTCCCGCACCGCGGAACTTCGTCCTTCAAACAACTTCGACGAACCTTCAACTTCACTTCCCAAGCAACCCAACTCAACACAACAAAAACCCAAACAACTACAAACCCTCATACTCAAGATGTCGGGCAAGGGTAGCTCCAGCTCTTCCAACTCATCCGGCTCTTCCAAGAGCAACTCCAGCTTCACCCCCTACACCGTCAACAACAGCGGCTCCAACAGCCAGGTAACCTCCCTCCTCCACATCCCTAAACTCAAAGCTAACATGTTCCAGGGCAATAGCTATGACAACCGCACTCAACCTGGTGGCAATGCGTACCATTACAGCAACTCTGGTAAACCAAGCACTTCCGTCGACTACTGGTGGTGAAAGCGAGGAATAGAGAAATGGAGGAAGGGAAAAGGCTGACGTGATACCAGATGGTTCCTACTACTACAAGAACTCCGATAACTCCACCTACCACAATTCCGGCAAGGGTGACTCGGCTTACACTGCTCCGAATGGAGATGTGTACAAGAAGTAGAGTCGGAGAGGAAGTGGACTTCTAGCTGGGGGAGGGGTTAATGGATAATGCTTTCTGGGTTTCTGGGCATGAATGAACTGACGGGCTTTGGGGGATCCATTCCTTGGGCGTATGATAACTCGATTTGGGGAGAGAATGCACTTCTGCCTTTCTGAACAAGACCTTATTGACGAATTGGGTTTGTTGCTGTTGCGCTTGTGCTCTGGATGTGATCGACTTCTCCGTTTTGTGCTGTTTCGAGGTCAGTGTTCAAACTTTCGGGTTTTGCTTGAAGAACTTTAAGGTTTTAAGACGCTTATACAGTCCCAAGGCTCCTCCTCAGAAAAATAGGTGCGAGGGGTCGACCATATTATATCACGTGATTTGGTATACCATCCACTTCTTGACTTAAGCCTCCTTCTCAACACAAGGTATCAATATTCTGTCAAATGGGAGAATCTAATTCAATCAACATGTATGAAGGATATTGGAACAACAGAAAAGGCAACGTCCCCTTTCCCCCTTTTAAATTCGCCTCAAATCACCGTTGGCAAGGTGATGGTTTCTCGGCTGGGTAAAACGACTGCAATTCTTCCAATCGAGAACCCCCTTTTTGGGTTGACTTGAAAACTTCATATTAAATGATGCCTTGGCTTTAAGCAGTGAAGTTTTCTTTCTTTTAAGTCATTCCTTTCTCAAGAGTAACATTGGAGTTAAAGAGTCGCTCTTCGTGCCCCCACGCACGATAAGCTTTGAAATTACCACGGAAAAGTCAAAGCCAAAAAATGAATATATATATGGACTCAAGACAGCTTCAATGACGCGATAATTGTATATCCGACTATAAACCACGACTCCACTGATCTACACGTGTTGAATCGAGGAGTGTACTAAACTAATCGCCTTACTTTTTTGTGAAGGAAAGGCTGATTCGAGCTAAGGGTTGACTATTGGTAGAAACTGATTTAAAGAGCGGTAAGGAGAGGATAAAGCTGTAATCTTAGCTAGTAATTTTAGTAAATCCCGAAAAATTGACAATAGTAACTCCATGTGCGTGTCTACCAACTGCGTCATATCCTTCGTCTTCTCCTTCTCCGTCACCGGTCATACTCACCGCTCAACCTCCGAATATTAGCATAAGAGGGATATGTGACGGCAATATATCAGTGGCCGATTTCGCAACAAAAATCAGCGTATATTGAGTCAAGATGTCACATCAACGATGAGAACTGGTGGAACCGCGGGGTCGCTGTCAAACCACTGAAACACGCCTCACCGCCTTACTTATCAGTCGATATTAGGGACAGTCCGAATGTCGATTCCACCGTCCGGATTCGCGTCGTTATTCTTCGATATATGACACGGCACTCAGGTGATTATTGAGTTCTGACTTGCAAGAGAGCTGTACTTTGAGGGTAAACAATGCATACGGTTTGGGAATAGGACTCTCTTGGGACGAAGGTGAGGTCTTTCCTGTTTCATCGCAGCTCCTAACGTGACGCCACAGCCCCACCTAACTTATCGCATGACACGGACCTCTTTCTTTGTCTGACTCCCGTCTTAAACTCCTATCTTCCCCAGCATTCCCTCAACTCTCCAATCCCTTCAATTCAGACTCAAACAACAAGCCCAAATCGACTTTCCATCCGAACGTCTGAGATTTAGTCAAAATGCCTGACAAGAACTCCGGCAGCAGCTATACCCCCTACACCGTGACTGGCAGCGGAACAAACAGCCAAGTATTCCAACCTTTTCCCCTTCGTCCATTCTACATCTACTTACCTGTCCATTTCAGGGCAACAGCTATGATACCCGCTCCCAGCCCGGAGGCAGTGCTTATCATTACAGCAACGCCAGTAAGTGTCACACCCAGAATCAGCCGAAGTTGTGGTGAAAGTGGGGGGCTAAATCCACGCAGATGGCAGCTATTATTATAGCAACTCTGATAACTCGACTTATTATAATTCGGGCAAGGGAGGCAGTGGTAGTGCTACTTATACTGCTCCGAATGGGAATGTGTATAAGAAGTAGGGCGGAGTTGGGGACATTCGAAGGTGGGGGCGGTGAGAAGATCATGGGGGATGAATTGGAAAGTGTGGGGTCGGTCTCGGAGGTTGGCAGATTGACGCATGTGGTTGATCGATTTGAGATAGAAATTGAAAGGTTTCTCTCACATTTGTTGCGTGTAAAGTTGGCTCAGGTGGAACAGCGGGCGAGGCCTTTTTTCATGGTGGTTTTCTGGTTGATTGCAAGGCTTCATGAACGTTTGCTTCCAAGCGGTGGATTCCAAGTTGCTGGGTCACGCCTGCAGAAGATGCATGGTTCGTCAATTTTGGGCAACCTGTTCCCTGGGAATTCCTTCTTGCCCTCCTTCCCCCATTTTTTCGACGAATTAGGATGTTCGCACAGGCCCCCTCTTTCTTGATTTGCCCCACTTGCCAGCTGACAGGGATATTTCATGTGTCCCCGTTAACCTGAGATTAGAGCTTTTCCTTTCTATATCTCAAAATGCATTTATTGCAATAATATTATATACTCTTTACGAAATCAAGGACAAATACAATTTACTAATAATTAGAAATATGAAGTGAAAAGTAAAAGAAAGTTAAAGTAAATGCCTTGTCTAAAATTAATTAGTAAATATACTCTCTAGAATTATTAAAATAGTTTATAATTAGAACTTCCTTTTATAATATCTTTTTATTTGAGAAAAATTTGTTATTTAAATCTTTATTCTCTAGATTATTAAATATACTTTTTTATTTTATATATTTTTTATTTTATATATATATAAACTTATAAGATTTAATAGCTTCTTATTATGTATTTTTTTAATCTTATTTAGTTATATAATATTCTTTTTTATTTTACTTGATTTTATATTAAAGCATTTATAATTTATAGAGCTTGAAAATTTAGTAATCAAGTGCCCGAAACTAATTTACCTTGTATGCAATAATTGCCTTGCCTGTTTCACGCCCCAAATTAAAGCTCTTATATATAAACATCCTTATACCTATATTAGAAAATCTGATTCGAGAGGACATGAGTAAGTACAAGCAACTAATTAGGCATTATTAAAACTCCAAAATCCATTGATACGTCCAATTAACACCCGGGAGGGTGTCGTTTTACATTTTCCCTAAATTCTTGGTATTGATTATTCTCTATCCTATAAACACCACCTACTGATTCATACCAGAAGTCTTGCCCAAAAAACCCGTTCTCAGCACACTCTTGTGCTTGGTCATATCCAAAAATGCCAAATATGATTGAATCTTAACATCGTACTCCTCAGTCACCGGTCTACACATGCTCATGACACTACATATGGTCTGTAGGTTCTGCCGCATCTCGCGGCTCGTCAAGCATACCTTGGATACCATATCCTGCAAGTTCTTCAGCATCTCGATGTGAACTTCTGCAGCCAGTGCCAGTGGCCGCAAAATGAAGAATGACATCTCTTTGTAGATGGCAATTTTCGAGCCAGGCTTCTGCATTTCAAACGTTAGCGGATGTTCTTTTGTCTCTGGAGACCTTCCCGAATATGTGATCGATTTTGCTTGGCAAGAACGCGGGTGTTGGAAAAAAATAGAGGGGCAAATACCTGGTTCTCGTCAGTAATTCCTGCTTGTACAAGCAGATCGCAAAGTGTGTTTGCAACAGCGAGACACGAATCACGGTATTCGTTGGCAGCGTGAGTCAGAAATGAGGCCTTCCGAACTGCGACGATGGCGGTTTTAAACCAATCCAAGCGCACGCCCAAGATCATGATAAGGGCAAGGACCTGAAGTTCTGTATTTGGCCCATCGAGAGACTCTGCTGCCGATAGAGCACTGAATGCGAACATAATCTCCCTGCCAATCTTCTCGTGAACAATGCAGAAATTGTAATCGGATGTGCTGTCCAATACATATTGATGAGTCCTTTGACGATGGCAATCGCCTCGCACGAGAAGCTTCATTGCAAAGATGAATAGGGAGAAGACGTTGGAACTCTGACCGCTGTTCTCCAAGAAAGATTCGGAAGGGTACATGGCCTGATCGGTATCAGAACCGTTCTGGAGACTGGGGGCAGGCAATGAGGTGCAGATCTAGATGAGACATATTAGCTCTGGGGGAGACAGATTTGGGTTGTTGGACTCACGCCTTCGTCTTTCACCGGCAGACATGATGGGAAGTTAGCAGACGCATTACAATGCAGAGCGAATGCAATCCAAAATGTCTGCCGTATCTTCTGAGAAATCGCAGCAGCATTGGGCTGTGATTGCAAGAGATTGGAGATGTGTTTTTCGCTTTCAGTCGAGGTTTGATCCAACATGTCGAAACCAAGCACACGTATCAATTGCATCAGGCCTGCCAGGGTCAAGAGCCCCTTCGGCCCACTGTAATGAATAAGTTCGTACCTAGCTATGAGAAGCGAAGCTTGAACCGATTCAATGTTCAAGAAAGACGAGCCATCTAATAGACCCACAGCCCTTTGCATATGGTACTGGGCGATGGTATAACACTCTCCTGCCATCATTGATTCTCCAGAAGCATGCAATCCTGACATTGCAACAGCAAATTTTAGTGATTTGCATTGATGCGAATCGGCAAAGATGATGGATTGGAAGAACTCTTGTTGGTCAACGAGCATTATGTGTTTCTGCACAATATCAAAGTATGGCTGGCACCTAAATGATATCGTTAGGTAAGATGTTGGCTTGCGTCTGCCAGAAGTACCTACTGTCGGTCAAAGTCAATAAGAGGAGTCGTTGGCTCGAACTGTTGATTTATGAATGGATCTAATTGCTTCTCGTGGTTCATCGGAGCCGAAGGCCACATGTTTGGCACGTGGTCAGGGCGACCAGCAGTATCGACATCTGACACACCCTGCATATTGCCTCGGGGGTCACCCATGTTCATGTTTACTTCTGGCTGGGCTTCATTATTCCCGCCAGATCCAGCATCGGACCCAACTAGGGTCGGCAACTGGTGGAAGTTGCTATTAATAAGTTGTCAGTAAGTCGTCCAGGGCAATATTACCAATACATTCTTGTTCATTTGAGCGTTAGCGTACCTCTGATCAAAGTCCGAGAACTCTGCAAAGTTGATGTCTGAGAAGTCTATCTCTTCTCCCGGTTGCAATCCGACATTGTAGATAGTCTGGGAAGTACCCAATTTGACACCGAGTGATTTTGGAGTCATTGTTTGCATGAACTCTTCAGGAGGGGTGATTTGTGGATGGGTACCAGTATCTTCTTGTGGTTTTGCTGGCTGCTGCAGTCCATGTTCCTGCAATTTAGTTTCTGCTTGTACTACAGTATGTCGGTGAGCGAATGCTTTGCTCTCAGTGGTACGTACGATGCTGAGGGACACTACTTACATAGACGATTATGAAGAAGCTGCAGGGCCGACTTGAGTTCCTGGCTATCCGTATTCTCGGGATAGACGCAGCCGTGGCCCGACTTCCGGCAGCGTTGGCAACGGGGTCTCTCCCGATCACAGCGTACTTTGCGCTCCCGACAAATGTTGCAGGTCAGCTGTTTCAGCTGAGAGTGTGTAACTGAGCCTCGAGAGCTCCGGGATGCCATCGCAGAAGTCTTTCGGTCTAATTGCGGAGGCTCGGCGGAATCAATAACAAACAAAGCCTGAAGCTCGGACTTTGGGACAACACGGATTGGTTGGAAGTGGATATGGAGGTAGAGGAGGATGTGGAGGCGGAGGTGGAATGCAGTCCTGTCCTGTCTTGTCCTGTCCTGTACTGTAGGATAGAGTGTAAGGTTATCAGTTTCTTTTATCTGCTCGTACGCAGGTGCAGGCCCTAACCGAGATCCCTAGTCAATGCACACCCCAAGCAAATGCACACCCTGATTTCAGCCGAACCTATATTATTAAATAGTTATTTACTAAACAACTATTAATAATAATAATAATAATATAATTTTTTTATAATTGAAAAGAGAAGAAGCTAGAGTATTCTTTTATATATTATATATAGCTATTTTTAGATTTTAAGTTTATTTAAATTAGCTTTTATATAAAAATACTTTTAGCTTCATTTTTATAAATTTACTTTACCTTATATATAGCTATAAATTAATATTATTATTTTTATAAAAAATAATATATTAGATATAAAATTCTAATTTTATATATAAAATTTATTTAAAAATTTATTTTCTTAAAAAAAGAAACTTAAATTAAAAACTAAAAAGAATTAAAATTAAAATTAATCTTTTTTATATAAAGCTAGCTAAAAGCAACTATTCTAATATATAAAATATTTATATAACTATTAGTTTACTAATAATATATAATATTATTATATAATATATATAAAATATTTATATAACTATTAGTTTACTAATAATATATAATATTATTATATAATATATATAAAATATAAATATATTAAATTAGTAAAATAATTATTATTTAGAAATAAAAATTATAATATTATAGTATTAATATATAATTTCTAAATCTACTAAGTCTAATAAAATCTAGTTTACTAATTAAATTACTTATAAAATATAAAGTTATATAATTATATTTTATTATTTATATTTTATTATTTATATTTTATTATTTATATTTTATTATTTATATTTTATTATTTATATTTTATTATTTATATTTTATTATTTATATTTTATTATTTATATTTTATATTTATATTTTATTATTTATATTTTATTATTTATATTTTATTATTTATATTTTATTATTTATATTTTTATTATTATATTTTATTATTTATATTTTATTATTTATATTTTATTATTTATATTTTATTATTTATATTTTTATTATTTATATTTTATTATTTATATTTTATTATTTATATTTATTATTTTATTTTATTATTTATATTTTATTATTTATATTTTATTATTTATATTTTATTATTTATATTTTATTATTTATATTTTATTATTTATATTTTATTATTTATATTTTATTATTTATATTTTATTATTTATATTTTATATTTCGAATTCTATAATTATATATATAACTCTCGAAAAAATAACTATATTAATATTAGAATTTTTCTAAAAACGCGAAAAATAGTATTTTTTTTTAATTATATACTAATTTCCTAATTTGGTCTAGTATTAGATTTCCTAAATATTTTATATATTTATATTATTTTTAAAATTTTAGTTATATATTAAAAACTATAGTTTTTTTATATATAACTTTTTTTTTATAATATTTATTTTATATATTTATTTTATATATTTATTTTATATTTTATTTATATTTAATAGCTTTAATTTTATTATAAAATTAATAGAATTCGATTTTTCTTTAATTTATTTAATTTTTATAATTTTTTATTATTTATATATCTAATTATTAATTTATTAATAATATATAATTATTAGTTTATTAGTAATATATAATATTATTTATATAAGATTAGTAAAATTATTATTATTTAGAAATAGGAATTATAATATTATAATATTAATATATAATTTCTAAATTTACTAAGCTTAAAGAAATCTAGTTTACTAATTGAGTTATTTATAAAATATAAAATTATATAATTATATCTCATATCTTATATCCTATTACTTATATCTTATATCTCGTATCTTATATCTTATATTCTATAATTATATATATAACTTCTAAAGAAATAGCTATACTAATACTAGAAACTTTCTAAAAAATACAAAAAATAATATCTTCCTCTAATTATATATAAATTCCCTAATCCGGCCTAGTACTAGATTTCCTAAATACTTTATATATTTATATTACTTCTGAGGTTTTAGTTATATACTAAAGACTATAGTCTTTTATATATAACTTTCTCTTTTATAATACTTTTTTATTCTATATATTTATTTTTTATTCTATTTATATTTATTTTATTTCTTTATATCTAATTATATAATATTTATATTAATTAGATATTTAAGGGTATTTATTAGCTTTAATTTTATTATAGAATTAGTAAAATTTAATTCTCTCTTAATTTATTTAACTTTTATAATCTCTCGTTATTTATATATCTAATAGAAATATATTATATTAATTATTAAATACTTTTCTCGAATAGTTCCTAATTTAATAAAGTATTTATATAATAACTTCGAATTTATATAAATTACTAGTAGTAGTTCTATTTCTATTATTATTAGTTTACTAGTAATATATAATACTATTATATAGATATAGAAATACTAGTTATATTAATTAGTAAAGTTATTATTATTTAGAAGTAAGAATTATAGTATTATAGTATTAATATACGATTTTTAAATTTACTAAGCCTAAAGAAATCTAGTTTACTAGTTAAGTTACTAATAGAATATAAGGTTATATAATTATATTTTATATCTTATATTTTATTACTTATATTTCATATCTCGTATCTTATAACTATATATATAATTCCTAAAAAAAATAGCTATACTAATACTAGAAACTTTCTAAAAACGCGAAAAATAGTATTTCTTTCTAATTATATATAAATTCCCTAATCCGGCCTAGTATTAGATTTCTCAAATACTTTATATATCTATATTATTTCTAAGATTTTAGTTATATATTAAAGGCTATAGCCTTTTATATATAACTTTCTTTTCTATAATATTTTTTTATCTTATATATTTATTTCTTATTCTATTTATATTTAACTTATTTCTTTATATTTAATTATATAATATTTATATTAATTAGATACTTAAAGGTATTTATTGGCTTTAATTTTATTATAAAATCGGCAGGATTTAATTCTTTCTTAATTTATTTAATTTCTATAATCTCTTATTATTTATATATCTAATAAAGATATATTATATTAATTATTAAATATTTTTCTCGAGTAGTTTCTAATTTAATAAGGCATTTACGAGTTTAGGGCCGCTTTACTAAAATTATTACTAGCGGCCCTATACAAGCTCCGGGGCTAGTAATAATTTTGCCCTAAACTCGTCCCGAGTAGGATTGGAATATAATTAAGGCTAGTACGGACTCTTTACGGACTTTTTATGAATAGTATAAGAAGAAAAATAGCCCGTAAGTAAGTTAAAAGCTAAATAAGACCTTGTAATATTTCTGGGTATACTATATTACTTGTATGGTTTATATTAGGGGGTAAAAGAATATAAAGCCTTACTTATAAGGTTACCCGTAAGGCTGCTATATAGAACTGGCCGTAAGAAAAGACCGGCGACCGTAAATCTACCCTTACTGCCTCAAATAACTGGCCCTATAACTTATTAATAGTTATTATAAAGAATAAAGCAAGTAAAAACTACTTACGGGAGAATATAAAAGATAGTTACTAATCCGTTAACTGGAGCTTAATCTATAGAATTGTCCGTAATTGGCCGTTAAAGTCGCTATCTAGTAGCTATATGCGAATCGAGAATCTCCCAAAGCTATAAATTAATATCTATAACCCGTTATAAAGCCCTTCCTATAGACAGAGATTCCGTAAGAGTATTACGGGTATACCGATCTTGAGTTATAGCTTGGAAAGAAGTAGACCCGGCAAATAGATATTTTATAAGACCTCTGGAGGTAATTCTATAATTTCAGGATCTGCCTCGTTTATATTAGCCAAATCTATTACAAAATACATCCGTTCCTGGCCAGGAAGTATATCCAGGATCATTTAGTTAAGCTTACAGACCGTATTATTTAGGGTTAATAGGATTACCCGTTTACTAAAGGCCCGGTAGTTATATAGGGCCTATAAGAATCGTTCTTACGGGTAGACGTAATTAATTAGGTCCGTAACTAACTGGGTATACGGAATAAAAGGCAGGAGTATAATCTACTTATTTAAGAACGGGTCATATAGCAGATAACTAATCCAGTCTATAAAATCCTGCTTAGACGGGTTATTACGGACCCGTATATTAATCCGTAATAATAACTAATAGAGCTATAGCCAGATCTATATCTGCTATAAGCAGGCCCGTACCGTATTGGCCTGCGAATCATATGGGACTACTAGTAAGATCTGGGTAAAGTTCCCCCCGAGAATTACGGGTATTCTTCTAAAGAGAACATTATCCGTAACCGATCATAAATCGACTATTAGCCGGTATACTACCTCAAAGTAGTACTTATACTATATAGATACCTCGTCCCAGATAATTAGGTCCGTAGATTATAAGAGAGCCCCGAGCCGGCTCGTCTTAGTAATTATACTTACGAATAACTTATTAAGCTCGAGCAGGATCCGGAACTAGAAATAAGACATATATTCATCCGGAAGAAGGAGAGCCGTAATACCCGTTAATACTATATATAGGACTACCTTATCTTAGCTACAGTAATAGTAGTAGAGAGTCTTATAAAGAAATGTCTTACTAGTCCTGCCCGGGCCTTATAAGTAGAAGTGGGCAGTCTATAAATTATCCATAATTACTACTATAATTATCTGGAAGTAAGAGTACTAGTCTATATTTAGCTAGACTTATATTATAGTTACTAGTAATATCTTATAGGTATAATTAACCTATAGATTAGCCATATAGTAGCTTATGGTCTAGTTAAAGGTATTCTTAGATAGGGCAATATCTATAAGTGTCTACTAGAGATCCGTAAGGCCGAGACCAAGTAAAAAGAGGCCGTAATTATAATAAGAATTAACTAAGGGTAGCGGGAAATTAATTAACGAGTTATAGGCTAGCTTACGGGCCAAGTTATTACAGAAATACTTCTTATACTGGTCCCAGATTACTTATATATCCGTAATTAGTTACTAGCGGATACCTATAAGAAAGAATATCCGTAAACTATAGCCGGTTATTAATAAAATAGTCTTATTAAAATACTAGAACTATTCCTAATTATTCTCTACTAAGCCGCAAGTAATACAGGCAGTATAATATATAGGATAACGGACGCCCTTAACTAAATAGAGCTTATTAAAGGACTACAGACCATATATAACTATTAGTAAGAGCCGTAAGTAGAACCGCTTGCCCGAAACTAGGCTATAGTAGTAAATACGGCTAATACTATACTTTTGCTTATAGTACTTCTATATCCGGGTCTTAGTAACCTATATAAAGTACTATAGGAACTCGTAATATAGGTACTAGTATCCGTTCTTATATATTATATTATATTTAAAGAAGGCTATTAAGGTCAAGCGGGTATTTGCGGCCCGGTCTATAATCTGCTCGGGTAAGAGGTTAGCCATAAAGCAAACCATATACTACCCAGGGAAGTAGATTATAAGATATTAAACCGGGAGGAACTCCTGGTATATTAGATACTTAAACAGGTACTAGAAAGCCTCTATAGGGCCTATATACCGAGCCTGGAGGTACTAGGTAATCTTATTATCCGTTTCCGAGATAGTAATAGTTATACGGTCTATTTCCTTATAAATATACTTATAGATATACTTAATTACTTATACGGATATATAAATCTCGATATTAATATATAAGCAGAACTTCTAGAGAAGATACGGGTTATACGGAATAACCTAGTAGTTATTACGGACGACTTCCTGGTCTGGAAAGCCTGGTTTACGGACCATAAATATATGGCCGTTATCCCGGTACTAGTACTCGGGATACCTATCCTTATGGATAATTATTATAGCCGTAAATACTTTAGGGAATTTCTTCTAGTATATAAGCGGGGCTATAGGCGTCTTACGGACTATATATAGGGCTTTCGGATTATTATTAAGGCCATATGGCCCGTAAGATATCTGGCTAGTAACTATAGCTATAAGTTTACCTATAGAATCCTATAACAGGTCTGGGAGCTCGGTATAAATAATCTTATTAACCAAATTAGGGATTAAGAAGACGGTATCTCTCTTAAGGAATAAGAGCAGGTATATATATGAAAGGCCATACTTCTGGTACTTAATTATATAGATATAGCCCGTATACCGTCCGAAAAGGTAGTTCTTGAGGTCTATAAGGAGCTCTCTTACTTTTAGGATAAAGATCTAGTAAAAGAGATCCGGACAATTAATTACTTACTACCCGTTTAAGAGGTAATCTGTAATCTCAGGCTAGTATAGGTTAGCTATAAAGGTAATAAAGAAGCTTGGCTTACTAAAGTATTATATAATAGCTATTAAGTCTTAAAAGAGCTACTATATAAAGCAATTACTACCCGTAAAGCTTAATGGAAGGATAAAGTAATAGCTAATATTACTTATACGGATATCCTTATAAATTAGAGTATCTACAAGTCCCGTATAGACGTCCGTACGGATATTCTACTAGTATAAGTAGAGCTAGTCAAGCGAGGTAGTCTTATAAGTAATATATATATTAATAATATACTACTAAAAGAGGCAGCTAGTATAAAAGAGCAGGAAGAAGGCTAGATAGATATAGAGATAATACTAGTAAAAGACCCGCTATTTGAGCCATATCCGCTAACGGGTCCTATTATGGTCCTGTAACTATAAACCGTAGTACTAGCCCGGGTCGCCGTATAGGAAAAGTAAGATATAGTAGAGTAGTATATATACTATATATATAATATTAATCATATATATTTGCGGATACTTATAGTCTGCCTTATGAACCATAAGTACTAGATTATAGCGGTTTATATCCGTATACTTGTCCGGAATAAGGGCTATAACCTCATTACTTATTAGAAGGTTCTTATAATAATGATTAGTACCTGACTCGAGAATTAAGTATATTTGCGGGTTAAGTAAGATCCGGAAATCGGTTTACTAGCTTATAAGATACTTATAGGCTATCTTATAGACTATAATAAACGGATTATAATCCGTAAATATATCCGTAAGCTATAAAAGAACTATATAATCTAAGTAAAGAAAGTTAGTAGCCCGTATATTAGTTATAAAGAGCAGATTATAAAAAAAGAGCTATATAAAGGAGGGTTTAATATATAAAGCGGGCTATAGCAGGCCTTGGAAGTAAAAGAGCTTACTATAGATCTAAAAGTACTAGATCCTATAGGAGAAGTTAATTCGTATATCCTTTTTATACTTAACTAATATAAAAGCAAAAGTATAATTATATATCCGGATATTTGCCCGGAAGGCCTGGTAGAGCGGATTATTGCCTATAAAGAGGTAAGAGAGGTATAGAGGAGGCTTGCGGATTAGAGGAAGTATTATATTGCCCTTTTTATAATAGGCCTCAAAGCAATTGTCCATATAGCCAAAATAAAGGGCTTTATAAGCTATATAGTAATTCGTAAGCAGACTAGTTATATATACGGGAACTAGCCGGAAGCGGAAAAGAAAGGCAGGAGGCCGTATAGTAGGTGGGTCGGCAGGAGGGTTCTCTATAGTATGAACTGGGGCCGTAATAGACGGTTGACGGATCCGTCACTAGTGCCGCAGGGCTGGCTCGTCTGCAGAGACGTCCGTAACCGACTGTTATTATTGCCGGGAGATAGAGAGGATATTTGGATTAAGTTCTTATAAGGCAGGATACTAATTAGCAGTTCGGATACGTTACTGCTCCTAGAAACTAGTTAAAGAAATCAAGGATAAAGAAGAGGAATACAGACCGTATAGGCCGTATAGGTCTTACGGATAGTACCTGTAGGCCCGCAAGGAAAGGCTAAAAGTGGCAAGTATCTAGTATATAATAAATAGGTCTTGGAATTATCTATTATTAAAAGGAAGTAAAAGAGAGAGTAATAAAGAGAAGAAGGAGAGGAGAGTAATATAAGGCCAGGTTTCTTTTTAGTATACTTGGAGCTAGCAAGAGCCTTAAGAAATCTCCCCTAAGCTTTAAAAAATCGTAATAAAAGCCTCTTGTATTCCAGAACCACTCAAATATAGAGAAAGATATTTGAGCTTCTTCTCTCTAATCCCTAGCTAAGTACTAAGGATTTGGATATAATTACATTCTAATATATGATTCCCTAGAACGGAAAGATTTTGGTATTTGTTATATGAAAGTTTTTTTCAAGGAGCCCCGAGAGCTAACCGCTTAGGGTAGTCCGAATATAGGATAATATAGAAGAGAATATAATAACTTTAAATTTATATAAACTACTAGTAATAGTTCTATTTCTAGTATTTTATTAATTATAGATTTAATTAAAATACTTATATTAAAATCATAAGCCATATTATAGAATTCTAAAGCTAGAATACTTCTAGTAATTCTCTTATATTTAGTAAAGAACTAGTAAATAATATTAGTATATCTAGTTCTATTTACTAGAACTAGAATATATCTAATTTAGGAAAAGAGATCTCTATTATTTATAAATAAAGCATTTATAAATAAAGCATTTATAAATAAAGCATTTATAAATAAAGCATTTATAAATAAAACATTTATAAATAAAGCATTTATAAATAAAGCATTTATAAATAAAGCATTTATAAATAAAACATTTATAAATAAAGCATTTATAAATAAAGTATTTATAAATAAAGCATTTATAAATAAAGTATTTATAAAAATAATTAAATATAAGAACTTTTTTACTAGTTTTATAAATCTTAGTTCTCTAGTAATATTTTTAATTTATTATTAAATATACTTATTAAATGCCTTTATATTAGTTTCCGAGAATTTAATAGCCTAAACCGTAATTAATAAATTATATAAAGCTTCTAGTTAATAAACTAATATAATATATACTTCTCTAGTATATTAGGTAATATATTAGTCTTTAATAGAAAGATTTTAATAAATAGTACCCTTACTACTTATAATAGTAATATTTTTTATAGAAATAGTTTAGAGGTTTTTATATTAGTATTTCTATATAAAAGTAATTCTAGTAATATTTATATAAATAATACTTTTATTAAACTTGAGATTATAGTTAATAATAAGATATTTATATTTCTTAGCTAAGAATTTAGCCTCTTAGAGCTTTAGTTACTTTATTTTCATAAAATTATTAGTTTAAAAACTAATAATTCTAAAGAATTACTTATTATAAAAGAAGTAAGAATTATAAATTAATTATTCTATAGAAAGCTTATTAATATAGTAAGAATAATAAGTCTTAAACTAGTAGTTTCTAGCTTCTAATATACTATATAATAGTTTTATAATTTTTAAAACCGAATTATTATTTAGATTTAGCTTTTTAATAAGCTTATAAAATAAATTAATATAAAAATTATAATTAAATAAGGTTATTAATTAGGTATAAGCTTATAAAATATTATATAAATATAGCTTTATAATATTTATTATTATAGTAGTAATACTAAGAATAATTCTCTAGCTAATATATTAAATAGTAAGTAATTATATTAATATTATATATTTCTTATTATTATTATAAGATTAGATAACTAGTCTTAATTTCTTAAACTTTTTCTTAAACTTTTTCTTTATATTTTTATTCTTAATCTTATTAATAAACCGGGAATTAAAGATATATATTTCTTTTAGTATCTAAGATCTAGAAATAATCTTAAATATATTCTTTTCTAGAAAGCTAATAACTTTAACTTAATAAGAGTTCTTATATAAATTATTATTCTATAAAAATACTATAATATCCGGGTTTTTATAAGAGTATTTTTTATTATACTTTAGTAAAATAGTAGGAATAATAGAAAGAATTATATTTATATTACCTTTAGCTTTATTATAAAGTTTAGAAATAGATTTAGGTTTGAGGCTATTAGTAATAACCTTAATATTTCCTATATAAAAGAACTTTATAGAAATTAAATAGAAAGTAATATTACTATATAATAAAGCTAGTATATAGTTCTTTTTATTAATACCTACTAGCTTATATAGCCTATCCTAATTACTAGATTAACTAGTATTTCTTTTATATTATATAAAAATATTTAAATTCAAGAAAAGTTTATAAATATTAGTAATACTAAAACTGTTTCAGGTATTTAGAGTATTTATAATCTAGTATCTAGTTTAAAGCTTTTAAATTTCTATTATTACTTTCTTAAGTACTACTAATTACTATAATATAATTAGTAATAAAATATTATATTTGGTTATTTAGAATAAAATACTATAAACTAAGAAAATTAGAATAATATTATTAGGTCTAGTAAAATTATTAATAGCCTTAAAAGCTATTTAAAATATAATATTCTTATTAATTCTATTAATTTTGGCTATATTAATAAAATAAGTATATTAAATCGGGCTATAATAGTATTTTATAATTTTAATAGAACTATAAGCTTTTATAAAAACGATTTTAATCTTAGTTCTTATAGTATTTATAAGCTAAGTAAATTTCTTACTAATAAACTATTTTCTAGTATTTACTATAATCTAATTAAGAGAACTTAAATAGGTATTAATCTAATATTATTTTAGGATATTTCAAGTATATAATATACTAATATTTTAAAGCTATTAGCTAGCTTAATATTAAGTGCCTTTATTAATAATATAAAGTATAAGCTTATTAGAAATATAGAAAATATTAATAATAATAAAATAGTTAAAGCTAATATTATTTCTTAAATTAAACTTAAATTATTCCGGTAATTATTTGAATTTCTAGTATTACTTATAGTATTTTATAAGATATTTAAGGGCTTTTATATTAATATTATAGCTTGCTTATTTTAGTATATTTCGGAGCTTACTAATAAATAAATAACTAAAATAGTAATATAGATATTATAATTTAATTTTTATAAGAAAATAGAAATTATAAATAAAGAATTCAGAAATAAAGCTTTATAAAATAGTATTCTAAAATAAAAAAGAATATTTAAAACATTATATTATAAATATAAAGTATCTAATAAAAATAATAAAATAATTAGTAAGATTATTAAAGTAAATTCCTAGCTTATTTATATTAGTTAAGCTAAATAGAAATAAAGTTTTTATAAATATAATATAGAATTACACTTGCCTAATTAGTATTCTTATTATTATAGATCTAATAAAAAATATAGATCTAATATTAAACTAAATATTAATTTAACCTTTAGTAATTTTATTAAGTTTAATACTATTATTAGTTTACTATAAAGCTTGGAATTAGTTAGAACTAGTAGTTAAGAATTTAGAAACTCTAGTATTAATTATAATTCTATAAAAATAATAAGTATTATATTTTAATATATTATTAATTATAAATATTTAGGTATTTTCTATTTATTTAGTAAGCTTTAGGATATAGGTTTTGCCTATTATCTAGTATATAAAAGAAAGAGAAATAAGGTTATTTATAAAAGTATTAGTTATAGAAATAGTAGAAATAGGAGTTATAAAAGTAGCTAGAAAGCTTTAAATAAAAGTAAAATAAGAATTAGAATAATATTTCTTTCTTTTATTTATTTCTACTAATAAGGCTTTAAAAGTATTACTTACTAGTTTGTTTTTATTATTCTTATTATTTTCTTTTCTTTTAAATTTAGTAATATATTATATATAAGTATTACTAAAGTATTTATTAAAGTTATAAGTATTTCGAGATCTAAATTAGTAAATATTTCTATTTTTAAATCAAGCTTTTTTAGTCTTTTATTTCTCTAATATATATTTTTATAAGTAGTATTTAGGTCTCTTATATATAAAATATAACTTTAGAATATAATTATTATAATTATAAGACTTAGAATAATTATTATAAATTCCAAAATTATAACTAGATTTATATTAATAATTTTCGAATAAATAATAATTTAGAGAATTTTAAAAATAATATTATTAATTAGTAAAATAGGTTTTAGTAATAATTTATTACTTCTTCTTATAAATAGTAATAAATAATTAAAACTTATTAATAAGCTAGCCAAGATTATTAGAAGAGTCCGAACTATATATTAGTATATTAATAAGCCTTAATAAGAAATAATAATCTTATTATATAAGAATTTAATATTTTATAAAATAGAAATAAGGCTATACTATAATTTATATAAGTTATTAATTAGTATTTAGATAAACTTAAATATTGTTTTTTTAGAGTTCTTTACTATTATAATTATTAAGATAATAATATTTCATTTATCTAAATTTTAATAATAAAAACCAGGACTTTTAAAAAAGCTATAAATATTTATATAGACCTCTTTATATATATAGCTCGAGAACTAATTATTATAGAAGTAGTCTTATACTAGTTCCTTTAATATAATAGAAAAAGCTCTTACTAATATCTTTTTAGAAAGCTTTATATATTAGTAAATATTAAGGAAAATAATAAGTTTATAATTAAAACTATTATTAGTTC